GCAGGCACATCGACTCATTCCCCTCTCAACTCGAACTATCATCACCAAACCATTCAGACCATGCCCTCTACCGGTGGACGTAACTACATCTCCTCCAATGACGAGGATATAAATCTCGTCATCACACACAACAGCGCCCCAAATGTTCCTATCCCAAATCTCAGATTCCCCGTCTTCTCTCCTCGTCCTCACTACATGACTATCAGTCAGAGGAACTCTCCAGAACCTCCTCGTCCTACGTCTCCTTTACCTCCGTCGGGACAATCGTCCCCTTACCAAATATTTAACGAACCTGTCATTCCTGACGTTCATCGATACTCCAGCTAGTCCCACTACCATCCGCACTCATGAGCGTGTTGCAGCTCGTAGACGAGCAGCTCCTTGGAGAGTAGCGACTGACCCCTACCTGTCCGATCTTGAAGATCGTCGACTTCGTCGTAGAATCATGTTGTCGTCCAAACTCTTCAAAAACCCTATCAAAGACGCCATTGATACCGACCCCGCTCTCAATGCCCTTTACGACCTCTACCGCCTCGGAGATCGTCTCGAAAACACCTTAGAAAGGCACAATGCCGAGTACAGAGAGGACGAGCTCTTCTCCCTTGATTATAGCATCCGAGACATCAAAGAAAAGCTTCAACAATTGACGTTGATTCTTATGGAGGAAAGAGGTTTCTTTGAAGCCCTAGATGGGCTCGGTGGCACTGAGGACGATCGGCGTCATGCTCTTGAATGAAAGTCTGGGACTTTCCACGTAAGAAGGGGGTGATGTTACGGCTGTGTTTACTTTACTTCTTTTTCCCTTGATCCACGCTTTTCAAGCATGTCTCTTATCATGCTATATTTAGTTCGGTATTACTCAGACGCCTCATTGCTTACGCATGTGCTTACTGATACATACCTATTATTACGTCACACCCTGTACCCAGTATCCTATATAAACCCTGGCTAGGTGACGCTGATTCTTCAGCTTAACCTACGCTGGTTTTCCTCTGAACATCTGACTTGATTCTAAGTTACCTCTTCAGTACTTAGCCTTGACTTCACTTTGGGCGTTCTTAAGACTGTTGTCTTGAACGTATCGACAGACCTTTGGTCTTATTGATTATTGTTTGCCTGCGTTATACTTCAGCGTAACAAGACGAGCCGTGCTGAGAGGCTCAAGTCCCTGCTAGTACGAATGGTTATGAGCTTGGGCTCAGACCATACCGAAACCACTGACATAGTCCATCCGAGAAGCCGGAAAATGACACCCCTGACCTGTCTACTAGTCGAATGACAGGTAAAGTACATCGACTACTGAAAACAACAACAACCCCTCCCCTTCTTCCCCCGGTCACATTCATGGTTTTGGTTCATGCCTCCCCAGATGCAGAGGGGGGCCCTCTTCCATCACCGGAGTGCCCCCTAATGACACACCAGGAGAGTTCGGTGGCGTAGTTTGTCCCCTCCAGCCCCATCAGGCTCTAGCACACCAAGCTGTTATAAACCCAGATAAAAAAACAAGGGCTAACATCACCATAGCAACCCTAAACATAAAGGGATGAGCCTCCCCAACAGCGGGACCTGGTCCATTATTTAAATGGCCCATTATAAATAAAACAATGAGAGAAAACCGAATTGGTGTGCTACGCGTACAAGAAACGCACCTTACACCAGAACACCTAAAACAATTAGACAATTTGTTCTCCAGACGTCTGGTAATCTTCAACACCAGCGACCCATCCCACCCTGGTAACTCGGCAGGAATTGCCTTTATAATAAACAAAGAAAGCTGCCAATACAATGGACGCTAAGATGACCACACTGATACCAGGGCGCACCGCCGCTCTCTCAATAAAATGGCACAATAATGAGACAATTAAAATACTAAACATATATGCACCTAACAACGCTAACGAACACCCAGCCTTCTGGGAGAAAATCAAAGCAGAATGGCAAAAACACAACCTAGGATGTCCTAGACTTCATGCTCGGTGACTTCAACCTCACAGAAAACCCCATTGACCGTGCGCCAGCCCGACTCGATAATGAACAAGCAATTGAGGCTTTAAGAGACTTTAAATCAGCATTACAAGTACAAGACGTATGGTGAAACACATACCCATTCCAAAGGATGTTCACATTCAGCAGTAACCACCACTCCCTCTCCCGTCTAGACTGGATATACGCGGCAGAACGACATAATGAAAGCCTGCTGGACTGGAACGCACATATAAGCCCAATTCCAACAGACCACCATATGGTATCAGTATGATACGCACCACCAGGCCTCCCGCACATCGGTAACAGAAGATGGTCTTGGCTGGCAGGACTACTGTCGGACAAGTCACTAATAGAAAACATCATCAAAATGGGCATAGAGACACAGATGCAACTAGAAAACCTACAACAGAGAGATGACGAGATAAACGCCCAAATGATATGGGAATCCCTCAAGAAAAGAATGAATAAACTTATGAAAGACACGACAAAGACTCACCTGGCAAAAATAAACCAACGCATCAGGAAACTACACAATGACCTACGGAAAACAACAAACTCCGGAGACATCGACACCTCAGAGAACACACGTCTAAACAGAATTTTACTCGAAAAAGAAATAGAGCACCTGCAAAAGAAACAACACAAAAACACCAGCCTCAGATCCCAAGCACAATGGGCGTGTAAAGGGGAAACAATAAGCAAATACTGGTCCAAAATAAACAGCAAAAAAGCCCCGAGAGACATCATACACAAACTACGCATACCAAACACCAACACTTACACGACAAAATCGGAGGAGATGGCCGAAATCGCCCGGAACTATCACGAAGCCACTCAAATGTCGGACACAGAAGAACAAGAAGGAAGCAATAGACCAAAAGCTAAAAGACACAATGAGTGCAATACCAGACTCACAGAAACTAAATGCACCTACCAGCCCTATGCACGACCTCCTACTAGAAGAACATGTGCTTGATGCCCTGACCTCATCGAAATCAGGAAGCGCCACAGGGATAGACGGCATCCCCTACGAAGTATGGAAACTCCTACACGACAAACATAAAACCGCTAGCAAAAATGAGAAACCTAGCTTCAATATTATTAAAACTATGACACAAGTTATAAATGACATACAACTCCATGGCATGTCACCCAACTTGTCCTTCACGTTGGGATGGATGTGCCCCCTATACAAAAAGAAAGAACGATTGCTAATTGAGAACTACCGCCCAATCACCCTGTTAAATACAGACTATAAGATCCTCATGAAAGCCCTTGCAATGCAAATAGCGAAAGAGATACGCACCTTAATCCACCCAAACCAAAGCGGGTTCATCCCCCAAAGGTCTATCTTCAACCCAATAAGATTAGCACAGACCATGACCACGTATGCCGATCTAATGGAAGAAAACGGAGCAATCATCACCCTTGACCAAGAAAAGGTGTATGACAGAATAAGACACGATTACCTTTTTGACACACTAGAAACCTTCAAGATACCACCGTGATTCATAAACACCATTAAAAACCTATATGAATCAGCATACACAAAAGTAGCAGTAAACGGCTTCCTGAGCTCTCTGTTTCGAGTCATGAGAGGAGTACGACAGGGTGACCCCCTATCATGCCTCCTATTCGACTTAGCAATAGAACCACTGGTGTGTACACTACGCAACTCACCCAACATCCAAGGATACCACATCCCTGGGCTACCAGAAAGGATCATAGTAAACATGTACACCAACGATACCACCATATACCTCTTGCAAGAGGACCGATATGCTGACCTCAAAGAAATATTACAAAAATGGTGCCTAGCATCCGGCACGAAATTCAACATGGAGAAAACAGAAATCCTACCGATTGGATCTAAGGACCATAGAGCAAAGGTAGTCCAAACCTGCAGACTAAATGACACAGACACACCATGGCATGAGAAAGTAAGAGTAGCAAGCGACGGGAACCCAGTTAGAACCTTGGGTGCCTGGATAGGAAACAAAATAGAACATGTAGTCTCCTGGGAACCAGTACTCAAAAAAAATCGAGAAAAACCTAAAAAGGTGGAACATGTGCCACCCCTCCCTAGATGGAAAACGCCTAGTAACACAAATGATAGTTGGGGGCATGACACAGTTCCTGACCAAGGCACAAGGAATGCCAAAATCCATAGAGAAGGCACTAACAACACTAATGAAAAACTTCATATGGGACAGCAAGCGAACCTCACCAATAAGCTTAGAAAGACTCCAACGCCCGGTACCTGAAGGAGGTATTATCCTCCTAGACATTAATGCAAGAAACGACGCAATTGAGATAATATGGATGAGCACATACATGAACACCTCAAATTCCCGCCCAGCCTGGGCGTTCGTGACCGATGCAATCATCAACACCCTAAAACCCGACGGAATCAAAAATAACTCGGACATGAGGAGCTTCCTAACCTCATGGAACCCGCCGACACAGGGCCCCAGAGCAAACCGACTGCCAAAACAGATAACCAACATGTTAAAAATGGCGCAAAAACACAAAATAAGCTTCGCACCCCTGAAGTTATCCAAAAACCTTAAAAGCCAACTACCGGCGTGGCTACACCTTGGAGCCCCCCCAAAAACATACCACAAAATGAAAGATGCATGCCTTCACCAAACCCACAAAATTGAATCAGTAAAGGACATGAAGTCACTCATCTCGAGGCTGTCCAAAAGAAGGACCCACTATGCAAAAAAAGACTGCACATGTCAAGAGTGCAACACAGACAGATTAACTGGATGTACAAACCCGCATAAATGCACCAAAACAGTGAGAGATATACTCAAAAGACTCTTACCAAAGTTCAACACAATTACCCCCCTGAAAAAGGACGATCTAACTCTGACGCATAGACAACTCGAGAAAAACTCGCGTGCAAAACAACAACAGCAAGGAGAGATACTGTTTGACCCATCTATAACCGCCAAAGTGACCTATCAGAGTGCTTCAGAATCTTTGTAGACCCAGAGCAGCTAACCCAAATGCCAGCGCATAGACTTCAGACTCCAACAAGGGGTAGACCGACAAATGACAGAAAACTCACGATATACACAGACGGCTCCTGCACCAACAACGGAAAAGAAAACGCAAAGTGTGGTGGCGGAATCTGGGTGGGAGAAGACCATCCCCTAAACCGAGCAATAAGAATCCCAGGCCCAGACCAATCAAACCAGGCGGGCAAATTAGCAGCCATACTAGTGGCATTACAATCAGTAGACCCCCTAACTCCACTAACAATAATAACGGACTCACAATACGTCATCAACGGTCTGACTACACACCTGAAAGAATGGGAAGACCAAGGATGGATCGGGATCACAAATAGCAAACTATTTCAAGCTATGGCATATCACCTAAGGCGAAGATCAGCCTCGACCACCTTTCAATGGATCAAAGGACACAACGGGAACCACAGTAACGAGGGAGCAGACCAACTGGCCAATGCCAGAACACAAAAAAACGACCCAGACACTATCAACATGTCTGTACCTCTGGAATTCGACCTCCAAGGCGCAAAACTAATGTCTATGACACAACAATTAGCATACAGAGGGATCTTAGCGAAGACCCACCTGGACTACAAGAAGACGACCCTTAGCCTGCTGGATATCACGCGCTACGCCATTGAAACCGTCTCTAAAACAATCGAATCAGATAAAACTATATGGACGAGTTGCAGAAACAAAGACATCTCCAAAAAGGTACAAATGTTCCTATATAAAACACTTCAAAATGCATACAAAGTAGGGGATTTCTGGCTGCAGATACCAACCTTCGAACAGCGAGCACGATGCAGGATATGTGACGAGGACTCAGAGTCGATGGACCACATCCTCACTCAATGCAATAACCCCACAAGAACTACCATCTGGGAGCTAGCGAAAAATGTATGGCCTGATAAATATGAACAGTGGCCAAACATCACAATAGGCCTCATTCTGGGCTGCGGGGCACTCACATTCCCCCATGATCCAACAGACATCGACCCAAAAAACAAAGCACATGCCGCAGCCAAAAAGGGAGCAGCAAGACTACTCCGAATTCTCATATCAGAGTCAGCATATCTGATCTGGACCTTAAGATGTGAGAGAGTCATAAGGGAAGCCACCACCACAGAAAACAACATCATAAAAAGATGGATACACGCAATAGATAAACGACTGCAGATAGACAGAGTAATAGCAACAAAACACAAACGAAACCAGAAAGCAATCGCGCAAGTCCAAAACACGTGGGCTGACGTAATAACTATAGACACACTTCTCCACAAAGACTGGGTGACCACCCTTGAGGTTTTAGTGGGTATAAAGCTACCCAGGCCCCCGCAGACCGAGGTAACCAGGTAGTATACGGAGTCCCACACTACTCTACGCAAGTAGAGTGTGCTTAAGTTGCATTTTTCCTCGGACGACGCCTAGGCGTCGCTATAAGCGTTTATATAGGGCCAGACGGTGTCGGTTGCTATATAATAGACTCGCTTTTCCAAAGCACGTCAATGTTGACGAGGAGATAAGCGTTTTTCCCGTCCGCAGTCCAACTTGAACTAGACAAGTACATCGAGGTACTCTACTTGTGTGCCCTTTGAGAGTAGTGACCAGTTCGCCTGTCTTCTTATCCCAGATTCTGATGGGCTCGTCCACTCCAGCAATCGCAAACATGGTTATGTCTGGTGAGTGCACAACTGCCGCGGCGTTCATGTATTCGTGCCCAATTTCGATTGGTGCGAGGATGGTCTCTCCGCTCTCCGCTCTCTACGTCCCATGTCCATGGATCCGCTCACCACTTGCCGACCATCTTGACTCCAGCAGACAGAATTTACGATGCTTGTGTGCCCCGTCCATCTAGCAGTGACCTTGCCTGTGTCGATGTTCTATAACCTCACTGCACTGTCTCGACTCCCGCTAACCACTTTCTCCGTCCCGCCAGTCTTTTCCTACCTGTTTCCCGCTCTTCAAGCTCCATACCCGCAGCGAGCCGTCCCCTGAACAAGTGATCATCCGCTGTCCGTCATGCAGGTGTATAACGCCCCAGACAGTATCAGTGTGTCCTTCAAAATTCTGGTCAAGGGTGATCTTTGATGTCGCCTGTATCCTAGCGATTGGTGGAGACATAATTTCAACTACCCAGCATACTTCCATCTCAGCGTCCATCTATTAAAACTCACAGGCGTCACTTACGAGGAGACATTTCTCAGTAACACCCGACGCGCACACACCACTGGGGAGGACTGGTGTTTCGGTATCGAGTCCGCTGGAAGTTCGAGTTATCTTCCAGGTATGTTTCACACGGTTGTCTGTTCACTTCACAGCTTACATACAACATAAGCTGTCCAGTGGAAGCGCCCAAGCCCAAGTTGTTTGTGAGTTTCTTCCTTCCCATCGAATTCCGTGTCACAATATTCGATTGAAAAAAACTGACCGCACGCCCTCTATCCGTTTGGTACTGCGCCATCCTGACAGTCTGCCACTTTCTTTCTGCAGTACTTAATTGGAGATGTAATGTAGTCAAGCCACACCATCAGCGACATCGTGAGTCCATAGCTGGCAGCGATGAAGAATACCAGGCCGACCGTTGCTCAGATGGGTTTTGCCAGTAGATTTGAAGAGGGAGTAAGCTAGTCTTCGAAGGTTAACTATCATCGCAGAGTCGGATGCAGAAACGAATGTCAGTCCGGTATTGGATCAGTGGACCAGCTGCATGGAAGAGATGAGCAACAATGCATAGTTGACTATAATACACCATAATTCAAAATCGTGACAAGAGGTGATTCCATAAGCATCAAGACTTTTCATGCAATGCAACCTCAGGATGGTCCTGCATCATGCGCCTGAGCTCCGTTTCGGGAATCCTCGCCTCAAACTCAATTGCGCACGGCCGCTCTGGTATGTCATCGTTTATGTACCCCATGTCATCCAACGGCTGCGTAGGATCCAAGGCGAGCCGGAACGACCAGAGAATAAGGAGCGAGTTGATGAATACCGATCTGTATTGGTCGAAGTGAGCTCGGAAGACGCTTGGAAGACGACGCGCGTGGAAGGATTATTTTACCTGTCCGCTACATGTTGACCGGGGCATACACTGGAAATAATGTCATTTAAAGAACCAATAGCTGAAAGAGAGGGCTTACCGCCGACCAAACCCGTAGACAAAGAATTTTAAATCGTCTCTCAGGCGACCTTGGTCGTCAATCCAACGTTGAGGCTTGAACGCATAAGGCTCAGGGTAGACTTCTGGATCTCGAGAGATGGACCTAAGGAAATAACCATCCTGTACATCGTGACTTGAAGCACGATGCTTACCAATGGTTGCCGAATACAATAGTCCCAGCTGGAATACAATAGTTCTCCTGATGCCAAATCATCATGTGTACGATATGTTTTTCGGTGATATTACTTGCCCAAATCACTTCTTTGTTCGTTTGGTGAGCCAAACCTGCATTGTGAACGTTGTAAACTTCAGATAAAAAACCACAACGAAAATACCCACCACCGGGAGCCATGGGTCTCCATCTCAAGGCTTCAGAAATGAAGGCTTGCAGGCGAGGAAGGGAACTTTGGTCGGCGAAGGTCGGCGCTTTAGTGAAGAAAAAATTGAATCCATAGAATTGCCTTAGGGAATCGAGCTACCTCGGTGGCTTCCGATGACCGCATCGAGCTCGGCCTGAACTTTTGCTTGCTCCTCGGGGAAACATGCAGCAGCCATGAACACCGTACATAGTGCGACAGAAGTCTTTTACCTTATTTGAGCCATATATCTTGGGAGACAACAGAACAACACCTCACCGTATTGGATCCAGCTCTAAACAAGGCACCAGCAAGAAAGGCCGTCTCAGCCTCTGACAAACCATAGAGATGACCACTTTCTAGCATATATTTTGCGAACGAAGGGCCGATGTCTACATTGCTCTGCTGCGGAACAACTCAGACATTTTATACGAAGATTGGTAATGCAACACCTACCATTTGTTCTTTCACGCGGTTCATGTGACCAGCGTTGAGTTTCATGTTCCTCTCAAACCCCCGTCTTAAGTCTCGGCCATACCAAGGAAGGTATTTGAGCCAAGGGATCGAGTCCACCAGGTAAGCACCAGGGCGAGCAATTGCACCAACCATCCTGAAGAGTTCATTAGTCTCAATGACTTCGGGATCAGTCGCAGACGTGGGCGTATTCTTCCCGTATGCAATTTTCATGATTATCGCCGCGGCATAACTTCAAAACATCTGTGAGCAATGCATTATTATATGCGAAAACACTTACGTTTTCACGTGGTTCTCGAAGTTGTGCGGATCATCAAGGATGTCAAGGACAGTATTCTTCGCGTGTGACATCTGCAGGGGCTGATAAGCCTCAGCTGCTTTAGGCTGGAGGTGCGTATGAAGTGCTCTGCATCACATTGAACGGTAAGATAAGATAGGGAACAGTATCGTGGATTACTAACCTACGCATGCAACGAAACCTTTCCCCAAAGGGTGCAAAGGCGATGCTGAGACCGCCGCTAAAAATTTCTCCAGCAGCAACCATGCGGGGACGATCAGCTAGTGATTTTCCCTGGTTCTCCATGATATCTATCGCGGCCTGCAAGAAAACTTCTGTTGACCCTGTATATGACAACTCTGCGTGGAGGGACTGACTTTATAACGTCCGATAATAACAATATTCACATATCCCAACCGAATAGTGATCACAGGACCGTACTTGTGTATCCATCCCGCTACAGTGAGAAATGTGCTTATCAACGATAGGACACAATCAGCACCAAAAGCGATGAGTCAACTGTGAAACCTGACTTGCGATGCGGCAGCATGTGCCCCAAAAGTCTCCAAGTGGGAGGGGACGGTGGGAGAGGCAGCCCACTCTTCTTTTTCGGAAGGTAAGCCCACGCAATTGCACCTACTATTACACCAAGACAAGCTGCAGCACCAAGGACAAGCTGCGGGTTGTCAGAAATGCACAGGTTGTGCAGCTGCAGCGTAGCTGGTAGAAGACGCGGTAGGAAGGGTTCAAGGAGGAAATTCATCATAAGTTGCGGAGCATTCAAGTGATGGATGGCTCTTTATGTAAGTACATGCCAATCGTAGTTGGTACCCTGACAAGATTGTCATCTTTACCCGGGGTGTGGACGATAAGACACTGCTCGACTGCTCGACCAATAGAGTGACAAGAAAAGCCCAAATTGGCGAACACCTGACGGTAAACCACACCCAATGATGCCAACGGTCCGAGACTTGCACGCGAACCAGGTTGCCATTCATTTTACAATCCCACTTACTTCAAATTTTTCATTTTATTCCACTGGTGCCACGTCTTCTGGAACAATGTACGCGGAAGCATTTTTGGATAGCAATTTCTTCGGCAGAACCGGCGGAAATTGCAGGATAGCCTGCTCTACTGTTTTAGCATTAGGCCATAGGTGTCTTCCTTCAATCGATCTGGCTAGGGAGAGGCTAATAGGTTTGTAAGTTCAATCAGGAAAATTATGTGAGACTGCCGGCGATACGTTTGAGCTTGCTAAGACATGACTCAGAGCAGTTGTTCGATCAAGCATCAGGATTCGAGAGTAGAGTAAGTACTGAGCAAACATCCAGTATGGACATAACCGTGGGAGTCAGAGTCAAGTGCTATACCAAGTCCATCAAGGACCCCGGACTTCTGCGATGTCTAGCCATTGGCCAATGTCAAGTCGGTTATAACACAAACCTAAGGGCAAGGGTCTGTACAAGGTGCTGACTTTAGGCTTCTTTAAACCTCTCCAAGGAGCCACACGCAACAGATATGGTTGCAATTTGCTTCTAGGAACTTCTGCCCCTTCACCTTGGCCGTACGTCATGTTCGTGCACCATTACTCTGACATGATAATACGTCCAGCAAGGTGGGAGCTGTGATCGATGATAGAGACGCGCATGTTTGCAGTCAGATTGAGAAGCAACTGGGTAGGGAGTCCTACACACTTGTCGCGAGGGCTGTGGACGTCGGCGCTTCTCGTGAACGCGTGAGATAGTCACGTTGCGCGTCGATTTTCTAATGTGCCGGGTCAGGTCTAGCTTACATGGGTAACAAAGGTGCTGTTGGCATATGTTTCCCCGTCTCAAATAGAGGGTGCAAAGCTAGAGAGGTTTTCACGTATGTCTCAGTCTTCATCATGGCTTGTGTCCCGAACAAACGCTTTTCCAGTGTGTTACTCACCTCACCGCGCACGAACCCAAGCTCGCTCAACCAATGGTGGATTATCATCACAATATTGTTAGCACTCTTCTCTGCCCTGTACACCCATCATCTCCTTCCTCTTCCTCAACTGCCATGTGTCACTTGTTCTTTCTCGGCGACCTCGACATATAACGATACCCCCATCACGTCCGCATGTGCAGGCTTCCAACTCCACCGGGTACGGTGTTGAGTTTCCGACCCGCGGTGTTACCCGTGCGGAACCCTAACTCCACGAGGTTCTTGCGACGTTGAAGGACGACGCATCTCGTCAGTTGAAGGAGGTTAGCCAACGTGTGAACCAGCGGAGGCTTTCATGGGTTTACGAGAGGTCCATTGTGGATATAGGCCCATCAGCAAATGCGACTTTGCTCATAAGTGCTTTTGGTTTAGTTCGGGTTTGCGTTCGTAAGCATACATTTTTGGTTATGTGTTCAGCATCTCCACCAATCGCATGAGTGCGCTACTGAAGTCGTAAGCGAAAATTATGGGTCTTTTGCTGATGTAATGTGTCATCATTTTATCCCAGTATATACCCAGACCTGACAGCTCAAAACGGACGCCATATTCGACGTATGGGATAATGTATGCGACCCATATTGATTCACCCGAGAAGTTCAATATCTTGTGCACAACAATACTATCATACGTCACATCAGAATATTTGAGTTCTCCTCTCAGCACCACAATCGCATCTAATATGTGAACAGAAACCCATCGTCCCCCAAAACGTGTACACTTCCCATGGTTCGGTTACCCTGAGCGTACTTGCCCACAAGACGAAGAAGTGCGTGCTATCGTACAAAAAGAGCGGTTCGAAAACGTCAGTCATGCAGCAGAGCAAGTAAGTGGGCAGAACGTATTAATGATGATATGTGAATCCAAGGTAATCTAGTAAAAGCAAGAAATCCTCGCGAAGTGAAGGACAGGAAATCGTAGATTGACGATGACCATCGGATATATTCGGGAGACGTACAACAGATAAAGAGCCAAAGGCGAGTGCAGAGGCCAGCGTGTCCTATTGTTACATCAGGTCGTCGATGTCATAGCTGGGGCAGTATCGCCAACGGCAAGTGTGGTATAATATCGAGGAAAAGCGGTCAAGAAGGGCGCGTCCATGCGGGACTGGAGATAAACTGGTACGACGGCGTACTACATTAAAACGGTCGTCGAAAAAACCTGGGGGTACTAGATGGGCACCCCGACGGCGCTGAACCGGAAGTCGTGCAACATCGTCCTAGAACAGATATGTTTGTATGCAATGCCAATATTATTTGATAAACCATGCCACACCCACCGAGCGACAACTTCTCATTGTTCTGAGAGGGCGCACTCAGTTCCTACTAAGTACTAGACATCCATGAAATGAGAAACTCACCTTTGGGGTCGTCGAGTCCAACGTTTCTAACAATGGCAGTAACGTCCTATGTGTACTAGGCATTGTTGTTATAGCAGGCAGCAGCTAGTAGCTTTCCATCTGCCGAAAATGATCCACAGTTATCAGCATCGAACTGATAGACTGGCCGTTCTCGAGGTTCCACGTTCCACAATCCAGTCACAATCGCGCTGTATTGCCATGGACCAATGCGCTTGCGAGGATGCAGTCATTTGGAGACAAGGCAATGGGCATAGTATCACACGTCCTAATGATCGAGTGATTGGATATTTTGGGCCGTCACGCCATGTGCTATATCGATCCTCACGAACACGAAATATTTCTTTAGAAGACGTATGGTGGAGTAACGACACTTCTGGTGAGTTCAAGGCTACGTGGGTGACCGGTGACCAGTGATGACGTTGTGATGACGAGAGCATACTTCTAGTGCTAGTAGCTGCTCAACTCCGAGTCTGAGTCAGACCGAGGTAGATTCTTGTCTGTAAGCCACGTCACCGCGTTCATATTTCCTATCGATTTCAATAACCGTGAGCTAAAGCTAGTGGTCATTCTGCCATTACGCCAGTTTTGCAGTAGTATTTTTCCTAGTCGGGACGTGACATCAATGGGATGGAATGAGACATTTGAATTATCCTTGCTAAATCAACGGCAAGTGGATTGGCATGCAGCACTTACACTAAATACGTCTGGAATGCAATTCCCGAATCAGTGAAGGGCCTTCTTCCAGCCAAGCGAGAAAGTGTCTGTTCTCTGTAGTGCTGCCGTGGTCCGGTTTGGTCAGGTTCACAGAGGGATGAGCGAAAACCAAGAACTGGACCTAGGTCCGGTTCTACCAGACTCAACGAACCCCGAACTGGACCTTTGCAAACGGTTCGGAATGGTCAGGTCCGGTTATTTTCAGGTTCGAACGTGAACCGAACCTAATTTTTTTAACAGCGAGCCAAAAAAAAACATCGATATTTTACAGTGCACAACAAAAACGTAGATAGTACTTGTACTCATAGCTACACATTGAATGAACAGGTCAATGAGATTACTTACTCCCCACCAGGCAACAATGTTGTCAACTTCCTCTAGCAGCGAAGACAGATACATTGTGAGTTCTTGACGAGGATTATGAGCACGTTGGTCCGCGGCTTGACGTGTTTTGATGGCCTCGCGCATCCATGCATCACCGTACCGATTTTCATGCAAGGGTCTTGTTGGCAGAGTGGGTTCTTTGGCAGGTGCCCGAGCTGGCGGTTTATAATACTCGTCAAACTGTAAACGTAAATTCAGGAAGGATAGTGAGCAGACAGAAATAATATTACTTACCACAGCCTCAAGATGAGCCCTACCATCCGCAACGTCTCGAGTGTCCCATCGATCTTCGACATAGGCAAGCTTGTAGTTGGGGTCGAGGACTGTAAATGTAATTTATATGAGGGTGCGCGTGAAAATAATATTAATGCTCACCGAGACAAATGAAATATACGTCAGAGTCACTCGTTTTCTTGTAGTACTTATCAACGTTCTTGAGTCCATGCTTGATTGCGTCTGCGATTGGTGCGTACTGCGCGTCGTTTGTCATCTCTTGCCACCGGTCAGCAAGGCATTCCAACGTAGGGATCGTTTGTGATGCAGTTGGGTGTTTCGCAGATGAGAAGGATTGTTGGGCAGTCGCTGGTTCCTTCAGGACTTGATGAATGAGTGTGAGGTGTTTCCAATCGTTCCGATCGAGCTTGAAATCATCATAAGACTTGTTGCGAAGATTCAGCACTTCTTTACTTTCGTCAGCGAGGTTTGTGAAGTGGTTCACAGCCTATTCAATTATAAATATATATCAGACTGATGAACACCGATAAAAAAAAAAAGGCTTACCCGACGTAAGAGTATCATGCGATCGATACATTTATATAGCGAAGCCCAACGAGTCCTAATCCACTGCAATAACTCAAGCTCGGGGACGTTCTCTTCTTTGCAGGCCTTCTTGAAGAAGGCACGAGCTTGAGGCGATTTTCAAATCTAATAATACCAATCAGCAAGAGCATAGAATAATAATGTAGTACGTACCTGCTCAATGAGTGCGAGGGCTTTACCGAGCGAATCACCAGTGTTGAACACGTCATCTTTCTCACAATCACCATTAACTTCCATGGCTGCGAGCTCCTTATTCAAAATGTCGAGATCATCATTGTTCCCTGTATCGAGCGCCTGACGGATCTTCTTCATAAGCGCAGCTTGAGGAGTAGGTGCAACCGCATCTACGAAGTGTCTTGCTGCAAGGTTTAGTATATGCTCCTGGCATCTGATGCGGTGTGTGGCTGGTATCCACTGGACACCCTCTGGATCAATTTGACGAGCGACTTCCTTCATTGCAGTATCGTTGTTGCTCGTGTTATTGGAGGTCATCCACCCGAGCTATATGAACCATTAGCTTCGCTGTAGGCAGTAGGATAGTAGGCCAGACTTTACCTTTTCTCGGAGGTTGTATGTGTCAATTGAGTCGATAAGCAAACGAGCAATGTTTTGCCCACTGTGATTGCCCTCGATGTGTTCGAAACTAAGCTGCTCGCAATGTAACTCCCATTGTTGGGGTTTGTCATCTGGATTCCAAATATAATGGCCAGTGACGGAGAAAAACGGGTCGCCGATGATTGAAGTCCAGGAGTCGAACATCATGGAGACTTTACTATCAACCTTTGCAAGATGTTCGCGTATAACATTGACTACAGCTTCCATACGTGCCTTGATGGTTTCAGTGAGCTTCGTGCGGTGAGGGATGTCACGTTCAGTAAGGCCAGTGCGAACATAGCGAAGTAAGTTTCGGAAAGCTGGTTTGTCAACCAGCTGCAGCGCCTCATCTTCAGTCACAATAAACTCCATTATATACTCCAGGAGCCCTGCCTTGGTGAACGTAGGCACTTTGGTGACGAGTATAGCATCGAGGGTAGATTGCCTTGACCTGTCAATTATTCAGTTTCACAATATACGAAATGTTAGTTAAAGCTCACAGGGCCCGATCCTCGTCAGCTGGAATAGTGCGAGGGTGCATTACAATTCCTGCAGCTTGGCAGCAAGCCTTGTAGAACTGAAAGTGGTTTTTTTTCCTGATAGAATATGTTAGTAAAAGTCAAGAGATCTCACTGAGAGAACATGAACGTACCGACTAATGTGAGTGTACAGCGTAGAGATACCTCCTCGAAAGATGTGCCTGCTCTTGGGTTCACCAGCATCCCTACCAAACACTGTTAGCAGAAAACAATGCATGCAGTGATAACTACGTACTTGCAAGGGTTGCAGACCCAGTGCGTTTCATGGCGAGTGAAGGTGGTGTGAATGTCAGCGGTACGTTCGCTCTTTGCCAAAGTAGCTTGGACAGCCTCGGGTTCAGCGCTGTCATCCGGTTCGGTGTCATCGTCAGGTTCGGATTCATCTTCGGCTTCGGGCTGGTCAGCGCCAGGCTCCAAAGGATCAGTATCGCTGTCGTCAAGGCTATCATCAGATAATAAAGACGATAGAACTTTCTTGCGGGCCGGTTGAATTTCGTTAGCGCTGGATAAAGCACGTTTTCGGCTCATTGAGGAATAAACATTCTCGGTATCCCGCAGGCGAGCAGATGGCTTGGACTTGCGAATGGATCGTCGAGAACCAGCTGTAACTGGCACTGGTTTGCAACCTGTGAGAGTAGGCGCAGAGGAAGGAGTAGAGAGCGGGACAGTATCATCAGGATCATGATAAAAGACGATATCCTTGGCGTCCTTAAGAGATCCATCAGCATTGAGGGCGCATGCGTCAGATTCAGACATGATGTTGAGTGGAAATATCACTCACCTGGTGGGGCTTGCTCCTTTTAACTGCAAACAAAGTAAACAACCGATCTCCAAAGTGATATGCATCGGAGGATCCTGAAAATATATCAATGTTAAAATAAATAAAAATGTGCTTGATTTGACAGTTGATTCGTACCTTGAGCCTTATTTGAGAGCCGGGGGTGCGGGATGCGAGCCTCCGGACAGAATTCAAAGTCGGTGCAAATCTTGAGGATCTCAGAAGTTAAAGTGACCATGAGGGCAGAAGTTGAAGTCGAAGTCGAAGTGACCATCAGCGTGTGCCTCGCCGATATCGCGAGGACACTTCGGTTCGGGGTTCGGAACGGTTCGGGAAGGTCTGAACCTATGCCCGAACCGTTCGGGTGATGGTGGACCGCGGACCTCATTCTGGTCCGGTCCGTCCAAAACGTGGAACCATGGACCGAACCAAGGACGAACCTGACCATTGGTCAGGTTCGAACCATGGTTCGGGACCGGACCACGGCAGCACTAGTTCTCTGCCAGCTGGCCCAGCAGCGCTGTCCATTCCAACACTACGAGCTGTCGAGGCGTGTCACCGAGGGAATATCATCAGAGAACTCGTGAGTCTACCCATGGTACTCTACGTGGATTACGGCGTTTTACATGACTTTATAAAGGAAAGAAGTTCTATATATGAGGATATATCGTCATATAAGACTTTATCTGCGGCTCGTCAGTTCACTGATGAGAATGAGCAATTTGAAGTATATATTTCAAGCAGCTGTGGTGATTGTTTGCCAGCTGAATTGCCCTCAAATTCTCCGACACTACGGGGGTCGTTGAGACGTGGCTATGAAGAATTTGAAGTATGTCTGCCAACTGGATTTAAAGCAGGTCCATACAGGTATCTGTCAGCGTCCACGGTCACCTTGCTTACCCTTATAACGGGGCTTAAAAAGCCAGTCATAACTGAATACACTTGCGACGAGTTCTTTTCTTGCGCTCCTCCGATTAGTCATGTTACAGCTGCCTGACCTGTACATCTTTGACAACACGCAGCTCACTCTCAGTGCTGCCGCTTGCCTTGGGCTAGTAGTAGGAGTATTGTCTTGGGTTTATCTTTCTCAGTCAAAGGATCGCCTTCCTCGCCCACCTTCCCCTCCCACTTGGAGGCTTCTGGGGCACTTCCTACCGCGTCGCAAGTAAATTGTCGCCTTTGATTGATTGTCTTCAATGCTGATTGTGTTTTATCGCTGACAAGTTCATTTCTCACAATAGCTGGATGGATTGACGAGCACGGTCCTCTAATCACCCTTCGGTCGGGATTTCAGAAAATAGTTATTATTGGCCGTTACAAAGTCAGCCCCTCCATGGATGTCATATCCGTGCTCAACTTTTTGTTGCAGGCCGTCGTGGATATTATGGAGAGCCAGGGCGGATCGCTAGCTGACCGTCCTCGCAAGGTTGCCGCTGGAGAAATTTTCAGCGGCGGACTGGGCATCGCCTCTGCACCCTTTGGGGACAGGTTCCGTCGGATGCGTAGGTGAGTAGATACTTCTCCTATCCTATCTTATTTTTAACGTGACGCAGAGCACTTCATACGCATCTCCAGCCTAAAGCAGCTGCGACTTATGAGGGCTTGCAGATGTCACACGTGAAGAACACTGTCCTCAACATTCTTGATGATCCATACAATGTCCAGAACCATGTGGTAACGTGAGTGCCTTCGCTTATGATAATACATTACTTACATGTATTTTAAAGTTATGCTGCGACAACAATCACGAAAGTTGCATATGGGAGTACCACGCCCTTCTCTGCGACTGATCCACAAGTCATCGAGATGCACGAAATCATGAAGTTGGTTAGTAAGATCCTGCGCCCTGATGCTTACTACTTGGTGGAGTCGATCCCGTGGCTCAAACACATTCCTTGGTATGGCCGAGAATTGAAGCAAGGGTTTGAGAAGAGCAAAAAACTCCATGTTGGTCAGCTGAACCGCGTAAGAGAGCAAATGGTATGCATTGCCTTGCCAACCTTTCCGTAATATTCAAGTCCTTCCACAGCAGAGAAATGAGGACATCGGCCCATCATTCATGAAATATATGCTAGAAAATAAGGACGTCCATCGCTTGACAGATCCCGAGACTGCATTTCTTGCTGGGGCCTTTTTTGGAGCTGGATCCGATACGGTGAGGTTTTCTTGTTGTATCCCAACATATGTGACTGAAATTAGGTATTAGATTGGTGTGGCAATATGCATAGTGCTCCTAGCAGCGGCATGTTTCCCTGAGGAACAAGCTAAAGTTCAGGCTGAGCTTCGATGCGGTCATAGGAAGGCACCGAGGTAACTCGATTCTCTATCGTAGTTCTGTAAATTCAATGATCTCCGCACTCAAGCGCCAACCTTCGCTGATCAACAGTCACTGGTTCACCTGCGCGCCTTCATCTATGAAGCTTTGAGATGGAGACCCATTACTCCCAATGGTAGGTATCGTCGTTTTAGTTTCCCTAGAATTTACTACATTCACATTGTAGGAATAGCTCACCGAACAACTAAAGACGTGATCTGGGCAAGTAATCTCTGAACGATTTATTGTGCAAATAATGATCTAGCCCATCAGGAAAACTATTGTATTCCAGCTGGGACCACAGTATACGGCAACAATTGGTGAGCATCCTTCAACTTGTCAAAATACGAAGGACCTGACAGTCACTGCCTTAGGGCCATCTGTCGAGATCCAGAAGTCTTTCCCGAGCCTGACGCGTTCAAGCTTGAACGCTGGATTGACGACCAAGGTCGCCTGAGAGATGATTTGAATAATTTCGTCTATGGGTTTGGTCGGCGGTAAGCACCAAGTGTCAGCTATCCGTCCTTTGAATGACATTCCTCCCAGTATATGCCCCGGTGAACATGTCGCGAACAGGTAAAAACTACTTTTCAAGCACACGGTTCTCTGAGCTCACTTCGATTGGCACAGAGCGGTGTTCATAAACGCCCTGCTTATTTTTTGGGCCTTCCGACTCACTGTGGATCCTACAAAGCCGTTGGATGACATGGAATTCATGACTGGGGAGAGATCAGATCGGCCGTGCCCCATTAAGATTGAAACTAGGATTTCGGAAACGGAGCTCAGGCGCATGATGCAGAATTATCCTGAGGCCGCGTATTGACTGTGGATGGATCGCCACTAGAGAGGGAGCGAAGAACCAGTCTGGAATGAAGAACCAATGTTCTGAAGCATCGCCCTAGGACTACCTAGTATGCGCTGTAATTCACCTTGTAACTTGTTCGATTGTGCATCGTGCACTGTAACTATATCTGTCGACATGATCAGGTCTTACTGCACGGTCTTGTCGCATTCCGTCAGCATTCTAATATATACACTCCCCACCGTTGGGGTGATGTACACGTAAATTTGGGTTGTAGCGCTGCGACCATCATAAGTAGAATGCAAATCGCAGTGGTGGATTGCATGTATGGCTCGGCCCTCATATTGCTTAGTAGACGAGGAGCCCAAGTGATGTAATCAAATTCCGACCAAAATGAGCCAAGTGGCTGACATCGGACCAAGATGGGACCCAGAGATTTCCCCAGTTTTGCCCGCAGTGTCCAATTCCTGGATGTTCTCAGCACGACGTAGTCTAAGATTAGCATCCATCACAGTTCAAATTTGTCACTTACGAGAACCGGCGACCCGCGGATACAAGGAGACAATAAACACTTCAGTCTCAAGGCAAAGTTGAGTCCAGCGGAAGTTTGAGTTGTCTTCCAGGTACGTATTATCCTCGTCTTGATATCACCGCTTATTTACAGCACATAGGTTGTGCAGCTAAAGTGTCTAGGCCTCATTAAGAATGCTGACGGAATGCGACAGAGCTATAATATACAATTCACGATCGAACAGGTTACAAGGTGAGTTACTGCGCGTACTAGAGGGATGCTTCGGAAAATTGGCAATTTGTTCTTTCTCTGGTGTCAGTTCATCCACATTCAATCACGCGGCCTCAGGATAATTCTGCATCATGCGCCTGAGCTCCGTTTCTGGAATCCTCATCTCAGTCTGAATAGTACATGGCCGGTTTGTTTTCTCCCCATTCATGAACCCCATGTCATCCAATGGCTTCGTAGGATCCAGAGTGATCCGGAAGGCCCAAAGAATAAGCAGGGTGTTTATGAACACAGATCTGCAGCAGTCGAAGTGAGCCCGGTGGACCCTGTGCGTAAAGAGTAGTTTTTACCTGTTCGCGACATATTGACCGGGGCACGCACTGGAACGAATGTCATTCAAAGAACGGATTGCTGACAGTCGGTGCTTACCGCCGACCAAACCCATAGACGAAATTATTCAAATCATCTCTCAGGCGACCTTGGTCGTCAATCCAGCGTTCAAGCTTGAACGCGTCAGGCTCGGGAAAGACTTCTGGATCTCGACAGATGGCCCTAAGGCAGTGACTGTCAGGTCCGGATCCTTCGTATCTTGAAATTTGTAGGACGATGCTCACCAATGGTTGCCGAATACTGTAGTCCCAGCTGGAATACAATAGTTTTCCTGGTGGGCCAGATCATTATTTGCACAATAAATTGTTCAGAGAATACTTGCCCAGATCACGTCTTTAGTTGTTCGGTGGGCCAATCCTGCAGTGTGGATGTAGTAAACTCTAGGCACAAAACCTCAACGACGATACGCACCATTGGGAGTAATAGGTCTCCACCTCAAGGCCTCAGATATGAAGGCACGCAGACGAGTAAGTGACTTTTGATCAGCGAAGGTTGGCGCTTGAGTGCGGAGATCATTGGATTTACAGAACTGCAATAGAGAATTGAGTTACCTCGGTGCCTTCCTATGACCACATCGAGCTCTGCCTGGACTTTAGCTTGTTCCTCGGGGAAACATGCCGCTGCCAAGAGCACTATGCACATTGCTGAAGCAGTCTGGAACCTAATTTCAGCCACATACCTTGTGACACAACGAGGAAAACCTCACCGTATCGGATCCAGCTCCAAAAAAGGCCCCAGCAAGAAATGCAGTCTCGGGATCTGTCAAGCCATGAACGTCCCTATTTTCTAGCATATATTTCATGAATGAAGGGCCGATTTCTACATTGCTCTGCTGCGGAACGACTCAGACATAATGTGAAGATTGACAAGGCAATGCATACCATTTGCTCTTTTACGCGGTTCAGCTGACCCATGTGGAGTCGCTTGCTCCTCTCAAACCCCTGTTTCAATTCTCGGCCATACCAAGGAAGGTGTTTGAGCCACGGGATAAACTCCACAAGGTAGTAAGCGTCAGGGCGCACTAATTTGACAACCAATTTCATGAGTTCGTGCATCTCAATGACTCGGGGATCGGTCGCAGAGAAGGGCGTGGTACTCCCATATGCAACTTTCGTAATTGTTGTCGCAGCATAACTTCAAAATACTTGTCAGTGATGTATTGTCACAGTCGAAAGCCCTCACGTTGTCGCATGGTTCTTGAAGTTTTCTGGATCATCAAGGATGTCAAGGACGGTTTTCTTTGCGTGTGACATCTGCAGGGGCTCATAAGCTGCCGCTGCTTTAGGTTGGAGATGCGTATGAAGTGCTCTGCATCACGCTGAAAAGTAAGATAGGATAGTAAAGGATTGCGGACTACTTACCTACGCATCCGACGGAACTTGTCCCCGAAGGGTGTAAGGGTGATGCCTAGCCCGCCGCCAAATATTTCTGCAGCAATCATGCGAGGACGATCAGCTAGCACTCCGCCTTGGCCCTCCATAATATCCACGGCAGCCTACAACATAATGTTGAGCCTGGATACGATAACTTGGCGTGGAGAGACCGACTTTGTAACGGCCGATAATGATCATTTTCCCAAATCCTGAGCGAACAGTGATCAGAGGCCCGTACTCGTTAATCCATCCTGTTATAGTGAGAAATGACCTGATCGACAATAAGACACAATCAGCATTAAAAAAAGAATGTGTCGAAAGCGAAAATGTACCTGTGGTGCGGCAGGAGGTGCCCCCGAAGCCTCCAGGTAGGAGGGGAAGGTGGGAGAGGAAGGCGACTCTTTGACTGAGGAAGGTACGCCTGAGCAAATACTATTAAACCAAGACAAGCGGCAGCACCGAGGACGAGCTGCGTGTTGCCAGAATTGAACAGATCAGGCAGCTGTAACATAACTCAGGTGGCAAAAGCGCAAGGAAGGAACTCGTCGTAATTTTATTCAAGTCATGACTGGCTTTTTAAGCATCGTTGTAAGGGTGAGCAATACAATGACACTGACAGACGCCTGGATGGAAACCCGCTTGAAATCCAGTTGGCAAGCATACTTCAAATTGTTTATTCTATACGATTAGTGCCACGTCTCGACGGCCCGTAGTGTCGGAGAATTATTGGAGGGCAATCTTGCTGGCAGAGAATAAGTAACCACAACTGCTTGAAATCCAGTTGCCAAGAATACTTCAAATCGCTCATTCCATTACATTAATCCAAGTCTCGACAGCCCATGGTGTTGCCGAAGAATTATTGGAAGACGGTTCTGCTGGCAATGACTCGGAATAACCACTCGGCCACTCGGCTGTAGGAAGGCCCTTCCCTGATTTCGCAAGCTAAACCCCAGCATTTACTCCTGCCATACAAGGACAAGCCGTGTCGCCACCGAGAGTGTTGTCAGAAATGCACTGGTTAGAACTTAGGCCAAAACATAGCTGACGGAAGGAGCGCAAAGAGGGATTGGAAGGGATCCATCGTATGTCACGGTGCATTCCAATCATGGATGGTTGTTCCATTCCGGTGTTGCACGTTAATCGTTTCCGAAGATAGTCACATGTACTTACTTACCTGCCACTGCCATAGCTAAGTACTGCCAATGTGATGGCGTGGGCGTGTCCGATCGAAGGTGAACTTCAAGGATAAACGCCAAGATGATTACTTACACTATCCAGTTCCACTGACTTATAAGTATGTTCTCCATCTCACTATGCCATCATCTCTCTACCCGTACCTAGCGTTTGGCACTTTTTAGCCATAATGGAGAGCATATTCCAGCATCGAAGTTGTTGCTCGAGTGGCCCATTAGTACTTGCCTTCCGAATTGCACGGGCTCTCGAACGCAAACCAGGATACTTACTGATGGACAATTCAGCTGATAAAATAGCAGAATGACTGCTTCGCCGCAGACCCTAGAGGTTGTAACTCGATGAGGACGGAATGACGGGCTTCAGCTGCAACCTGGAACTACAAATCTGCTTTGTGCAAATTATAGCGCAGCATATCAGTAAATGTAGATGAAAAAGTTCGCGTCACAAGAAATTGTCGGTTTAAGGAGGGCGCCGCGACAGGGAGAATAGTGCAAAAAGCCTATAGGAATTACAGTGCAGAGCGCATCAATGACGAGATGTACACCCAAGTGGCGAAAGTATGAGTCGTTTGAAGGACAATAAATTCCAGATCAATGATGATCCTCGGTGTATTCAGGCGACGTACAACAGATCAAAAGCCAAAAACGAGTCCACTGTCCAGGATGTCTTATCGTTGCATCAGGGCGCGAGGTTGTCGATTTTGGAGCTGCGGAAGTACCGAGGATGTAGATGACGTGGAGACTACAACCTGCGGCTCCAAAGATGTCTGTGCCTCAGCCGTTCCGCTAGGTTGCTGCGGGATATTGCTCTTGGGAGGCCGTGAGCTGCTTGCAGCAGCATTGTTCGAGTTCTTCTTCCGTTTTTTCTCTCGCTGAAGCATTCCTCTATATGATATGAGGTGGAGTTTAACGTCCGAAAACGGGGAAAACACACGCGTTTGCCTCGTGCATACGGGACCTCGGCTACTGTTAGGCGATGATCGCGCAACTCGATGCCTTCACCATTTTGTCTGTGTCATGTCCCAGAGAAAAACAATCGATTCCAGTCGAGAGGGCCGGTTCTGGATGGCGTATCGTGTGCATCAGAGTTGACGCGGCGGAGGAATGAGAAAAAGCGGTGAGGAGGTGTGCGTCCATGCAGTGCTGGAAATAGATCAGCAATGTGATGGTGTGCAGAAGAGGATGAGGGGAGGCGGAATCGTGCAGATAACTGAGGTTGAGGTCAGAAAAAGGTCAAAATGACACTAACTACGTACGTCAGTAGACTCGTGACCAGTCCGTCTACTATCGACGGTTTGCCTCATAGACGGACTGGTCACGAGTCTAGTATGTCAGGACGATCTCGTGAGTTGTCGAAAAAACCTCGGGGTACCTGTGCGGGACGTCGCGTAGCATTCTAGAATACATCTACTCAAACGCAATAAAATAGTTTTTATTCACGGGCCACGTACATCGAGTAACACCTTGTCACCAACCTAGAAGAGCACGGCACGGTTCAGTTGCTAGAGAGAAATGAAATACTAGAAATGAACTGACATTTGGTTTCCACGGAAAGTCGTCAAGGCCAGAGTCTCTAACAATTGATGAAATATCCCTTATGTATGTGTTGTTATCACTGCGGGCCGTGGCTTATAGTTGCCCATCTGCCGAAAACGATACGCAGGTTACAGGATGTGCGTGCTGGAGGGGCAAGCTGATCGACTGGCCGTTATCGAGGCTCCACAATCGCGCTGTATTATCAAGCGATGCGCTTGCGAGGATACGACTGGTCGGAGATACTGCAATGGCATATATAGTTGCAGTGTGCTCATTCAGCACTGTAATCTTCTCCCAAGTCTCAGTATTCCATGTCATGATTGAGTGATCGAGTGACCCGAACATTAGCGTCTTTTGGTCCGAGGTCCAAGCTAGACAAAATGCTGCACCCGTGTCCTTTGAGAATCGAGACCAGGTCGCCCGTCTCGGCATCCCATATCTTGACTGAGGACTGAGTGTCATGTCTGGCAGTCGCAATAAGGGCTGCGTCTGGCGAGTAGATGATTGTGTACACGTGCTCATGCCCGGTCTCGATTGGTCCGAGGATGGTCGTTTCGCTCTCCACATCCCATTGTCTTACGGTCCCATCGTAGGATCCGCTTACAACTCGCCGACCATCTCGACTCCAGCAGACAGACCACACTGTCTAGATCTTTGCGTGCCCGGTCCATTTGGCAACGACCTCACCTGTGTCGATATCCCACAACCTCACTGCGCCGTCCCCACTCCCGCTAACCACGTTCTTCCCGTCGGGTGACAAATCCATGGTGCAAACTGTATTTTCTCCGTCCCGCCAGTCGTTCCCTATCTGTTCCCCGCTCTTCAAGTTCCATACTCAGAGTGAGCCGTCGTTTGAACAAGTGATGATCCGCTGTCCACCTGGGAGGTGTATGATGCCCCAGACTGAAGCTGTGCGACCCCCAAATTGGTGGCGGGGCGCGATCGCTGATGTTCCCTGTATCCTCGCGATGGATGAAAACATTCCAAAGTTCAACTGTCAAGCACAGTACAATCTCAGCTTTAATCTATCAAAGTCCAAGTAATTACTTACAAGATGTTTCTTAGCAGAGAATATGATGTGCACTGCACGGACACAAGGAACAATGGACGTTTCAGTCAATTCAGAGTCGAGTCTGCTCAGTGCTGGAAGTTTGGGTTTTCTACATGGTTGCGCCATGCACATTGCAGAGCTTACAGCATGGGCTGTGCAACTGAAGCGCCCAGGTCTCATTTGGTTTCGTGGTCCGAATCAAAATGGTGGTCCGTGCGCGGGTTCTTGTACATATAAAAGGGCTCTCTCAACAACTTGAATCCTTACCACTCTGGCCTTTTGGCTTAGATCAAGTGTAGTATCTGTTCTTAATAGTTTAACCACTATTATGAGGGCACCGCCCTCATTCTTTGGTTATCAAATTTTTGTCGCCCTTGTTCCTTCGAGCTCTGCTTGCAACTTGAGGGACATGATGACCTTGCTACTGCACTACTGGCTTGTGTCGTCGGGGGATCTCTTTTGGATCTCATTTTCTCTTTTCTCGGTGACTACTCCATAGTCTCTTGACTATGTATGGTGCTGGGAAAACAGAACTTGTGGTCAACTTTGTATTGTAATTACAATGTGTCACTTAAATAACAATTCATATGATTCAAAGTACTGGTTGAAGAGCATAACAGGGAAGATGTCATAATCTGTGATGTAGCAGAATGAGTAGTACCAGTACAGGCTCTCCGGTGGATAACATGACCCGCAAGACAGTGAAGAGGGCCAGCGGTATGTAAAAACTGATAGAGCAGTGCAAACGAAAATGCCACAAATATGATATACATCACTGAAATGTTATGTGATAAATGTGTGCCAAATGCAGGTGAGAGCGAGTACTATGTGGTGTCGTGTCGTACAAGTAACAAAAAGGACTAAGAGCGAGTAGCACAGAGTACATGAGCATACCTTCAAGGCACACAGACTGGTAAAGGCATGTGACGAGTCCTCATGTGACGAGTCCTCATTTGAGGAACGGACAACTCGCAAATTATTGCAATTTACAAATATAATGAAACTCACCTAAAAAGAAAAAAGTTTCAAACGAGTGTGGCTGAGTAGTACTCTAAGTAGTACCCGACGCGCGTTACACAACAACATTCAACTGAGTATATGCGCGACTATGAGTCAACTCGGGTCCGACGATGATACTCGCGACGACGCTAGAGTCCATGGCAATGGTTTCAATGAAAATGGTATGTTTTTATCGCAGTACTGAACAGTGAACACCAGGGACCTTATGTTGTCATTATAGAACCTTTGGAGAGCGCATATAACAATGGCAAGGGTATCGCAGTCTCCGTGACATTTACCCCACTTCTACCACCTCCAGCAACTGGAGAAAAACGCCGCAAGAATGCTAAATCACCACCCATAAACCGTGCCTTCTTCATCCACGAAGATTCAACCCTCCGCGACCTTCTCGATACAACATTCGAACACTATGACGTCTCCGAGAAAATGATGTACGGTATTGGGAATCGATCAGGTCTTCTCTCGGCTACCAACTTCACGATCACGTACACAATCCTTCGCACGAACTATAAGAATATTGTTCTCGCAAACCTCAGTGATTTCGACACAATCATGGAGGAAGTCAAAGAACACCGGTCACCAGCCTTCAAATTGACTATCATCGAGACCAAGGTATGTATTTTGGGTGTTTGTATGTGATTTGCAGTAAGCTAAATACATGGTAGTATGATGATGGCGAAGAAGCTGAAGAAGATGAAGAAGCTGAAGCCGAACCTGCGGGTAAGAGGGTGAGATATATGTGTTTCGATTGTCTTCTTGTCACTCATGTTGCGAAGGCTGCAACAGGTCCAACTGACGAGGAGATAGAGCAAAACGAGGCAATTGCAAATCTGACTCGTCAGTATACCTGCGAAGACCGAGCATGTGGTTTCCGTATCTGCTGGCCAGCTCCACCAGACGCCAAACACGTCAACCTGACACCATTACATCTCAACACGTGGGCTGCTGCGATGGTCTGCGTGATGTTCTGAAGTATGTAATCTGCATGTGTCACTAACAGGGTTATTACACAATAGGTTGGTCCGAACAAGCAGCCAGGTGTCGACTTAGACAATCCGCCAAACACGAAGATTTTCGATGTTACATACGCAGACCCGACTGATATTGCTACTCTCTCACGTCGACGTCTCAATACAGTTACCCAAACCCAATCCTCCGCACCAAGTATTGTCATCAACAATGACTTCAAGGATATTGTGGGCCTCCTGCATGGCAAACGTGGACCCGATCACGCTGCCAACATCCCACAGCCTGCTGCTCTTCGTCCGAAGTTGAGTTTGATTGATTTTTGTGAACGCTTCAACCTATCGCTATGGCTACGTGAGAAGTTGGACAACATTGACGTGACAGGCCCACACTGTCTTCGGTTCCTTCAGAATGCTGACTTGCTTGGTGCTGGACTGTCTCTTGGTGAGCTTGCAGATATTCGCGATGCCGAGGAACGGTGGATGCTTGATGCTTAGTTTGTATGGCTCCGAGCTTTCAAAGTGTATTTTTCGGCTGCAGTATTCACAGACACCCATTCATAATATTATGCTACTGTATTGTAACAATGCTATGGTCAAGCAAGATAACCCGAGTGACGAAAGAAGCCCCAAGTCATCTCGGGTGTTATGACAGAACATGCAGTGTACAGCTCATAGTAAGGAGCCTTAGGCCCATAGAACCCTAACCCTTGGCGACGGAGATGTGACTTGATTGCGGAGAATGCTTGCTCAATAGGATTGAGATCCGGGGAATATGGTGGTAAGTATTCAATGCGGCACCCTGACAAAATAGTGAGACAACTCCGTATCACAAGCTTTATTATACTGACCATAAGCATGAACAAGCTCTTCGATTTCCTCCGCATGGTGAATACGAGCATTGTCCATAACCAACACACTCTGTGGCCCTGGAAATGGAGTCGTGATAGGAAGCTAATAATAACAGGTTACTGATACATCACAACGACACTGACAGTTTGAAAACGAACCACATCATTTTGCAAAAAATCGATGAAAGTCTTGCGATTGAATGATCCTTCAACAACTTTTGCAGCAATGATGCCCTCATTGAGAGCCAATCCTGCTACCATTGAAAACCGACGTTTCCGAACAAATGGTTGATGCTGCTCAGCACGTGCACCTCGTGGAGCACGTCCCCAGCGACGCGAGTATGTACGGTCATCTTTTGAAACTTCATCCAAACAGAGTAATGAAGCTGGCGAGTATTGCGAGACACGACGAACGAAGTCTGCACGACATAGAGAGTCACGTTCAGCTGCAATCTTCTCAATGTGCTTGAGATTGATGCCAGCACGCTCAAAAGATCGGTGAATGGTGGATAGTGATGTCTGTAGAAACCGGCCATCCTGAAGTCTCAGCTGGTATTCATCGAGGAATAGGGTGGGGTTATGGCGAGCAAGCCGAATGAGGAACTGGATATCATGCTGGGTGAAAGTACGAGGCCTGCCCCTGCCAATTGCCTGAATTTTGGCTACACTGCCAGTGGCTCGTTTACGACGTTGTGTGCGGTAGATGGTTGACTTTGAGATCTGTGTGATGGAGAGGATTTCTTTGGTTGCATATCCTTTGTTCGCCATTCGCAATGCAGCATCTTTGAGGTCGTCGCTGATCCGTCTATTGCCCATCGTGGAGAAGAGTAATGTGTGACTCACGAGATGCTGGCTGAGGCTGTACGCTGCTGTATGCCACACGCAACAGGTGACCAATTCCGAAAATATATATTTTTACACATTCGAAGAGTGTCATTGTTTATGAAAATCGCAATAATGACGATCATCGATATATTCGGGAGATGCACAACAAACAAAGAGCCAGAAACGAGTCCATCGTCCAGGCTGTCTTAGCGTTGCATAGCGTGCTTCCATCCGGTTCTGAAGACGAATCCCCGGCAGCACGGTGCCGACCTGCAAAGGATGGGGACATATGGCGCCTTGCGGAAGACTGAGAATTCGGAAGTCAGAGACAAGTCAGCGAGATACGAACAACATACATGAGCACGATTTCGTGGGTCATCGAAGAAACCTCGGGGTAGCCTATGGGCATCCTGGCGTCGCTGAACTAGACGTCGTGTAGCATCAGCCTACAATCCATATGTTTTCAATCAAATGAGTTCGCTGTATGAACATGTTACGTACATCAAGTAACGGCTTGGAGAGTGCGTTTAGTCAAAGAGAACTAAAATGAGAAACCTTCGGCTCACCTTTGGATATGACAGCAGGTTGTCGAGGCCGGCTTCTTTTACAATCGCAAAAACATCCCATGTGTATAAGTTGTAGTCGTCACAGCCAGTGACTAGTAGCTTTCCGCAGCCGAAAACGATACACACCTCAGCGGGCGTGGGTGCTGGAGGGTCGAACTGACGGGCTGGAAATTGTCGAGGTTCCACAATCGCACTGCCGAGTCATGCGTTGCGCTTACGAGGATACGGTCATTCAGAGATAGTGCAATGGCATCAACATAGTCAGTGTGCTCATGCAGCACTGCGCCCTGCTGCCAGGTGGTAGTATTCCATGTCCTAATGGATCGATCAAATGATCCTGAAATAAGTGTTTTTCCGTCCGCAGTCCAAGCAAAGCAGAGCACTATATCTCTGTGTCCTTTGAGACTCGTCACCAGCTCGCCTGTCTTCGCATCCCAAATTTTGACTGAGGGGTCTCCAGCAGTTGCAATCAGGGTCGTGTCTGGCGAGTAGACAACTGCACACACATGTTCGTACCCGGTCTTGATCGGTTCGAGGATGGTCTCTCCATTCTCCATTCTCCATTCTCCATTCTCCACGTTCCACTGTCTTGCCGTCCCATCGGAAGATCCAGACACCACTCACTCGCCATCCCGGCTCCAGCAAACATGCAACACCTTTTCTGTGTGCCTCGTCCATTTAGCGATGACCTTGCCGGTGTCTGTGTCCCACAACCTCACAGCACCGTCTCCACTCCCACTAGCCACTTTCTTCCCGTCCGGAGACAACGCTATCGTGGTCATTACAGTTTCTCCGTCCCGCCAGTCGTTCCCTATCTGTTCCCCGCTCTCCAAGTTCCATACTCGGAGCGAGCAGTCGTTCGAACAAGTGATGATTCGCTGTCCACCTGGGAGGTGTAAGATGCCCAAGACCAAGTCAGTGTGACCCCCAAATATTTGGCGGGGTGTTATCGATGATGCGCCCTGCGTCCTTGTGATCGGGGAAGACATATGTACCCCAGAAATTCAACTAGCGAGCAAAGTGCAGTTTCAACTAAATTTATCCACAATCAAAATCCATGATATCACTTACGAGGAGGTGTTCGTCAGCCCGACCCAACACGCAGACACAAGAGCGATGAGCGTTTCCGCCAATCCAGAGTTTTATCCGTTCGAGTTTTTTTACGTGGTAGGTACGTTTTACATGCGTGATGCTCGCGTTTACTTCACTGCTTGCAGCATAGGCTGTGCAGCTGAAGCGCTCAAGCTCATTTGTCCTCTCAGAGTCGGCATCTGTTTCCCGTACAATTGGCCCTTGATAACGTTCCCTGTATGTTGTTTGTTAACGCGAGAATCAACAACAATATGTTTGAGGACTCAGGAGATGACATCGATGAAGACGAAGATACTCGGACTCGCTGCAGAAACAACGATGTAAGGCTGCCAAGCAAACAACTTGCAACGCAGTCGGCATTTCCCGCCCGGGACTATTCAAGTGACTTGACTCGATCGAATTGATTCCAGAGCCTAAAAAGTAATTATAACCTGCAGGACTGATCACACTTATCTGTTGCAACAATTCTACGACTTCTCGCGTACCCTCGCCCACTCAGGCGTTGTATCATATCTGTATATTCGCGAGGAATATCGTACAACTCAAACATGGCGAATACCATAGAGTTGGCCCAGGTGTGTTGTTGATCATTCGTTCTGTTCGACTACCCCGGCTAACAAGGCGGATGATCACAGACGGGCAAACGAGATCAGCTAATAGAGCTGGAGAAGAAATATCAAAAGAAATGGCAGGAGGAATGCCTGTTCGAAGTTAATGCTCCATCACCCGATGAGCTGAAGGGCTTGTCACCTGCTGAAGTGCGGGAGAGATACCCCAAGTGGTTTGGCAACTTCCCTTACCCGTACATGAACGGCTCTTTGCATCTGGGACACGCGTTCACCATCTCCAAAATCGAATTTGCTGCTGGATATCAGAGACTGTTGGGCAAGCGTGTTTTGTTCCCTCATGGTTTGCATGCGACTGGCATGCCGATCAAGGCGAGTACTCCTAAACATCTGAGTGTTTCCGATCTGATTTCTTTTGTGTACAGGCGGCCGCTGACAAAATCATTCGCGAGATGGAGATGTTCGGCCAAGATTTCGAACGATTTGATGAAGAGGCACAAGAGGACAAACCTACAAAAGTGGCACCAAACGGCCCAGCTGCACCTACAGCGGCGGTCGGGAAAGCCACCAAGGGCAAAATTGCTGCCAAATCCACGGGACTGACGTACCAGTTCCAGATCATGTTGTCAATCGGCGTCCCGCGCACAGAAGTCAAGAAGTTCGCCGATCCCCATCACTGGCTGGAACACTTTCCACCAATTTGCATGGTGTGCAGACTGATCTCCATTTCATTTGTTACCTTTCTCAATTGTATGCTACAGGAGGACAACAACGCCATGGGAAATCGCATTGATTGGAGACGTTCGTTTGTGACGACCGACTTGAACCCTTACTACGATTCCTTCGTTCGATGGCAAATGAACAAGTTGCATGCACTGGGAAAAGTGAAATTCGGGGAACGCTACACCATCTACAGCCCCAAAGACGGACAACCATGTATGGACCATGATCGGTCCGATGGTGAAGGTGTCAATCCCCAAGAGTACACTGGCGTAAAGATGGAGGTCGTACAATGGAGTCCAGCTGCGAAGGCCATCGAAGGCCAAGTCGGTGGGCGGAAAGTATTTTTGGTGGCTGCTACGTTACGTCCCGAGACCATGTTAGTTTTCTTATTTTCATCTCCACATAATTTATTAGTTCGTCCACAGGTATGGCCAAACCAATTGCTTCGTCGGGACCTCCATAAAATATGGTGTCTTTGCGATCAACGACACGGATGCATTTGTGTGCACGTATCGTGCAGCACGTAACATGGCTTTCCAAGGTCTGTCACCTGAACGCGGCCAGACTCAACAGCTGCTGGAGATAGACGGGGCGGCCCTGGTCGGCACAAAGATTAAAGCGCCATTCGGACTGGTTCCCGAGGTGTACGTACTACCCATGGACAATGTTTTGGCCACGAAGGTCAGTCTTTATAGCTTCGTAGTAGACCGTTTTGACATCCTCTTAGGGTACCGGTGTCGTCACATCTGTGCCTTCAGATTCCCCGGATGACTTTGCAACCCTCACCGATCTGCGCAAGAAGCCCGAATTCTACAAGATCGATCGCGAATGGGTATCCATTGATCCGATCCCCGTATTAACGACTCCGACCTATGGCGAGCTGACTGCGCCCCGCTTGGTCGAGAAACTGAAGATTCAGTCACAGAAGGATGTCAAGCAGCTGGCGGAGGCGAAGGAGATCGCGTACAAGGAGGGCTTCTACAGTGGATCGATGTTAGTGGGCGAGTTCAAGGGTCTGTCCGTTCAAGAGGCGAAGCCCAAAGTGCGCGCAAGCATGATCGAACAAGGATTGGCTTTCGCATATGCCGAGCCAGAGAACTTGGTCATCTCGCGCAGCGCGGATGAGTGCGTCGTTGCTCTGATGGACCAGTGGTACATGGACTATGGAGAACCTGAGTGGAGATCCCAAGCCGAAATGTTCGTAGTTCCTTTGTGTTCCTTTTCTTGGGCTAACCCAAGGTTGGGTTCAGGTTGCTGGCGAAGATGGAGACATGGACGGTCGAGACTCGGAACTTGTTTGAAGCGACCTTGGCATGGCTGAACCAGTGGGCGTGTGCTCGGACCTACGGCCTGGGATCCAAGCTTCCTTGGGATCCGCAATTTATGGTTGAAAGTTTGAGTGACTCGACTATCTACATGGCATACTATACTGTTGCACATTTATTGCACGGTAGGTGTCGCGATCGGTTGTCAACATCTCACTTATCATATTTATCTAGGCGGCGACATCTTCGGTCGGACACCTGGTCCTTTGGGCGTCACCGTCGATCAGATGACGGATGAAGCCTGGGAATACATCTTTTGCAACGGACCATGGCCAAATCCGGAGCCGTTCCCGAAGGAAAAAGCTGACGCACTGAAGCACGAATTTAACTACTTCTACCCTTTCGACATGCGTTCCTCCGGCAAAGACTTGGTCCAGAACAACTTGACGTTTTTGCTATACAACCACGCGGCAATCTTCCCTGAAGACAAGTGGCCCCTGGGCATCCGCACGAACGGGCATTTGATGCTAAATGGCAAGAAGATGTCGAAGAGCACGGGCAACTCACTGACGCTGAAGGAGGGTGTGCAGAAGTTCGGCGCTGATGCGATGCGATTGTCGTTGGCGGATGCTGGTGATGGCGTAGAGGATGCCAACTTTGACGAGAAGACTGCCAACGCAAATATCCTGCGCTTGCATACGTTGATGACCTGGTGTGAGGTATGCGAATTTTGCTCTCCGCGAGACGCCGTACTAACCACACCTTTAGGAAATGTTCAAGGATGAGTCCAACCTGCGTACTGGCCCCAAGAACTCCTACCATGACCGTGTATTCGAGGAGGAGATTGTCGACCTGATAAACATCACCAAAAGTCATTATGAGGCGTGAGTTCTCCTCGACCATAACTCTTTATCATGTCTCAGTTGTATGCGTTAGGACCGCTTTCAAGGACGCTCTGAAGTTTGGTTTCTACGAGTTGCAGAGCGCCCGTGACTGGTACCGAGAAGTGACCGCCGACATCGGGATGCATGCAGACTTGGTGAAATACTGGATCCGTGTTGCCACCCTGATGATCACGCCTTTCGCTCCTCACTTCGCGGAGCATGTCTGGACGGAGCTGTTGAAGGAGCCTCGTTCCATCCAGTTGGCTTCGTGGCCAGACCCAGGGCGCACCGCGGACAGGGCGATCATCGAGACAGGGGTTTACATGCGTGGAACGCTGAAGACGATCCGTGACGCGGAGATCGCGTTGTTGAAAAGGATGCAGAAAGGCAAGAAAGGCAAGGGCGGGGAAGCTGCAGTGTTTGACCCCAAGAAACCCAAGGCCGTCCGGATTTATGTGGCGACCAAGTTCCCCGAGTGGCAGGAGACGTGCGTGCAGGCTGTCAAGGACTCGTACTCGACATCGGACGATAAGGTAGACGACGCAAAAGTGCGAGATATCCTAACGGAGAAAGCGTTGATCAAGGACAAGCACGCTATGCCGTTCATCCAGGCATTTAAGGTAATGGCATTTTAATGCCACTACAGTCTGCACTTGCTCATCTTATCTCAAATCCAGAAACGAATGACCGAGATTGGTGCCAATGCTGCATTCCGGAGAACCTTGTTGTTCTCCGAGTCCGAGATCTTGAGGGAGTTGATGCCGTATTTAAAGAAGTCTTTGGGCTTGGAAGACGTGGAAGTCTTCTCTGTCGAGGAGGCGTTGCAAAGAGAAGGCCCTGGTTTCACGCGCACTATTATAGAGTCCTCTGAACCTGGAAGCCCTGCATTCGAGTACCGCAACGTATAGTCCATTCGTGCCCATTTATTCCAGGGATACTATCATTGCACCCTACAGATTGTATTTTATTTACGGTTCTAACAGCGTAATCAATGAGGTTTATTTGCTCTTAGTCATTGTGCGACGTGGAACGTATGTTTCATGACCGACCGTGCACGTTGCTTCCTAGAAGTGCGCATTTTACATCACAATAAATCGATGCACATGTGGGCGTAACAACGGGGCATTCGTTGATCAACCTGAATAGAATACATCCGCTGTAAATCATCAAGCAAAGTGTATGCCCTCGTCATGGAATGCGGATAATAGTCTGTCAAGACCATGAGAAAACACATAGGACACAAAAGAAAGTCCACTTACTTTAGAAGATCGTCAAGGTTCATCTTGGCTGCCCGTTGTTCTGAGTAGCCTGATGAGCTGAGAACTTCTTCTACTTTAGTTTTCATGTTGGTGTCATCGTCGATCATCTGATTTGTGGAAATTTCAAGCCCCCATTTTCACTGCACAAAAGTAGGCCTTACCTTATTTTGTGTCGAGCACCACGTTCTCCAGTTTTGTTCCAGCATCTCAATGACACCTTTTGCCATGAACGTGGCGTGCACCATTTTATTTCGTCTCGCAAAGATGATTCTACCCAGCCCATCAAATTCTTCGAACTTGATAGGGGGAGGTGGATCAAGAGGTACCAGTCGAACCACTGACGATTCGACCTGCGGTGCCGGCCGGAAGTTATTTTTTCCGACATGCATCACCAGATCCACCTTCGAATAGAGCTGTACATTCGCGGATAGCCGTGACCAGAGCTCTGTTCCGGGTCGAGCAACAAGCCGCATGGCAAATTCTTTTTGGAACATGAGGATTGCGACGCGAAAGATGGGTCGGTGAGATAGAAGGCGGAAGACGAGGGGTGATGATATTTGATAGGGCGTGTTGGATATGCATACGTCGAAATATGGGAGATCGGCTTTTACAAAGTCTCCGATAATTATGTCGAGTTTTCGTTGTTCTGGTCTTTCAACAAGTGGCCTGTCAGCAGATGATATTAAGACACCCAAAGGTACACGCACTTCCCCTGGACTCGCTTCGTCAGCTCAGCTGCCATCCGTGGGTCCATCTCAACAGCGGTGACATTTTTGGCTTTTTCAAGAATCCTGACAGTAAGGTTACCTGTACCAGGACCAACTTCGAGGACTTTATCCGTGGGGCGAAGGTTCGCCTATATGTCACGGTTATCATCTGAGTTTCATTCAGCACATATGGCCTAAGCCGAACCTTATCCACGATACTGATGTAGAATAAGCCTGAGTGATATGCTGCGAGAGATGCAAGCGTACGTTTGAGCAATCTGCGGATTCTTCAAGATATGTTGTCCAAATCTTTCTGTATTGAATATTGGGTTGCGGACGCCGGCTGACGTCCCTTCATTTGCGCTGTGGTTTTTGGATGAAGATGATGCAGCGGCTGATTTTATTGATGCCTTATGAGTGCGCGAGAAACGCTCTGACGTCGCACGAGGCATTTTGGATTGTCACGGTTGTTGGAGATGGCTTGGAAAATACAGTAACAAAGTGCCTGCAGGTAGAAGTCAAAACACGTGACCTATAAGCCCTTTCATTGAATGGAAAGGGCCATCTGACTCTTGGAGGTCGACGGCCCAAGTCGCCAGTTTAACCACTAGGTCCACGATCGAGTTGAATCAAGAACACCATGTTCAAAAAACCTTTAGGAAATTTAAAAACTTCGGGTGCGTGATGTCTGCTGTTCACTGACATCCTGACTAACCATTGGCTCACAAGCGCCCCTGCGCAGCTCTGACAGGCGCAAGCTCAAACAACGCGTTATTCAAACTTTTTCTCTTGATCCAGATGTCGGTGAGGACCTTGTACCGGAAGGTTTGATGTCCGCGAAGTTCAACACACATATCGATGATCCCGGTGTAAGCGGATCTCATTACCGCCTTTCTCCTGATCACATATTGATAAGACATACGGAATGCTTCACAATGACACGAAACTTAGGTGGCATATCTGGGACCTGGCGGAGACCCATTGTGGTTCACGCTTGGGAGAGGCAGCGAGGACCTGATTCCGACTGGTGAGTTGTGCCTCCTATGAGTCTGTCATCCATAGCTCAGATGCCATAGTATATACCCTGTGGAAGAAGCCTGATCTTCTGCCGTTTTTGTCCACACCATCTGCAGTGATTCCTGTTCTCGTGGGTGGTGCTGATCTCATGATTCCTGGAGGTGTGTTGCCACTTGTCAATTACCACACGTTCTCCTCGCTCAGTAGACCCTTCAAGTTGTACGATACGCACCATCACTTAAAGCTTCACATCTTGTGAGCATTACAGAGCATGCTCGCGATTCGACGCGCATTGGCCCGCCACTTGCTGTTGGGCGCATGGCAGTTGATAGTGAAATCTTATCTGAGGTTGGCGCGAAGGGAAAGGCGGTGTTTGTCCTGCATGCTTGGAAAGATCATCTATTTGATATGGGACACAAGGGTAGTCCACCGGACCCATGGGAGATGAGCCAGTCAGTGGCAACCGAACAACTGGCCATAGAAGACGATGATGATGCAGAGAATGATCCATCGAAAGAACCATCAGTTGATGCGCTAGGCTCTCACTTGGAACAAACGCAGTTGTATGATCCTGCTCCAGCCACAGAATTGGGGAAAGAAGGTGCGTCAAACCACAGTAAATGTGCCTTCAATCCCTTAGTCCTGGCAGACATTTCAAGTATTCTGCATGATGCCCTTCTTCAGGCAATAAAAACGAGCCTATCAAGCAGTACCCAGACCTCTTCGCTCCCTATGTCCGCTAGCACGTTTTACTCGACTTACATTCTACCCTCGCGACCTGCGCAATCACCATCACAACCAACTATATCTACACCCATCGATATTAAGCATTCCTCCCACAAGTCCCTTGCGTATTTTCTCAAATCAGCAGAGAAACAAGGCCTCTTGAAACTTAAAGAGATCAAATCTGAGCTGATGGTATTTTCCGTGGCCTCAGCACATGCAGATGTTGTCGCACACAGACCATATCTATCTCTCAAGGAAGTGTCTCTCAGGAACGAGAAGCGTGGACAACGAGAAGAAGAAGAGCGCACACGAGTCAGAGAGCTTGAAGTGACGGAACTTTGGAAACCCCATCAACAATCGTTGAAATTCTTTGATGATGCTGGATTTGAGTAGGGATCTACGCCATTCCTGGTTCATGATCAAACGCTAACCCGCCCTGTAGTACATCAACCCTATACACCTACGCAGATATAAAGACTGTCATCGACAGATTCGTCACCGATCGCCAATTGGTGAACGCACACGACCAATCGTATATCAACGTTGGCGCAGACGAGCTTCTGCAGACCACCATCTGGAAGTCTGACAATCCAGCCGATATGGAGTTCTTCAAACGCGAGAAGGTGATCGAGCGCCTAGCAGATAAGATGCAGAATTGGTACAAGATACGTGCGGTCGGCAGGGATCCTGTGCTCAAGTGCGACTGGTCTCTTCTCATGTGCGTTGGATGTTAATCACCAGATGCAGGAAGGGCCAGCTCAAACCAATATCGGTGGTGGTTAAGATCAGACAAGGTCGTAAAGCCTGCACACTCATCACTGGCTTCGAGCCATTTTTCTTGGAGGCAGTTAATCTTGCGGAGGAGCTGAAGACGATATGCGCTTCTTCAACTTCAGGTGAGGAGAATCACTGCGTGATGTGTAGTGTGACTGACACGGGCTTTTCAGCTTCACCTGCATCAGGAAAGTCATCAGGCATGGAAGTACTCGTGCAAGGCAAGCAGATCAAAGCGGTCACAGAATTTTTTGCCTCGCGAGGCGTGCCGAAGCGATGGGTGGTGACAGAGGGTGGGGGAAAGAAATAGATGGAGTACAGGCACAGGGTGAGTCTGATGGTTAGGTTGGGAGTTATTCTTCAACACGAAGGCGTGTATATGTTACGATCGATGGTGAGATAAATATAAAACTAAATACTTTACTCTACGCATCTTGCAGTCTCCATGCTGCATCCTTTGGCTTGGAACTCTTGTTTTGCCTGCTTTCTGTGTTCCCTTCCCTTCCATGGAGGCGTACCCGCACAAGGCTTGCCGGTGTCATTTGCCAAAAGCCATGTTTTTATTGCCGGTAACCAAGTCCTCTATATAGTGATGTTTCAAAGAGGTACACAACCCAGCTAGGCATTATCTCAGGGTGAAAAGTTTAAAGCGGTTGGAGAGACCGGCCGCAGTGTCACGAACGCGTCATGTAACGCGTGACACCGTGATCGAGCGCTAATGATCAATGAACACCGTGACGGGCGGTTTCTTTCAAGACTTATTTTACCACTTAAACTTCGTGGTCTTTGTGGCACTCAATCACTGATCCTCTCCATCAGGCTATCAGGTATTTTGAGCTTGTCTATAATGCCAGGTCCATGCAACTCGAAAAAGCGCAAGAAACTTGTGAAGAAGAACAAGCCTAAGAGCACATTAGCTGTACAAGCTACGGCTCCTCCGGAACCTCCTCCCCCTGATCACGAACTCGAGCCACCTCCAAGCGACATTTCCTGTCCCGTCTATGAGCCCCCACCTAAAATACCTACTCCGCATGTCCAGGACTTCCATGTGGAAGTACTCCCTATCATCCATGATCCCGGAAACGGTCCGCGAGTTCGCGACATCCGGGGGTTCCTATCTTCATTCTTTGCCCAGCCTCCCTCACTAGATGACCCTTTATGTGCAGAGTTTTCACAGGAGGAAGTCCTCCAGATGCTCTGCACCGCGCTGCCGAAGGAAACTGCTATAGTGAGTGAGTGAGTGCACTGTGGTGTGGCTAGCGAGCTCACAAAGTAATTCCCGCAGATCCTATGGTATAATAAGAGCCGTGCTACTAGTCGCATATGTCCATCATGCCGACGTCTTTATCGTCTTGGTGATATTCTACCGGACTTAACTGAGGATGGCAAAAAACACACCGGCGAATCTCGTTCACCTCTACTTGCCCGGGAACAGGAGATATCGGGTCTTTGTATGTCCTCGCGTTTAAAATATGACCGAAACGGGCCTGACTGGTGTAGGTTCTCCCGTCTGCTTCATCCTTGCATCGTTCGAGTACCCAGGTGCAATTAAAACGACTTGGGGCCGAACAGCAGATGAAATAGATGACTTTACATGGGACCTTCTCAATGGTCCTGGGGATGGACAGGGCGACAAGGAACTCGGTCTCTTACTCAAAATGGCGCGATTGCCTGACCTTGGCCTGGGACAGCTCTGTCTACCTGACATTGACTTCGATGTGGAGCCTGAGGATCGAATCTACAGCGAGCAAAATTATGAGCGTGACAAGTTTTCTTATTAGCTATTTATTTGTTTCCGAAGGTGAGTAACGAGCTTGGGAAGACCTGATGGACGCTAAGTTATTGTCTTCAGTGTTGTTGTGTTGTTGTCGTGCATATCATATTCACATCGTTCATGCTACTGGATCACGGGCCTGCGTACTATTTATGTGTGTCAAGACTCAACGTCATTAAACTACTTTAATGGTCAATACTGGCCAATGGATGGGCGTCGCTAAAGAGACCATTTGGTGTGTAAGATAATAATGCAGGACCGTTATATCGTGGGTTTGTTGAATGATGTGGTTATGTCAGCAAGAGTCCGTGCCCTATTCCCACGGTTGTTAGGTGGCTGGCCTTATACAAGGCTCCCACCCGCCAAAGGCCTCCTCAGCCAAACCTTTGCCTGTATAACTGTACTGTGGTCCTCACCCGCCAAAATCAAACCCTGCAAAACTCACCGTAGTATACACCAAAGGTCAGTCACATCTTTTTTTATATTTTATATTATCTTCCATCCTCTTCATGGATGCCCTACGGTATTCACCATCGCTCTCTACGTCGTTTTTCCGTCGTTGAGCTGGTGCAGAACTAAAGACGGGCGCCGGCCGTATTTGTTTGGCCACCGACGCGTTGACGCGCACCGCGTCTCCCTGTGTCGCACTCGATTTCCTCAATATCTCTCATGTCAACGACGTGTTGAATCGATCACTCATGCGTTTTCCACGCTCTAGATGCCCAAAGAAGCTACGAAAACCAAGGTTCGTCTCCTATGCATTTACTTTAACCTCAATTCCACTCCTCTCCCTATGCATCATACATCTTCCATTATTTTTGTGTTGTTCAACTTTCATTACGTTATTTGGTTGTCTTTATCAGCCATGATGCTGATTCAGTCAACAGCGCAAGGCTGCAAGCAAATCGGAGGGAGGAAAGGCCACTAAAGCCAAGGCTACCAAGGCCAAGGGCGGTCCTAAACGTGCGCTCTCCGCGTACATGTTCTTCAGTCAAGATTGGAGGGAGAGAATCAAGACTGAGAACCCAGATGCTGGTTTCGGTAGGCCTGCGGTGTTTTTTTTTCCAACTCTTCTTGATTTCTGATCCCCATTATAGGCGAGGTCGGCAAACTACTAGGTGCCAAGTGGAAAGAGCTTGATGAGGAGGACAAGCAGGTTCGTTCAAGCCAATCTGACCAAACTGTTGTCGGTCCTGACATAACTTAACAGCCTTATATCGAGTTGGCCGCCAAGGATAAGACAAGGGCAGAGGAGGAGAAGGCATCAATGGCTACAGTATGTATACGTTTGTTCCCTCTGTCATGACACACATTGATCATATCTTCGCAGACCAAATCTGCAGCAAAGGAGAAAAGCGACGGGGAAGAACCAGCTGATGAAGAGGAAGATTAATTCCACGTCCCCCTGTCTCTTTGTACATACGAAGGCACTCCCGCTTTCTTCTAACATAATCGTCATAAGCAGTTTTGATGTCGTTGAGTATATTAACTTCCTATGCGAGACATGCGACACTTGTAACGCACCCCCACGTCCCTCCTATTGTTTGCCTTCTCTTTCATTCGTGTTGCTGTTCATGTCGTGTGTTTTGTTACACATTTATGTTCTGCATGTTGTCCCTCGCTACCCCAGAAAAGATTGTGTTTTTGTACGATCAATCTTGGAGTGTTCGAACTTCTGAACTTGTGAATCTGATCCACAATGGAGGATTGCAAGTGCCACACCCACTGTGAGTTGTGACTGAATGCACGTGATTGTGTCACAAATAATCATGTGATGCATAATAGAACGACGCGCCCAAAATCGGTGTTCTCCTTTTCTCTCACCAACACCACGTCCAACGACTTTTGATTGGGTCTGCTGAAGATGCCCCCGCGAATTCAGAAAGTGAAAACCCCTGCGTATGGGCAGAGTAAGTCTGTGTTTCTTGGGACTAGTTCGTGAGGTGACCATAAGCAGGCAAGCTCGAATCAGTCCCCGTACCCCTAGGTCCGCGTAATCCACATGAAAGTAGGACTGACGATCTCATACTGATTTTTCCCCCCCGTACAGAGCCTGATTCGGATCCGGAATTTAACCCTGGAACCTTCGTCTATGAGACTAAGAAACGTGGGAAGCGCAAAGCAACTCCTACTGTAGATGCGTCTTCATCTTCCCCCCGAAAGTCACGCAAGAGACGAAGCGACGTCCTCGGCGATTTCGAGTCGTCGCCCAGAATCCGTGAGCTTTTTTTGCACTGATAAATACGTGTTGTACAACATGAGGATGATTTTAGGGAGGTGTCGGCCAATGGACCCAGAAGCGTCTCGACAGCATAATCCATTGAAACAATACTTTGGTTTGTCGAGCGACTTGCGTGATGGGTAGTGCTGAAGCTTACTGTGAACAGATGATGACCTTGGACTGCAGTCTGCGTCTGATGATGACGAAGTAAATGAAGAATATCCAGAAGTAGGCGACTCAGCAGAAGAGCATGAGTCTGAACCTGAGCAACCAATATTGCTCAGGACCATAACTGCATTTATTAAATCGAAGGAGGGTACTCCTATTACACAGCCACGTCACTCGCAAACTCCGGTTGATGATGATTCTGTCACTGGTAAGTCTATCTTAGACGCATTTATTACGACTGCAAACATGCACGCTTTGTTTCAGAACCTGAGTCGGAGCCCGAAGTTGCTCCAGTTTCGATGAAGCGGAAGTCACCTGCATCAGACCAGATTATGCCAGCTTCTAAGCGGATAAAGGCGCCTTATCCAGATGGTACGCTTCAACTTTTGATGACACAAAACAGCCATAATGACGCTCATTACAGACGAATCTGAAACCGAACCCGAGTCGGACGTGGAAGTACCTGTGGCTTCAAAAGTTTTACGTCCCAATGCTGGAAAGCTGCCAGAATCCGACTCTGAGACGGAGCCCGAGGACGAAGACGAAACAGAGACGTACCCTAATCTAGTAAAGTATAATTCAGTACCCCGATCTTCAGTTACTGACAGAGATACAGAGTTTTCATCCAAGACCCGGTTTCCCGCTTGCTCCCGGTCAGAGTCCTCTCGGACCTCTGATACTGGACAAAGACGAGGGTGTTACGGTGCCCGCGTCGATCAATACCTATCTGCGAGAATATCAGAGGGAAGGTGTCAGTTTTTTCTGGGATCTGTATAAGCAAGGACGTGGCGGTTTGCTGGGTGATGATATGGGTCTTGTTAGTCCAAACACGTTCTTCTGTTGTTCTCAACTGATCCTCCACGCGCATAGGGTAAAACGATCCAAGTGATATCATTTCTCTCCGCAATCATGAAGAAACACGGGGACGAACGCGATGTCGATAGGCGTCGAAATAATGTGTCGAATCTTCAGGATGGACCGGAGTGGAGAAAACGTCGCCGCTTGCCACCAGCGAACAAGACATGGCCTACATGCCTCATCATCGCCCCTACATCCGTTGTGCCAAACTGGGAGCGTGAGTTTCAGACGGTGAGTGCTAACTATCAACATAACGCCACGACGGTCTCACTGCTGTCTCGCCTCAGTGGGGTTATTTTGAAGTCGGGTCCTACACAGGTTCGAAGAAAGAGCGAGATGAGGTCTTGACTGACTTCAAAATGGGGAGGCTCGATGTTGGTACGTCCATGAGCGCATCTCTTCTGTCCAGTTTACATCTTGCTAAACAGTGCTCACTACGTTTGACCTTGCCCGACGAGACATTGCGCAATTGGACGACCTCCCTTGGTCTGCTGTCTTCGTCGACGAGGCGCATAGAGTAAAGAATCCAAAGTCGAAGATCACCTTGGCATATAATCAATTTGCATGTCTTCGCCGCTTTGGTCTGACAGGTAAGACTGCTCTACTCTGTTGGAGGACTATCTGACGCAACGGGGAATTTAGGCACAACCATTCAAAACAGCTACATGGAAGCATGGACGATACTTGACTGGACCAACCCTGGCCGGCTGGGAACAAGCAAACAATGGAAAGGTTACGTTGTGAAGCCATTGACGATAGGTCAATCTACGAGCGCGACGGAAGAGGAGAGAACAAAGGCTTTGGTGAGGGCGGATGTTATATCCCGCGGCCAATACTGATGTCCAGTAGACGGTTGCTATTACAGTCAGAGACAAAGTACTACCCCAGTTCTTCAAAAGGAGGTATGGTTAGCGTGCTTTCTGTAGATGCTTCCTAACGCATTCCGCCAGGACAAAGGATATCATTAAGCACCAAGTACGACCCATCAACCTGGTACACGATCTTATGTGCTGATATAATGATTAGTTACCCACAAAAACTGACGAAGTGGTCTTTTGTCCGCTTACGCCTATGCAGGTTGCCGTGTACAAACGCATCCTGAACATGAATCCCGTGCAGAATCTCGTCAGAAAAGACGAAAATTGTGATTGCGGATCTGGTGCAAAGTTGGTTCTCCTTTTCATCTCCTGAGCATGCTGAGAATCGCTTTTTGTACAGACGCAAGGAATGTTGTCACCTCATCGAGAAGGGAGGTGTCCTCAAGTACATGTCAATACTCATTAAGATCTCGAATCATTTGGCTTTAATCCTTCCAGGTATGGTTTGAGGCTCCCGTTATCAAACAAATGCTAATACATATTAGCCCCGAATGATAGCCCGGAGCAAGTACGTGCTGGTTACTATTGATCTATATGATGCATAACAGTCTTCTAGACTCTACGGAATCGGGAGCTCGCTGAAGTAGCCTTCCCAGACGAACCTATACCGAAATATGGAACAGCCATGCTACTGCCTCAGTACTGCGGGAAGTGGGTTGTAAGTCATCGCTTCAATCAACTTTCTCTTCTGCACTGCACACTGCCCCGACAGGTACTTGATACCCTACTAAGAGAATGGAGAAAAGACTCCACGAGCAAGGTCCTTATATTCACTAAATCTGTCAAGCTGCTAGATATGTTGGAGTTTCATCTAAACACCAACAGTATGTACGAGACTTATTCCGCATGTCGTGTCCTAATAAGTCAGCAGGTTATGGCTATCTCAAACTGGATGGATCCACGAAGCAGAGTGACAGTAAGAGACAATCCCTCTTTTTGTCGTTGTTGCTAAGACGCGTTTCAGGGATGCCTATGATAGATAGATTTCACAGTGACTCTGACATCTTTATATTTCTCATATCTACTCTTGCCGGAGGAACTGGTCTTAACTTGACTGGTGCAAACAAGGTGGTCATTTTCGGTGAGTTCAAACATCCTGCTTTACTCGTGCAGACTCAAAGATGAATGTTATGTTTATGTAGATCCTAACTGGAGTATGGGTTTCCGTTATTTCTGTTTGACATCGACTCATGTCTGCCGTAGATCCCGCCCACGATCTGCAAGCTATGGACAGAGCATATCGCTTCGGGCAGACACGCGACGTTTTTGTTTACCGCCTGCTCGGAGCCGGCTCAATCGAAGAGTTGATTTACGCGAGACAGTTATACAAGCAACAACAGATGGCCATTGCGTATCAGGCAAGCGTGCAGACGAGGTATTTCAGAAGGACCAAGATTCAAGCGATTTAATGTGAACTTTTCTCCCTAGATATTTTTCCGGCGTTCAAGGGGACACTTCTAGGCAAGGAGAATTGTTTGGTATCAAGAATATTTTCAAGTTACATGAGGATACCCTGGCGACAAAGATGGCTGTACGTTGATATGTTTTGAGCAGAACACGTTGATGCAAACCTGCCGCAGATCGAGAAAGCAACGATCATGGAACTAGACTGGGCTCTTGCTCATCTGAACTCAAAGTCGAGGAAGGCAGCAAAGTCTAAGGCCGAAGGCTGGGTATATGAGGCTGATACTAAGAGTGGAAAGGAAGAAGTAAGTATTCTGTCTACTTCTTCCATGCAATCTAATCATGGGTCAGGCCGACTTGCGAGGGCTGGGCGCTCTTCTTTTTGATGATGGTTGGTTTCAGCCGTCGCTAGTTTGAGATAAGGCTAACTCTCGCGGTTTTAAAGAACCCCCGGAGGTTGCAGACGACAATGACATCCACAAGACACTCAGCGCAATAGGCGTTAAGTACAGCCATCGCAATGACGATGTGCTATTACCAAGTCGTATAGAAGAAGAACGCTCCCGAAATGCACTCAAGGTTAACTTTCCTTGTATTCTCCAACATGCTTATTGAGCAAATATAATGGTAGGAGGCGAGGAGGAAAAGAGCAGCCGCCAGTAAACTCAAGTCAGAGCGAGACACTCCTCAGCAATCCAAAACACCTGAACCACAATGGCCGCCGCAACGGAAACATCATAAACCACCTCTATCTCCGCAATCAAAGTGGGTTCTAAAACAAGTGGTTGAGGTGTTGGAACTTATTTCTGACATAGGTTGACCTCACGTCAAATGGCACTGATCGAACTAGGCATGATCAACAGCCCAGCCGATCTGCCTGTTTTCGCGCAGTCTTTGTGAGTAAACGTTGCCACAGTCGCAGATACCTCGGCTAATCTACTGCTAGTGCTCGTAAGTCAAGTGAGGAGCAGAACGAGATACTTACAAGGCTCGACAAATATGTCCGCGCACATTCTTGAATTTCCTGGCAACATACTGGCCTGCGAAAGCAACTATAATTTTCTTGAACTGCCACATACGCGTCGGAATATCTGAATCACCTACGAACAGACTGCGTAGTGTTACCAACCGGTTGTTATATATATATACTGGTGTTGTCCACGAACTCGACAATCAGTGCAACATACCAGTAGAACGACACTCTTTAGAGAATAGAAGCATCCTGTGGCCGAGGTTGCGCAGTGCCGATTTTGAACAAGTCGTAATCAGCAAATCGAAATCCGGAACTGTCGATGATCCCGTAACCAAACCCGACGAAAATGCATTCATGGCAGAGTATCTAAAATATTCGAAGACCGGTTTGCGCGTAGGTACGATGGGTGCTGGTGCATTGTGTAGTTGGTGCTCGGGGTCGGGTTCAGGTAGTTGGTGGAAAATGAAAGAAAGGAGGCTGGAAAAGGTGTTACACTCCGCCAACCATGGTCCTACACTAGGACGTGATGGTCGTTTGGAAGAAGCGTTTGTTACTGTACGAGCCTAGTGCGAGGAATACGACGCCGGGCCCTATGTAGCTATCTTCTAAATCGTCGAGCGGTAATTTGAGCATGGCACGGCGGTCATCCGCTTGACGGAGTACTTGGACCAAACGAGCTTAACTCTAGATCCGCCCTGCTGGTAGCACCCGATAATATTGTTGATCGTCGGCCTGGGTTGACGCTCAGAAAGCGTTGGACGAGGTCCCTTGCGCAATCAGTAGTGAAGCACAAGGGTGTGCAAACTTATGCAAAGCGGTCGGATGAGGTACACGGTATCATACGTAACGGTGTCGTTTGAGCCAGCATGCGAGCTTGCGAGTAGATGGCTCAAACAAGTGCTTACTAAGCGAGAGAGCGTCCTAAATAGAGACGCGCGCGTGTATGCGCGTCTTATCTTCTTTCCTTTCCTACGCTCACTCGCTCTTCATTCTTATTTGAGGATTCGTACGCATACATCCACTTATTCGATGTTATACTTATTCTTATACCTTACGATGACCGAAACAACGAATCCTGCCCTAGCGGGGGCTGCAGGAAAGGACACGAACACATTTAACTGCGATAGTGACAGATGCCTGTCGGATGGTGAGATGGATAGTTTCGCTAGCGTCATGGCCCGTAACAGCTTGAGGTTCGTCGGACGCGAGGTGCGCGTCGCGGAAAATCTTCTCTGCAAGGAAAGAAACGCGTTGCGTGCCAGACGTCGGGCAGATCCCGACTGGATCGAGTGCATTATCGATGATGAGGAACTTCTTGATGAAGACGCTTCTCCTCCTTCCACTCCACGTAGAGAATGTTCCCCTACTACTACACCTTGCGGGAACGATAGATTACTCAGGGCTGCTGATATACTTAATGGTCTCACACCGATTTCCAAGAAGATTCTTCTCTCCCTTTCTGGAGCTTCGTCCGTTGTACCTACCGTTGCAGAACCTTTGTCTTCTATGGGTACCACCCCTGACGTCCCCGTTTTTACCTTAGCAAATACCATACGTACAACCACTACATCTTCCGCGTTCGAGATTCCCCGTCCTCTGATCAATTTGGCGAAGGCCAAAATCCACGTGCCACTTACCCTGCTCACCACAGCCGCGCTTCGCAGGATCCACGCCGATCCCTCCTGCGTGAAGATGAAGAAGGGTTTAGTATTGGACGATCCGAAGCTTTGCGTTATGGACACATCGTCCAGATTCCCCGTCGAGACGAGCCTCCTGGTGGGAAGCTTTTACGAAGCCTCCGCTAACTTCCTGAAGCTACTAGCCAAGGTGGCTGATGACGACGTCGTTACCATTTTCACTCAACACCGGAACTTTTGCGTCGAATGGGATGACTTCAACGATCAGTACGACGCCATTTTGAACTTTGACATCGAAATACACAGGAAGTTCTTCAACACACAGACTTTCCCAGACTCGGTCGCATATGCGGTTCGCTGGAATGAGATCCGGATTGACATGAAGCTCGCTCGTTCCTCTCTACACCACCACCAGGATGGTGGAAACAACCGCTTCGCACCGTACCCTCTGAGAAAGCCAGAATCTACTGTGTCTTCGAGTGCTAATACAGACGGGAAGTCCTTTCGCAGGGGCAAAGGAGAGCGACCTACCGACCAACTCCTTTGCATCGTCTGTGGTCGGAAAGGACACAAGTCCAGTAATTGCACGCACACACACACTGTCAAGGGCGACTCACCAATCTGCATGTGGCTCGACGGGAAGGTCGTCCTCAAATCCACTATGGCAGCCGTTTGTATCTCCTTCAACCTCAGCGGATGTCCTTCCCCAAGACACAATTCAGACGTCCTGCACATCTGCTCCCTGTGCAGTAGCAAGTCCCACTCCGCCACTTCGAAGTCCTGTTGAGGACATATGTGGTCGCATCATCACTCTGTACAACACCAGCGTATACGGTTCCTTCTTGGAGAGGTTTAATCTCACGGATTGGTACCCTAATCTTGTTTTTAATTTGGAGCACGGTTTTCCCATTGGCGACATGGCACCTCTCACGCACACCTATACACCTGATAATCACAAATCTGCGTTGGAGCACCCCGAAATCCTACACGCTTACTGCACTGACGAAGTCAACCTCGGGCGCATGTCTGGCCCTTTTTCAATGGACGAGGTCCATCGCATTCTTGGAGGGCACTTTGTATCTTCCCCACTGGGCTTGGTTGAGAAGTCTGGCGAACCTGGGAAGTTCAGGATCGTTCGGGACCTATCATATCATAATGCAGACAGGTACACAGTGAACGACAGCTTGGACTCTGACGACTTCCCAACCGAATGGGGAACCGCAGCCCAAGTGGCAGATATTATGAGTTTTTCATTTCTTGATCACATACACCTCCACCTTTCCCTCGCACTCCCACATACACACGAGGGTGTGTCTTTTATCACCTGCTAGGGCAGGTGTTACGCGCTAGGGTGCTTGCACATTGGTGCATCCCTTAAGGGGTTAGTCTACACATGAGGGTGTGCGCACGAGGGCGCTAGGCTGCACGAGGGTGCAGGCAAGTCTTTTTGCTTGAAGTGCTCGTCGAGAGCGTCGAAGCTTATCGTTCGCATGCAAGTGGCCACAGCACCACTAGGGACACAAGCTGCAACATTGGATATTGAGGCTGCATATAGAACCGTGCCCGTGTGGCCCCCGCACAAGCAATTCCTCGTTGTCTCTGTAGACGGTCGCTTTTTTATAGATCACATTTTTCCGTTCAGCTTGACGACAGGCCAGGGGGGTTCAAGGCCATGTTGCTGACGCCACGGTCGACATCCTTCACAATCTGGACTTAGGCTTATTCAAGAAGTGGGTGGACTGACCACACCATCTTTCGCTTCGCGCTCGGCGGAGGCGAGTTGTTACCCGACGGCTCTACTACCCCATTTCACTACGCCCACGGTCTCGAGGACATTTATTCCCATTCTAGGCTACTGGGCGTCCCGTGGCACCCTACGAAGTGGCACGACTTCTCTGAGGTTTTCACTTACCTCGGATTCTTATGGGACCTCATCGACCACACCGTGGACCTGCCTACTGAGAAGCGGCAGAAGTACCTTCGGAAGATAGTCGAGTTGCTTGTCTTACTAGAAGGTCGTGCTCGCATCTCGGGCAAGGATGCCATGAGTATAAACGGCACTCTGTCCCACGTGGCTTTCGTCATCCCTCACGGTCGTGCATACCTGTCTAACCTTTCAACCTTCATTTGCGAGTTTCCCTCGAAGCACGCGCGTTTACGTCCTCCCCCGTCTGTTATTTCAGATCTTACTAAGTCCAGGCCTGAGCATAGGGTTCACTAAATGCGTCGCACGCGAAATGACACAGACGAAACATACGTGTGCTTGTGTCATTTCGCGTGTATGACCCACTGTTAGATTCGATCACTGCAAATAAGCGTGCATCACGCACAAAACGATGCTTGACGCTAGCACGTGACTACGGTCGTTTTGTGCTCCTTCCTTTATTTTTAGTTGAACGAAACCTCTAGTAAGCACGCGGCCGCCGAGTCGCCATGCTACAAAAAGTCACGAGGACTGGATCTGTGTGATAGTCTCTATAGACGGACCAATTCGCAAATAGAAGGGAGGCACTATTCGGTCCTAGGCCTCAGCACTCACCTCATTATTTCCCTTGTAGGGGTTCGGTGTGCACCCAAAGCTTGAGTTGCTGTTCTCTGCGTGCGTTCTCATTCTGATATCACTTGATTTTGCACTGATTGCGAAACCCTTTACAGTGAGATGGGGCAGTTGTTATGTTGCGCTAATAACATAGTGGACGATGTGGAGGAATCCAGAGAGGCCCTGCATCACTGTCCTCCTGGCCATTCTCGTCGATCATTGTGTCTCTACAACCTTGCCACCAGCCTTCACAACAGATCCCAACAGCTGGGCGTCCTGTCTGACCTCGATGAGGCCATTGAGCTGTATCGGGCTGCACTGCAGCTCTGTTCCCCCGATCATTCTTATCGATCACTATTTCTCAACAACCTTGCCACCGACCTTCTTGCCACCGGCCTTCACGACAGATTCGACCATCGGGGCGTCCTGTCTGACCTCGATGACACCATTGAGCTTCATCGGGGTGTACTGAAGCTCCGTCCCCCCGGTCATTCTACTCGATCCACGTCTCTCAACAGCCTTGCTCGCAGCCTTAGCACCAGATTCGAGCATCGGGGTGTCCATTCTGACCTTGATGAGGCCATCGAACTTCATCGGGCTGCACTGGATCTCCGTCCCCCCGGTCATTCTGCTCGATCCACGTCTCTAAACAACCTTGCGGGCAGCCTTCAAACCAGATTCAAACAGCGGGGCGTCCAGTCTGACCTTGATGAAGCCAGCGAGCTTTTTCGGGCTGCGCTGGAGCTCCGTCCCCTCGGTCATCCTGATCGCTCCACGTCTCTGAGCAACCTTGCCATGAGCCTTCAAACTAGATTCGAGCAGCGGGGCGTTCAGTCTGACCTCGATGAGGCCATTGAGCTACATCTGGCTGCCATCCAGCTTTGTCCCCCCGGTCATTCTGATCGATCACTGTCTCTCAACAACCTTGCCGTCAGTCTTCAATCCAGATTCGAGCATCGGGGCGTTCGGTCTGACCTTGATGAGGTCATTGAGCTGAATCGAACTGCACTGGAGCTCCGTCCCCCTGGTCATTTTGATCGATCACTATTTCTCAACAACCTTGCCACCAGCCTTCAATCCAGATTCGAGCATTGGGGCGTCCTGTCTGACCTCGATGAGGCCATTGAGCTCGATCGGGCTGCACTGGAGCTCTGCCCCCCTGGTCATTCTGATCGAGCACTATCTCTCAATAACCTTGCCATCAGCCTTCAATCCAGATTCAAGCACCGGGGCGTTCGGTCTGACCTTGATGAGGCCATTAAGCTGTATCGGGCTGCACTGGAGCTCTGTCCCACCGGTCATTCTGATCGATATCTGTCTCTCAACAATCTTGCCACCAGCCTTCAATCCAGATTCGAACATCTGGGTGTCCAGTCTAACCTTGATGAGGCTATTGAACTTAAGCGGGCTGCATTGGAGCTCTGTCCCCCCGGCCATTCCGATCGATCGGTGTCTCTCAACAACCTTGCCATCAGCCTTCAATCCAGATTCGAGCATCGGGGCGTTCGGTCTGACCTTGATGAGGTCATTGAGCTGAATCGAGCTGCACTGGAGCTCCGTCCCCCTGGTCATTCTTATCGATCACTGTCTCTCAACAATCTTGCCACCAGCCTTCAAACCAGATTCGAACACCAGCACGTCCAGTCTGACCTTGATGAGGCATTTCACCTGTATTTGCAACTTTCCCACCCATCACATGCAGCCTCTCGTATCGATCTTAATGCTGCCAAGTCATGGGCAATGTCCGCCGAGGAGCTGAACCATGACTCTGCGTTGATTGCCTATCAAACCGGATTGAAGTTCCTGGATCAGCATGTTGCTCTTTTGTCATCTTCTTCACGCCATTTCGATGTCGTCAGGGAGGCCACTTCTTCCTTTGCCACGGATGCTTTCTCTTGCAGTGTTCGTCATGGTGCGTTGATGACTGCTGTAGAACTAGTAGAGCAAGGTCGTGCAGTATTCTGGACCCAGTTGGCACGCTTCCGCACTCCACTCGATGAACTTTCCGGGGCAAGTGACACCGGCGCAACCTTGGCGGAAGAGTTCAAGCGACTGAGCTTCCGCATTCGTAACGCATTCGATCAGTCTACTAAAGACCAGACCCCGGAAATACGGCAACTGAGTATGCAATGGGATGATGTTGTCTCACGCATCCGCATGCTCCCTGACTTTTCTCGGTTTCTCCTGCCTCCATTGTTTTCTGGCCTCCAGAAGGCAGCTGAAGAAGGTCCAATCATCATCGTCAATGCTAGTCGGTACAGCTGTGATGCCTTGATTATATTCAGCTCCCGAGATCCCGTACACATTCCATTTGATATCACGCGGATCGAAGTCTTCGAGTTGTCCTCTGAGTTTCAATCCATCGCAGAGCAATTTGGATCTTCTGATCTTCAAGATGCGCTTGTCAGCATCCTCCGCAAGCTTTGGAATGATATTGTTGACCCTGTGGTCCAAGCTCTCCAGGAGTCAAATGTCCCCCCTGGCTCGCGTATCTGGTGGTGTCCCACCGCTGAGTTCACGCTGCTTCCTCTACATGCAGCAGGACCCTACGAGAAGAAGAGAGACAATTTGTCTCACATTTACATCTCCTCTTATACCCCAACTTTGGCGACTCTCATTCGTGCGAGACAGCAGGTTCCTCGAGATGCGTTCCCGCAACATTTTGTTGCCATTGGTCAAGCAAAACCGGATAGAGGGAAGGAACTCCAGTGTGTCTATCCCGAGCTAGACATCGTCGCTCAACACGTCACGCCCGTCGCGTCCTTCACATCGCTTGTGGATGACCATGCAACGGTACAGGGATCATTGGATGTATTGAACCGGAATGAATGGCTTCACCTGGCCTGTCACGGAATGCCAAATCGACGACGACCATTTGAGTCTTCCTTTTCGATGCGCGACGGGCCTTTAATGATCAAGGACATCATCCGATCTCACTGGCAGAATCCGGAGTTTGCATTCTTATCGGCCTGCCACACTACTGTAGGCGATAGGGCGAGCCACGATGAGTCAATCCATCTCGCTGCTGCAATGCAATTCTCCGGATTTCGCAGTGTGATTGGTTCTATGTGGTCTGTCGATGACAAGGTTGCACGGCAGATCGTGTCTGCTTTTTACGGCAACCTTTTTGATGCTTCAGGGAGATTGGACTGCACACGGGCTGCGGTAGCATTGCACAAGGCTATGAAGAAAATGCGACGCAACAAGATTCCACTGGAGCAGCAGATCGTGTTCATTCACATAGGTGTCTAGTATGAGACCCAATCGCCATATTATCGCATTTTTTGCAGGTAATCTACACCCAGTCGGGATCGTTCGACCGCTCTTTTTAATGGTCCAGGTGACGCATTCTGGGAAGTCGGACAGTATTTACCTCCCGAACACATGACATCGCCGTTCTCGACTGCATGTCAAGCTAAACGCTGCCATCGTCGAAGCCAGTGCACCATTGCTTCTAACATTCATGCAACTGGGTCTGACCGCCAAACCGCTCGCCTCAGTAGCATGACCGGTACTATATTTCGTATTCATCAGCGCTTCATGAAATGAATACAATTCAAGTATCCAACAAGTGCGATGATACAACATTAGCGTGACTCATTCAAGTATCTACAAGTGAAAGGAGCCTGTTGGCGTCTTGTATAGACACGGATCTGTCCTTTTCGGTGCTAAGCCCTTAGCCACGCTGCAACTGCTTTTGCGGTGACTTCCTGGTGAGTTTTTTCCACATCCACAACGTACTGCTGCCCATAGAAAGTCGGTGGCACGAGTTTGACCCGCGTCGGCGTGAACGAGATACACAGCTCGCTGAAAGAAACTCTTCTCGGTAAAATCCATGGGCTCACATATCCAGTTAGACTGTCACTGGCATACAGCTCAACCATTTTACAGTCAACGCCCTAGATGATAATCTCCAAGATGAAGAATTACAAGTGTTCACAGACACTATTTTACTTTTGTCATCGACGGCCCATCCGGGAGAGTATTTATGCACAATTCTCAATGACGGCACGGTCTCAGACGAGGTCCTCTAGCCGGCTGCGTGGTTGTTGGAGGTCGAAAAGGTCTTTGAACAAATTCTCTCGCTCGACGTGAAGCGACGATTCACCGAGCATAACCTCTTCATGGACCATGAGTGCAATGAAGAGATTGAGGACTCTGGCCTCGCGCTGCAGGGGTTCGCCCCAAGAAGCCAGGCATGGATCAGAGGCGTAGGGATGGCGGATCATCGAAGTGTATGTGGGTATGTACGCAGCTTGAAGTACATCCTTGCATGCTGTATGTCATGGTCAGTTTTGCACGTCGATTTCCAAGCAATTTGCAAACCACGCACCAATGTAGAAAGATGTATTAACCCACCGGAGTTGTGTGAAGAGTTGACGAAATGTCTTTCTTTCTCCCGCATCAATCCTAGGTGCTTGAAGTGGCAACGTCGTATACACGATCCTCAATAGTGGATGAGGAGGTAAGTCAGAGAGTTCAATAGATGCTTGATCGTCATGATATTCAGCAGGGAAGGAAGTAGTGTAAAGCCTGAATGTAATCGGGGATGACACATTCCAGCCATAATGTGTGGTTGCAATAGAATAAAGGCAAGTTGTAGCCGAGATGAGGGTTTGCAGGTGAAATCAAAGAAAGGGGCAAGCTGGAAAAGGTGTTACAGCGGACCCCCGGCTGGACGGGCATGAAGTACGCTCATGGACTTGATGTCGCGCACAAGTGACAAGAGATACGTCTCGGATCATGCATACTCGACACGTATCGCACGACTTTATTTCAGTGGGGTTCGGAGCGTCATACGGGTCGTAGAAATGTTACATTTTATACAGATAGATCCGACACCAAAAAACATGAAGTAGTACATTCAACAACATCCATGAATCAGTATGAAACGTGATAATCGGCAAGCAAGGTGTTTGCGGCGCCCATCCCACCGTTGATCGTAACATATATACGCCTTAACCATTCAGACTCACCTCACCCGGCGCCTGTACTCCGCCCATTCTTTCCCCTGCCCACGATCCGCACCCATCGCTTCGGCACGCCTCGTGATGCAAGGAATGCTGTGACCGCCTTAATCTGCCTGCCTTGCACGGATACCTTCATCCCCGACGACTTCCCTGGTACAGGTGAAACTGACCGGTCCGTATCAGCCACACACTACATATCGCAAATTTCTACTCACCTGAAGTAGAAGACGCGCATCTCGTCCTCAACTCCTTTGCAAGATCAACCGCCCCCAACAAAAACGGCTCGAAGCCTGTGATGGTCGTTCTCGCCCTACGACCTCGTATGATTTTAGCTTCCACCAGGATTGGTTTGAGCCGCCCCTCCCTGCATCTAGAGGTTAATAACAAAGAACCAACGTGCATAACGAAACTAGACGTACTTGGGCACCGTATCCCTGCCTTCGACCCGTATCTTGTACCAATTCTGCATCTTGTGAGATAGGTACTCGATCACTTTCTCGCGTTTGAAAAACACCATTTTCGCTGGACCGCCAGTCCAGATAGTCGTCCGAAGAAGCTTATCCGCGCCAACGTCGACATATGATGGGTCGTGCACGTCCACTAATTTACGATCGGTGACGTACTTGTCGAGTACGGTCTTGATATCCATGTGGGTGTATAGGGTTGATGTACTGCAGGGATGTCGTCAGTATTTGATCATAAACAAGGAATTGCGCTGATCCCTACTCGAATCCAGCATCAGCAAATAATTTCAGCGATTGTAGATGGGGTTTATGAAGCTTCGTTACTTTACGGTTCCGGACACGTGTCTGTTCCTTTTCTTCCCGCTGCTTTTTCCTGAGAAACTCATCCTTGAGAGATATATATGGTCTGTGTGCGACAACATCTGCGTGTGCTGTGGTCACGGAAAATACCATCAACTCATATTTGATCTCTTTAAGCTTCAAGAGGCCTTGTTTCTCTGCTGATTTGAGAAAATGCGCAAGAGACTTGTGGGAGGAATGCTTGATATCGATGGGTGTAGATATGTCTGGCTGTGACGGTGATGAGGCAGGCTGCGAGGGTAGAATGTAAGTCGAGTAAAGTGTGCTAGCGGTCATGGGGAACACGGAGGTCTGGGTGCTGCTGGACATATTTTTGATTGCCTGAAGAAGGGCAGCATGCAGAATAGTTGAAACGTCTGCCGGGAGTTAGGGATCGAATGCACATTTGCTGTGGTTTAACGCACCTTCTTTCGTGAGTTCTATTGTTGGAGTAGGTTTGTCTAACTGCGTAGAACCCAGCGCAGCAACCGATGGCTCTTTCGATACATCACTACCCGCAAGACCCGGCGGATTACCTTTGTGTCCCATATCAAATAAATGGTCATTCCAGGCATGCAGAACAAACACTGCCTTTCCCTTCGCGCCAACCGCAGACAGGGCTCTACTACCCACCGCCAAGCGCCCAACAGCAAGTGGCGGCCCAATACGCGTCAAATCGCGAATATGTCTCGTAATGCTGACAAGTTGCGCAGCTTGAAGACATTGTGCGTGACGTACGACTTGAAGAAGAGTCTGCTGAGCAAAGAGGACCTATTGTAATTGACAAGTGGCGACGCACCTTCAGGAATCATGAGATCCGCACCAACTAGATCAGGAATTTTTGAAGATGGTGTGGACAGAGACGGGAGGAGATCTGGCTTCTTCCACAGGGTATATACTATCACATCTGAGCTATGTATGTCAGACTGATAGGAGGTACGACTCACCAGTCGGAATTAAGTCCTCGCTATCTCTCTCAAGCGTGAACCACAAAGGGTCTCCGCTAGGGCCCAAATAAGCCACCTAAGTTGTGAGACATCTGATCAATACGAGCAAGGCTGTAATGAGATTTTGCTTACACCTCGCTCATGAATATGTGTGCGGAATTTGACGGACAGCAAGCCCTCCGGGACAAGGTCCTCGCCAACATCTTGATCAAGCGAAAAGGTTTGAATGACGCGTTGTTTGAGCTTGCACCTGTCGGAGCTACAGAGGGGCGCTTGTGAGCCAACGGACCATGGTTAGCCAGAATGTCGGTAAACAGCGGTCATCGAGCACCTGAAGTCTTTAAACATCCGAAGAACATTGTAAAGCTGCTATTGAGTGTAACGCGAATCGAACGGGGATAGAGCAGATCGCGAGAGGTAGAGTCGAGTAACGTCGAATAGAGCGTCAAAGTGAAGATATTGAATGCACGTCGGAAGGGAAACGTTGGATCAAAATTGTCAGTCGATTCGATGAGGCAGGAACCAGCACATGCGCATTCAAACAAGTTCGAGTGTCGTATGTAGTAATGGTTCGCGAGGAGATGAAAGAAAAGATAATGGGAAGAAGGTGTGGTGCGTGCAACGAGGCATACTATTAAATATATAGAGTCAGGGCTAAGTTAGGGCGTGTTGTGATTAGTAGTGAAATTGTGAAATGTGACAGTGGAAAGGTGAAATGTTGGATTCAGAAACCGAAAGAAGGGCCGGACGGGGCCGACAGGCATCAAGTTGGCTGTCTCGAACATGACGGTTGTAGTAGAATCCTTTTGGACACAAACACCACTCGCATCGCGTCAAAACTCGCAGCAGAGCTTGCTGCAGACCCATGCGCTTTGGAGGGTTCGAATTCACGTACCGTTTCCAACCGTCCAACACCATCTCCGCGTCATGACCCCAAACTACGAATCCTGGTCAAAGGAAGAACTTGTCGCTCATCTCAAACAGCTGGAGACGACGAACGAGGATGTGACCAAGCCCCGGCATCTAAAAAAAATTCATCCCACCCAAGCCCAAGATCGTGATCAAGTTCTGTTACCCAGGGTGGGAGTACAATGGGCTGGCACATCAAAACGGTCCGACGCCTCTTCCTACGGTTGAGGATGTGATGTTCAAAGCCTTTGTAAAGGCTAGGCTGGTTGATTAAACAGCAGTTTGATGACTGTGGATGGGAGAAATGTGGAAGGACGAATCGAGGAGTCAGCGCGGCTGGTTAGGTAGTTTCGCTATGGGTTCAAAGAAGCGAGGAATGTTGTCACCCTATTTAGAAGGGAGGGGTCCTCAAGTATATGCCAATACTCCTCAAGATTTCGAATCATTTACCTTTAACACTTCCAGGTATGATTTGAGCGTCTCTTTATGAACCGAATGCTCATAAATATTAGCCTCGAATGATTGCCCACAGCAAGTACGTAGAGATTACTATTGATCTATATGATGGATAACAGTCATTCTAGACTATACGGAATCGGGAGCTAGCTGAAGTAGCTTCCCCGGCGGTCCCATACTTCGGTATAGGCTCACCATGCTACTGCCTCAGCACTGCGGGAAGTGGATTGTAAGTCATTGGTCCCATGCATTTCTCTCCTGCACCGCACACTGCCCCGACAGGTACTCGTTATCATACTCAAAAAATGGAGAAAAGACTCCACGAGCAAGGTCCTTATATTTACCAAATCCGTCAAGCGTTGGGAGTTTTATTTCAACACCAACAGTATGCACAGGACTCGGAGCATCCTGATTGTGCGGTGACGATGAGAAAGTACATGTTCTGAGCAAGTCGTGATAAGCAAATGCAAGTTCCGTGGACTACGTTTACGCGTAGGCACGACAGGTGCTGGTGTATTGCGTGGTTGGTGCTCGGGGTTGGGTAGTTGGTGGAAAACGAAAGAAAGGTATTACAACTCAGCCAACTAGGGTATACGTAACGAACGTAACGACTCACGAGACCCCGCCCCCCAGTCACCGACCTTATCTGTCGATAGTCTATGTACTACATAGGTAGTACTAGTAGTTCCTCATTTTCAAGGGCTTCCTCAGCACTTGATCTCCTCATTGATAATAATACTTCCCTTCGGTGTGTCAAAGCCTGAGAGTCTGCTCCCTGTAAAGTTTGCTCTCATATGACTTGATTTTACACTCATTGTTAGACCATTCGGTGAGATGGAACAGTGGACAATGTGAAAGAATCCAGAGCGGCCCTGCAGTGCTGTCCCCCTCATTGCGAATGTCACTTTTTATGCAGATCAATCCAACACCAAACACAACATCAGCACATTCAACAACGTCCGTTAATCATTGTGACGCGATAGTGGGTAAGCAAGTTTACATTTATCTCACCGTTGATCGTGCCATGTGTAAGCCCTCCATTCAGACTCGCCCAGCACGCCTACTCCGTCTATTTCTTTCCTCCGCCCACTGTCCGCACCCACCGTTGGGGCACGCCTCGCGATGCAAGGAAGGCTGTGACCGCTTTGATCTGCTTGCCTTGCACGAATACTTTCATCCCCGGCGACTTCCCTGGTGCAGATGAAACTTCCCAGTCCGTGTCGGCCACACATTAAGTGCAACATCACGTAATAATTCTACTCACCTGAAGTGGAAGACGCGCATCTCGTCCTCAACTCCTTTGCAAGGTCAACCGCCTCAAACAAAAACGGCTCAAAGCCTGTGATGAGCGTGCAAGCCCTACGACCTCGTACGATTTTAACTTCCACCAGGATTGGTTCGAGCTGCCCCTCCCTGCATCTAGAGGTTAACAACCAACAACCAACGCGCATAATGAGATCAGCCGCACTTAAACACTGGATCCCTGCCTTCGGCACGTATCTTGTACCAATTCTGCATCTTGTGTGATAGGTACTCGATCACTTTATCGCGTTTGAGAAACTCCATTTTCGCTGGACCACCCGTCCAGATGGTCGTCCGCAGAAGCTCATCCGCGCCAACGTTGATATACGATGGGTCGCGCACGTTCACCAATCTACGATCGCGGACGTACTTGTCGAGTACGGCCTTGATATCCGTGTGGGTGAATAGGGTTGATGTACTGCAGGGAGGTAGTTAGCGTTTGATATTAAACCAGGAATGGCGCAAATCCTACTCGAATCCAGCATCAGAAAAGAATTTCAATGATTGCAGGTGAGGTTTATGAAGCTTCGTTATTTCAAGGTTCTGGACCTGTGCCTGTTTCTCTTCTTCACGCTGCTTGTTCCTGAGAAACTCATCCTTGAGCGATATGTATGGTCTGTGTGCGATAACATCTGTGTGTGATGTAGTCACGGAAAATACCATCAGCTCAGATTTGATTTCTTTAAGCTTCAAGAGGCCTTGTTTCTCTGCTGATTTGAGGAAATACGCAAGAGACTTGTGGGAGGAATGCTTGATATCGATGGGTGTAGATATGGTTGGCTGTGACGGTGATGAGGCAGGCCGCGAGGGTAGAATGTAAGTCGAGTAAAGTGTGCTAGCGGACATGGGGAACACGGAGGTCTGGGTGCTGCTGGACATATTTTTGATTGCCTGAAGAAGGGCAGCATGCAGAATAGTTGAAACGTCTGCCGGAAGTTAGGGATCGAATGCACGTTTGCTGGGGTTTAACGCACCTTCTTTCGTGAGTTTTATTGTTGGAGTAGGTTTGTATAACTGCGTAGAACCCAGCGCAGCAACCGATGGTTCTTTCGATGCATCATTCTTTGCGGGATCCGGTGGATTACACTTGTGTCCCATACCAAATAGATGGTCATTCCAGGCATGTAGGATAAACACTGCCTTTCCCTTCGCGCCAGCCGCGGACAAGGCTCCACTACTCACCGCCACGCGCCCAACAGCATGTGGCGGCCCAATACGCGTCGAATCGCGAATATGTCCCGTAATGCTGACAAGTTGTGCAGCTTGAAGAGATTGTGCGTGACGTACGGCTTGAAGAAGAGTCTGCTGAGCGAGGGGGATTTATTGTAATTGACAAGTGGCAACGCACCTCTAGGAATCACGAGATCCGTACCAACTAGATCAGGGATCACTGCGGATGGTGTAGACAAACACGGGAGGAGATCTGGCTTCTTCCACAATGCATATACTATCGCATGTGAACCACGGCTGACAGAATCGTAGGAGGCACGACTCACCAGTCGGAATCAAGTCTTCGCTGTCTCTCCCAAGCGTGAACCACAAAGGATCTCCGTTAGGTCCTAAATAAGCCACCTAAGTTGTGAAAGATTCCACGGGCCTCATGAATATGAGAAAGGCTGTGATGCGATTCGCTTACACCTCGCTCATGAATATGTGTGCGGAATTTCACAGACAGCAAGCCGTCCGGGACAAGGTCCTCGCCGACATCTGGATCGAGAGAAAAGGCTCGAATGACGCGTTGTTTAAGCTTGCGCCTGTCAGAGCTACGGAGGGGCGCTTGTGAGTCAATGAATCATGGTTAGCCAGGATGTCACGTCAGTAAACAGTGGTCATCGAGCACCTGACGCCTTCAAACTTTCGAAAGGCTTGTTGAACATTGTAGAGCTGCTACTGAGTGTAACAAGAACCGAACAAGTGCGAATAGGGATGGAATAGATTGCGAGAGGTAGAGTTGAGTAGAGTCGAATAGAGCGATACTGAGTGCACGTTGGATAAAAAATACCAGTCAATTCGATGAGGGTACGAGAGCATACACGCGCATCTAAATACAAGTCCGAGTGGCTCGAGTGTCATGGTAATAGTTTGAGAAAGAATGAAAGAGTCAAAGGGGAGAGGCATAATAGCAACTTCAAATGAAGTAGTATACTGTAGTAGTCACGGTAGTACATAGTAAAATGTCAAATATGTCAAAAGCGTGGAAACCTGAAGGTAAATCGTTACGGCAAAAGACGTAAGTAGTAGGTGGGCACATTCGTTTTCCTAGACCTTTCTATTCGATACACTAGACGACAACGAAAGGAAGGGGGTTGCAAGCGTCCGGTCTCCGAGTCAAATTGGCTCTGTGAACATGACGGCGTAGACTCGTAGAAACTAAACACGCGTCGACCTGGTGACTGCCAGCAACTACGTTGTGTACCCGCACGGTACACGCAGAGCTGGTCTGCATTTCTTGCACGACCTTTACCGTAGTACGACCTTAACATCAAATTTTTGTATTGAAGGTAGGAGAAAAATGAGGCTACAAATGTCATGTATATCGTGTTTGAAACGTTCCAGATCTATTTATTAGCGTTCGACAAGTGGTTCAGATTCCAGAAGCAGTGTCCGGTTGGTGTCCGGCAGAATATTCATGACAAAGTTCGGGTGTCCTCAACACTAGCCCCTTCTTCCTTCTGAACGATCTAGTTCAAGGACATGTACGTACGCGTAGTTCGATGTCGGGCTGAATACACCAGTTTTCTTGTGCATTCACGCAAACACGTACGCAAGCCGAGTAATATGAGGGTCTTTTATCAATGCCGCAGAATTCATGCGGGATGTGTTCTACTGTTATTCAAGAGTCTGGTCGAAACGGCAGATAAATTTGTACAAAAGTAAGCGTATTGATCTCCGCAATGAACTACAAATCGTGTGATCAACAACTGTACCAACGCGAAAGTAGAAACACGACTCACTCTTGCGACATGATCAGTCTGCTAAGCTCGTCGGGAGAGGGCTAATGACAGTACTTGATGTCGGCGCCGTACATCTATTAGTACAAAGGGTGAGTCATGGGTTTGAATCCAGGAGCAAAGCGAACGACTCATACTCACACCTTTCTTACAAGTGAGACCTTTGCAGCATGCTAGGCCGTCGACCGCCCCGGGCCCGCTGTGTTAAAGAGCGAGAACTAAGGTAGCGTGAGTCTCAGTCAATGGTAGAAAGACTCTATTCGTGTAAACTAACCTAAGGTAGCGTGAGTCTGTAGGACCGCTAGTAAGTATCATGTATAGTATAATATGAATGGTATGCGCACCTCAGTCAATGGTAGAAAGACTGAGGTGCGAGTATAGCGTCTAGCCATCCTTAAATAGAAAAGAGAAAATGGTCAGTAACTAGGGTGGATGACGTCCAGTGACACTGGCAGCTAAGGTACATAGAACTGGAACAGTTAGATATATTTATCTGGAACCGGCTCGGTGCTCTGACGGATCACCTCTCAACACTCCCACTCGTCAGAGCGCCTGGCAGGTCTTGACGACGTAGTCCCATGTTTTCCCGATGCTGGATCCCAGCTGGGCGAGGTAATGCCTTCGTTAGACTATCAGCAATCATCTCCGAGGTGGATTTGTACTGGAGTTCGATCTTGTTCGTGTCGACGAGGTTGCGGATGAGATGGTAGTGGACGCGAATATGTTTGGCTCTTTCGTGGAATCTTGGATTCTTCGAGAGCGCAATACTGGACTGGTTGTCTCCATATAGGAGTGCGGGATCGTAGAGTTCGGGGTCAAGGCGGAAGTCGTGTAGAAGCTGGATTAGATATAATGCTTCGCGTGAAGCGTTCGATAGACCTATATATTCGGCCTCCGTGGTCGAGGTAGCGACCACAGATTGCTTCTGAGACTTCCAACTAATGGGCCCTCCGAACAGTTGATAGACATAAGCGCTGGTGGACTTGCTATCGTCTCGATCTGCAGCATAGTCCGAATCCGAGTGTCCAACGAGTCCCTCGTTCGACGAGCCGAAGATGAGTACTAAATCCGTAGTTCCACGAATGTACCGGAGAAGATGTTTGAGTTGACGATGATGGTCGATACTGGGGTTCTCCATGTATCGGGAGAGGCATGAAACTGGGTAAGCGATGTCGGGGCGAGTGGTTCGCATAGCATAGTTGAGTTCACCGATAGTTCGGCGATATGGGATCGACACAATGGCGTCCGCTTCTTCACTCGTTGGGGGACGTGTAGCCTTCTGCAAGGTTACTCCAGGTGTCATAGGTGTACTGACAGGATTGCACAGTGTCATGCCGGCGTTCTCGAGAATCTTCTCAAGGTAAGCCTTCTGGCTAATGGTGAGGAGCCTCTTCTCACGGTCGCGCATAATGTGCATGCCAAGGAAGTGGCGAGTGGGACCGAGATCCGATAAGTCGAAGCGTTGTTTTAGCTGTGTCTTGAACTTGTCCAGGTAATCGCGAGAGTTCGACGCTGCGAGCATGTCGTCGACATAGACGACTAGCCATATGACTTTGTCTCCCTCGTGGAGGACATACAGACTGTGATCAGCTTCGCTCCTTACGAATCTGAACCCCTCTTTCCGCAGGTACTCATCCAGTGTCTGGTTCCACTCATACCCCGCCTGCTTCAACCCATAAATCGCTTTCTCCAGCTTCCACACCCAGTCCGGATGTTCAGGGTCTTCGAAACCAGCCGGTTGCTTGAGGTAGATGTCCTCCTTGAGGTCAGCGTTGAGGAAGGCGGTACGTACGTCCATCTGGTCCAGTTCAAGGTCGAATTTCGCCGCGAGGGCGAGGAGAATACGAACTGTGTCGTACTTGGTGACGGCCGCGAACGTTTCTGTATAGTCGATCCCCTCAACTTGCGTGTATCCCTGCGCGACGAAGCGTGCCTTGTGACGGGTGATGTTGCCTTCTTCATCAGTCTTTACCGTGAACACCCATCTCGAACCAATCGCTTTGCGTCCTTCTGGGAGTGGCATGAGTTTGTGTGTTTTGAGGTCCTGCATTGACTGTAGCTCGGATTTGCAGGCATCTGACCATTGAGGCCACTCTGGTAATGACCGAGCTTTGTTGATGGTTTCGGGTATGACTATGTTTGAGCATTTGGGAGGTTCGGTAGGTCTGGGAGGTTCGGTAGCTGTGTGCATTGCGGATTCGGTACTGTCGTTGTCGTGCTGACTGGCTGAGGACTCTGGTACATATGTCCAGCGTTCGGCAACAGGAACTCGTCGTGTTGGTATGGCCGTTGCGCTGGTGCCAGAGGGTGCGATATGGCCTGCTTGTACCGGTTGGCGTGAACGAGTGCTGCGACGAGGCGGAATATCCAATGGAGGTGCAGGGGGAGGAGGTACTGGAGGTTGCTGTGGGATAGGCGGTGTTACCTGTTCAGTTGGGTCAGGTGTTACTGGCAGATCGTTCTGGTCAGGTGGGTCGTCATGCTCTCCCACTGACACCTGTGGTACGCAGTCAGCAGGGGTCGATAGAGGTGGCTCACCAGCCTGTGCTCCCACTGATTGAGAGACACCTCCCACCGATGAAGTGACAGCAGGGAGATCCGTCGAGTCACGAAGGAGAGGAGCGAGGGGTGAGGAAGCAGGATCCCCATAGAACACGTGTTCGTCGAAGTGGACATGACGGGAACGCACGACGCGTTTGGTAGAGGGATCCCAGAGAGTGTAGCCTGCATTCCGTACATGGCCAAGTAGGAAGCAGCGACGAGAGACGAAGTCGTACTTGCGGCGGGTGTCCTCTGGTATGTGCGCATAGGCAAGGCAACCGAATGGGCGAAGGTAGCCGACGTCCGGCTTGCGACCATAGAACACCTCAAATGGTGTGCGACCAGCGAGAGATGAGGAAGGGAGCATGTTCTTGATGTGGGCTGAGTTCAGAATTGCCCAGCCCCAGAACGAACGCGGGAAGCCACTCAGGTGGTGTGAACTGAGTGCACGAGTGACAATGGTTTGGTGCCCGCGTTCCGCGACACCATTTTGCTGGGGAGTCCAGGGCATGGTGGTTTCGTGCTCAATACCATGTTCCCCAAGATAGGTCAGAAATTCCCTCGACATGTACTCGCCTCCGTTGTCACTGCGAAGCCGCCTGACACGCCCCCCAGATTGCGTCTCTATCCAGGGCATAAAGTGCCGGAAACGATCAAAGACTTCGGATTTGGCACGCATTAGATAGACCACTGAGTACCTCGTGTAGTCATCAGTGAATACCACAAAATAGTGGTCACCGGTAGAGGAAGTGATGTTGACTGGTCCCCAGACGTCGGAGTGAACGAGGTCAGCTGTCGCTTTAGCGCGGCGTGCAACGGCAGGAAAGGGAAGTCGTTTATGTTTTCCCATAACACAGGACACACAGTGTATCGTGTCGGCGCCGTCGACGTGATGATGCAGCGTGGTCTTGTCGATGTTCATTCCACTGACATGTCCCATGGCCTTCATAATGGTCGAAAAACCAGCATGCCCAAGACGACGATGCCACGTATTGAGAGATGGAGGCGTAGCCTTTGTGAGCATCGCGCGTGCAGGGGTGGAATAAGCCATGTGGTATGTCGCATCTAGCAGATATAATCCGCCTTTCTGGTGCACGTGGGCGATGTACAGCCCATTGCCATCGTTAGAGCGCAGTGTTCCCCCTTTGGAGGTTGTCGTGAAGGATATACGAGCAGAGGCGAGGGTGGAGACCGAAATGAGTGTGCAACGTAGATCGGGGACATGTAGGAACTCGAGCTCGTGTTCCGTCAACGAATCACCAAACCGGAGAACAAGCTTCACTTTACCCCATCCTGGAGCTAACACCACATGCTCATCAGCTAACGTCACACGGATAGGTTCATGCAGTTTCACATAGTGAGAAAAGCGTGATATTTCGGGCTCCATATGAGCCGTTGAGGCAGAGTCTACATGGAAGGATCCAGCCGGTAAAGTAAGGGCTGATGAGATATTGGCTGAGTGATCCTTTAGCGTAAGGACGAATGGAAGTGGTGTGATAGACTCGTCAGTTGGGTCTGGCAGGGAGGACACCGTGTCAGCGGTGGTAGCGGCAGGGGAGGAAGGACTAGGTGCTGACTTTGGAGTCTTGTCGTCCTTGGAGAGCCGTGCACGGCACTGTACCCAGACATGACTGGCCTTTTGACAGTGGCCGCATTTAGGTCGCCATCCTACTATCCAGCCATCCCCTTTCGTCTCATCAAATCCTTTCGGTGGGACACGATCGCTGGTCTTGGGGTTGGAGGAGTTTCCTCCTCGGTGTCCAGAGAGCATGGCCATGTGGTCACTGCCACTGGTCCCAGCGCGGTGCAATTCCTGAGTCTTCAGGCGATTCACAACATCGCTGAAATCTAGCGAAGTGTCACTGTTGACGAGGGTTTGACGAAGGGGGTCGTAATAGTCAGGTAGGGTGCGCAATAGAACATGCACGAAGATTGCGTCTGGGATCTTGTACTCGTCCTTTGCCGCAGTTGTAACGACACTGGTGGTGGAGGGTGCGACTGTGGTGACAGAGAGAGCTGCAAGGTCTGATTTCAGCACGGTAAGGGTTTGCATGGTTTGGGCGATGGAGGCACTGTCATGCGCCTTGGGAATGGTGAATAGGCGGTCCAGGTATTGATTGAATCGAATAGCTTTTTGGGGAAGGTACTTCTTCTCTAGAGCAATCCACGCCACGTGTGGATCATCTATATCGCGGAGGTGGATGAAGTCCTGCGCATCAATTGCCGTGGACAGAGCGCTGAGAGCGAGGAGTCGGCGTTGCTTGTAGACTCGTACTCGCTCGTCGTGTTTCTCTGCGCGAATAATGTTTTGATCCACGTCCGTGAGTGTGGCTGGAGGTGATGGTTCCATCTCGTCGCCGTTGATATATGGCCATAGTCCAATGCCGCCGGACCACATCTTAAAGCCAGTGGCCCATTGAGAGTAGTTGGATCCGTCGAGGGTGAGCTTCTCATGCGGATATCGTTCAGTTTTGGGAAGGGAGTCAGGAGACGACATGGTAGTGTCAGAGCCGAGTGGTTATCGGCGAGAGAATGAGAGATTTCGAGGAGAAGATGTCGCTACCCTTTAGTCAGGGCTCATAACCTGTTAAAGAGCGAGAACTAAGGTAGCGTGAGTCTCAGTCAATGGTAGAAAGACTCTATTCGTGTAAACTAACCTAAGGTAGCGTGAGTCTGTAGGACCGCTAGTAAGTATCATGTATAGTATAATATGAATGGTATGCGCACCTCAGTCAATGGTAGAAAGACTGAGGTGCGAGTATAGCGTCTAGCCATCCTTAAATAGAAAAGAGAAAATGGTCAGTAACTAGGGTGGATGACGTCCAGTGACACTGGCAGCTAAGGTACATAGAACTGGAACAGTTAGATATATTTATCTGGAACCGGCTCGGTGCTCTGACGGATCACCTCTCAACACGCTGCAAACCCCTTGGTCATCTATGCATGACTGTGCACTAACAGATGTATGTACTGTCAAGGCAGCAACAACAGCGAGGAGGGATGAGAAACGCATGATTTTTGCTCGGTAATATGGGATGCGTCAAGAGGGATCTCGGATAATAGCTCTGATACTGGCAGTAGGAAGACGGCTTGCTTTTATGCCCTAGAAAATAGTTGAAGTCCTCGGCAGTTCTACATATCAGAATGGACATCAGGGAGAGAGTATAGGCAGAACCACATGGTCAGCGGATAAACTATCCAGAACATGTGGACTGCAAACGTATGGACTTGAACACTACCTTGCAGTAAATAGCAATGAAGATGCACCTTGCAACGATTGTGGGCAATGTCGAGAATACCGTCCACATGTTACTCACAGTTAAATGTGCATATGTGCATGGAAAGCAAAGATGGAATATGAAATCTGAGAGCGTACGCCATCGCATAATAGAAGGAATGACCGTCTTCCTTCTATATGGTCTGACCAGGGGAGACCAACGCCATTGGGTGATCAGTAACGAGTGCCTTTCTTCCACTAATAATGACCAAGCAGAATAAATTGTCGCCGCGATGATGAAGTTCAGATCGAACAGTAAACCGGGCTTACGATGATCCGCCGAGCAAGTTCCTGGGCAGTAACACGCGGCATGCATGTTGCGTAAATGACATGAAATGAGCGAGATAAACAGGAGGTTCAACCGACCCCGCTGAAAGCGGGGTTTCAAACCAACCACACACTAACCAAGATCTAAACACCTAACCTATAGTGGTACTCAAAACAAATTTTGAAATTCTTGAAAGCTCGCTAAACTGCGTTCAACTCCCTTCAACTCCCCGCTAAAAGTTTGAATGAACGCGCGCAAGTCCGAGAGAAATATGCTCGGCACACATCGGCATGTAGTCGGACTTTAAAACAACACTTGTGATTTTCAAAGCGTGCTATGTACATAGGGGAAAGTGGTAGAGTAGCGGTCCAACATACTTGTATTTCAAATGAAAGCATTAATAAAAATTGTAAAAAAACAAGGCCTCCAGGTGGGAATGAAATCAGCTGTAGGTAGGGAGCGTGGGAGGGACCAAAATAAGTGCCGAGGGGAAGAGGGGGGGATGCTGAGCAGCTGGGGGGGGGGAGGAAAAGTGTCGGGAGGAAGATCTGCATGCCTCCACGGAGACACAAGATCAAGCGCCGAGAGTACGGCCATCTTCGATGCTTTCCAGTGGAGATGGGGCGCTGGTCAGGTGGGGTGCGCGTGGGATCTGAACTAGAATAGATTTTCTGTAAGATAAGGGTGAATGTTAGTGCAACTTGCAAGAGGTGCAAGGAATACTTACCTTGGGTGGATGACACCTGGGAATTTGATGGTGTCCTGCTCGACGCTGTGGATGAGCATCGAGGTTCGAGGGTGAGGTCAGCGATGACACCGGCGTGTTCAGTGCGAAACGAAACTTCGGAACTTTCCGAAAATTTAAACTCCGCCAAAAAACTGCGTCACATATGCACCAAATAGATAGGAGTTTTGATCCCACACCCACTGTAGCTCCCACCACAACTATGCCTCGTCAATCCACACGTAAAGAGCTCCTGAATATCGTGGATCAGGCTGCACTTTCTTTGGCCAGGTTGCAATATCAGGGTATCCTAGATGACTGGTCGGACTTTGAGAGTGATTCCGGCTCCGAGGACTCACTTTCTACTACTGATTCAGACGATGTTACAATCAGTCTGTCTTTTAGCCCTCCTTCCCCCCTATCCCCCCTTTCCCCTATGACAGGGATTTTGGATTCTTCCAGTTTTAGTTCTGTATCTTCTGATGATGTCACTTTGCCTTACGACAGGCTTCGAGACACCATTGATGCTCTTCGTGATGAGGTTAAGAGGGCCCGCATACTCCAGAAGCCTGACGAGCCTCCTCCACGAGCACCTCAGCTTCACATGCTGGTCCATCATGAAGAACACCGCCCTCACTTGTTTCGGCAGAAACTTCGTGTCAACCCCGAGATCTTTGACGACATCCTTGATTATATCTCTGATCACCCTATCTTCCAAAACCAGTCCAACAATCCTCAGCTCCCTGTCTCCATCCAGCTCAGCCATCTTTCTGAATCGGGCAGGCCACTATGGCAATGCCATTACTCTTGAGGATGTTGCTCAATGGGCAGGCGTGAGTGTCGGGTCCGTGGTTAATTGCACTAATCGTGTGATGATTGCGGTACTTGAATGCCCATGATCAGTTTATCTGCTTCCCAGCAGGTAATTCTGAGGATGCTGACCTGGCTTCGCAAATTTGCCGAGTCACATACCTGTCCAGAGTGGAAAGGTGGCTTTCTAGCCATCGATGGCTCGACTATGAATCTGTTCACAAAACCTGGTTATTATGGTGAGACATTCTATGATAGGAAGTCCAAGTATTCCCTTGGCTGTCAGGTAACATTTTTTTTCATCCTCATGTGCAAAAATTAATTTAATTCTAGGCAGTCATCTTGCCCCACAATCTCCTGATTGTTGATTATTCTCTCGGTCACCCTGGGAGTGTCCATGATGCATTTGCTTTTCGATCCACTCGCCTCTATGAAGAGCATGCCGATCTTCTGCCAGATGGTCATTGGGTTTGGGCGGACAGTGCTTATCCATTGGAACCATGGTGTATTGCCCCTTTCAGGAAGCCTCGCAATGGACCGCTGACGAAGAACCAGAAGACATTCAATTATCACCTCTCTAAGGTATTTTTTTTTTTAGTGGTTTTCCATTGATCTACATTTATTTAGATTCGTGTTCGTGTTGAACACACATTTGCTGTTTTGAAGGGACAGTTCCAGTCCCTTCGAGAGCTACGGTTCAGGATTCAGGCTGAGAAAGACCTTGAGTTTGCTGTGCAGTGGATCAAGTGTTGCATCATCCTGCACAACATGATCATTCGCTTTGAAATCGAGCATCGCAAGAAGGATGGAACATACGAGAGTTCTCTCAAGTGGGCTTGTACGGAGGGGGAAGATTTTGTTGATCAAGAGTTTGAGGGTCCAGATGGTGAAGAAGTAGTTGGTGACAGGACATATGATGGCACTCTAGGTCAAGCTGCCCGTGCAAAGTTGATGGATGAGCTTTTTAACAGTCCTCACTCAGATGCACAACACAGGGAAGGATGATCACTGACACAATACTTTCTTGAACATGTACTACTACTAAAACACTTGTACAACAAATGTATATAGCTATGTAACATCAATCAAAGAAGTACTGACAAAACAACAAACATATGTCCAATGAAAACAACATGGTGACAACAATAAACTGAAACATGATGACAGCAGCAATGGACGGGGATGACGAGACGATGCGACGACGACGAGAACAAAATAAGCAACACAACAACTCACTCAACTCCTCCATCTGATCTCGGGCCCTTGTTCACCTGCATCATTTGATGGAACTGAATTTTGAGTCGAAGATTCTCCGCTTCCTTGTCGAGCACCAATGAATGTGCTTCGTGGACTCGAATGTCCTGCCTCACGTAGACAAATCTCGGCATCTTTAGACTCCTGCAGACGCTGATGGCTGACAGTGGCCTGGGAGGTCTCATGCTCGTGGGTAGCACGAAGCCATTCATACTTCTTGATGTCGCGATTGTGCTCACTCTTCACCTCGAGCTTCGCGAGGAAGCGATGGTGTTTGTGATCGTGGCGCGACATCGCATCAGAGTGCATAGACGCGAGCTCATCCTTAACCTCGTCTACCTGCTGCATCACATCCGGCTTCGCCTTCTTCTTCTTCGAGCCGCCGCTGTTTGGAAGCGAAGTCTGGGGGGTCGAGGACATAAGGTAGTCCGACAAGGAGGTAGTGTTGCGTGTTGTGGATGAATGCACTGACGTGCTGACCGAGACCTCCGATGGTAGGTTGCGTCACCTCCCACGGCTTGGTGGCTTCTGCATGCGAAACGCCGAGCGGCTGTTGTAGGCAGACGCTGGGGATTTTTCTGGCACATTGAATGGTTCGGGAGCATCGGGAGGGGGAGACGGCGATGAAGGGAGCTGGCGTTTCTTCCCTGCGACTTTGGAAGAGCTATCGGCCCTCTCATCACCTTCGAGGTGATGTAAGGCGTCTCCGAGGGGGGCATCAAATGGGTCACCTGGTGTTGAGAGAGTCCACATCAGCAATGTCGATGTCAGCGTCTGACGTCAGAAGGCCAGGAAGATGGATTTGAGGGGACATATTGTAGGGGGGGGTGGGCGGGTAAGGGGGGAGCGGGAGCAGGTGCGGGTTGTTGCAGCGCCGGATTGATCAAGGGATCACCATGTGAACCCCCAGCATATGGTGTTGCTAGCGGATACCTCAGATAGTATTGTTGGCCGTAATGTGGGGGCAGAGTGCTGGAAGGATAGGTGTTGTGCTCGGGATATGCATGAGGAGGTGGCTGAGTGTTGGCGCCAGGATATACATGCTGTGCATCTGGGGGCGCGTCAAACTGCATGGGGGGACCGCCCCCACCACGTGATTGAATCAGGGAATATAAGGCGCCAGCGTGATCGACGCCGGGTTTTGACGAGTAGGTTTTCGTGGCCATGGACAGATTAGCATGCCAAATGGCATCTAATTCCGTGTACCATGGGAGCTCTGCCAGCGCCGCATCTACAACAACTGATCAGCCGAGGACCGGAAACTCAGGACCAAAGACTCACCCAATAAGTTTCTCATTTGCATGCCCTCAGCTGGTATCACACCAGCGCCTGTGCTGTCAAAAGATGCCCTTGATTTTCTTGTATTTACCCCTGAGACTGGATGAATTTTAATATTTTTTATCAACGGAACAAAAAAAATGAAAGCACTCACATTCCAATGCAGTTGCAGACTGCATCACGGAATTTTTTTGCATTGACGGAGTATGCGTAACCGTACTTGGGGTGATTTGTGAAGATTAGTTTGGCCAGGGTACCGTAAATCTGTCCTTTGTCCGAGCCTGAGGGACCATCATCAGCAGTAGACATCGCTTTCTTCCCATCAGAGTAGAATAGAATCCTGCAGTCAGCGGGGTGCGTAGTAAGATAAGTAACAAGTAGATCAGTGAGAGCGTGGTCGCTCTGCCACTGAATAGTTAGGCGGGGTGCAGATTGCTCTGGAGGCGCTTTGAGCGATCCTCGAGAGTTTGAAGTTTCATCACCCATCGCCGTCGAGCAGCGCACTAGAGGGTTGGTTTTGAGGCATGCAGAATGACGGACACGTTGACGAGAAGGAGGCATAGTTATTAAAACTCCGCCGAGCGATGCCGGCCTGACTTTCAATCGCTGTGCATCGGCCGAAGTTTTTGAAGCCGTTTAGCCTGCGAGTTGAAAGCGTTTAGCCGGTGTTTAAGCGAAGTTTCAAGAGTTTCAAAAGTTGTTTTGAGTACCACTTATGTAAAAAGAAATGAGGCAGAATATATCCCAAGTCCTGACTCTAAGCCAACCTAACTTCCTAACGAGCTCTAAGCCTCTAACACCCTAACTCTAGCTAGATATGTTTTCAAACCCCGCCTTCGGCGGGTTGAGTCCAAATTCCAGATCAACAAGAGTTAGTCGGGGAATCAAGTTGGACAGTCCGCGACGCTGCCGCAGATCGGACATGTTTCGGAGGTTGCTAGCCGTCAATCTCGCCAGTGACAGCCAGCAATTACGTTATTCTTACCGTCCGGCTCACCACCACTACCAGCGTGTCAACACGTCACCCACGGCACGCCCGTCACTACCATTTGCCTCACCAACACCAACGAGTCAGCGACCAAGTTGCACCCACCCCAGTGACAACATTTCTAGAGCGTGTTAAAACGTCGTGCAGACATGGTCGATAGGAATGCAAACGCCATGCAGATACAAGTATTTTGCAAGCAATTTTCAGGCACTTCTTTCGCACTGACATCTCAATTGCACAACTCCTCCTGCGTTTCGGCAATGCTTTACTGCAACTGCATCTTACTTCGCGCAGTACGCGCAGGGTGCACTCATAAAGCCTTAAATTCACATATACTTCATGTTCGTTGTGCCTCTTGTTCCCTTACCACCATGTCCCGTTACTATCACCATACCTCAGTGACCCTGCGGCGGCGGGCTGCTCAATTCCTTCGAGGTAAGTCTTTGAACTTCTGTCCTTCCTGGTGTAATTTTCATTTGTCAGTATACACGGCTGATACACTCGTGCATTTATGGGGTGCACATGCGTGATTTCGACTACTTTGAACACTAATAATGGATCGCGTCAGTCAAGACAGACTCATGGGCTCTATATTCGAGTAGCATGTCTACTTGGATGCGCTAGTACAAACGAGACGTAAGTCTCTTCTCTCTTTGTATGACGCTGTGCTTATATTTTTGGTAGTTCTACGAGTCGGAGACTCGGAAGCTACAAAATCGATGAGGTTCTGAATTTGTCATGCTTGCAGTACTGTGGCCGGTACTGATTCGAATATTCACTCGGTATCTGATGAACATCTGAGTCTGAAATACGCTTCAGCATGTTGTTGATGGTATGATGTATTGAGCCCACGTGGCGGCAGGCGTATCACTCAACTGCCTTCCCACTATTTTTCAACACACTTTCCTGACATTTGACCGCATTCCCGCTGTTATTCGTGTTGTTTCTACGGATCATGAAATGTGTTGTACCACATAGCTACATGTAACACGCAGTGTACCATTCTTGCACTATAAACCACTCGTAAGAAATGGAGTCCAGTGCGACATCGTGCCGCAAAAGTTCGAACAAGACACGTACAATGGTACACGATACTGCCTATAAGTAGTTGTATCCTAGATTTCGTGTTGACACCATATCGCTTTTGAGCATCCATGTGAGGATGACCTGTGACTGCCTCTAGCTCTTCGTCCAATTAACTTGAGTCGCACCAGCCTCTGGGCCTACCATCACGAAACAAAACAGCGCGGAGGGCCGCAAGACCGGAGTCTATGAGAACAATGGATGCCAGTGAGAACAAAATGATAATAAATTAGTGCCGAGGGTAGGAGGAGGACTTCCTCTAATGCCTCACCAAAAACCAGTAATGAGGTTGCATGCATATATCCAAATCAATATATTCGCGCTCATCAAGCGGCTCATGAGGAGCAGAATGGCGGAGTTCGAGTGTCCTCAACCGTAACTAGCCCCTTATTCCTTATGAACGATATTCAACGACATGTACGCACAATGTACTGTGGTGATCACAGGCGAGCGGGAACGGGGTAAGAGCTGATAAGAGAATGTATTATCTCAGTATCTGTTAGAAACTCGTAGCACAGCTATAGTACCTGAGAAGAGAATGTATTCTACGTCTCGTTAGCGCTTTGTATAATAAGGGAAAATATAAGGGCTTACATCTCAGTATCTGTTAGAAACTGAGATGCTCGAATGCCAGACTCGTAGCTTTATACGTAGTTAGTATGGATACGCTAAATAACGGATGTCATAGAAATAAAGTAGTCCAATAATGACGAGCCTCGGCCGACGTCATTGCGTCACCTCGTCGTACAGCTGCTTGGTTGCGCTCGTTATGTCTCACTCTGACATCGCCAACTTCCTCTTCGGTTCGTCTTCCGTTCCTCCCGATTCGTCAGAGTTCAACATGTACTTCTATGTCGGGCTGAATACACCAATGCATTCATGCAAAAACGTACACAAGTCGAGTAACACGAGTGTCTTGTATCAATGCCAGAGAATTTATGTGGGAGGTTTCTAATGTTACTCAAGAGTCTGGTCGAGGCGGCAGGGAAATTTGTACAGAAGTAAGCGTATTTATTAACTCCGCAACGAACTGCATATCGTGCGATCAACCACTGTACCAATGCGAAAATAGAAACACGACTGACTGTCGCGACATGCTCAGTCTGCCAAGGTCATCGGGAGGGGATTACATGCAGAACTTGCGCTCGTCACGTTAGGAATCCACAGGCTGTTAGTACAAGGCGCAAAGGGTGAGTCATGGGATCAGTGAATGCCGGATGCACTTGTACTCACATCTTTGCAGCATGTTACGGCTACGGGGCCGCGGCAAAGCTCATAATGAGACACGCATTCATTTGCATAGACAGATATAGATGCTGTCAAAGCAGTAACAACAGCGAGGAGGAATGAGAAATGCATGACTTGTGTTAGGTAATTGGGATGCGTCAATGGGGATCTCGATGAAGACGACTTGCTTTTATGTCTTAGAAACAGTCTATTTGCGAAGTACACGGCAGTTCTATCAGAACGGTTGCGCCTGGTGAACTTGAGGGAGAGAGTATAGGCAGAATCACTAAGGGTTGGTGGACAAACAATCCCGTAGAACATGCAAACTTATGGACTCGAACACAACCTTGTAGTAAGTACTTTTATGTCCTAGGAAATAGTTTTTTTGCGAAGTCCTGACTCCTCGGGAGTTCTATCGGAATGGTTGCGCCTAGTGAACTTCAGGGAGAGAATAGGCAGAACCACAGGGTCGGCGGATAAACAATCCAGAACATGTGGACTACAAACGTATGGACTTGAACACAACCTAGTAAGTAGTAATGGAGATTGCCAGTGTATATCCGTTCCAGATGTATTTATTCATGTCCATGAAGCGATTCAGGATCCGGAGCAGAGCAGTATCCGGCACAAGACTAATGGCGAAGTTCGAGTGTCTTCGACATTAGCCCCTTCTTCCTTCTGAACGATCTTCGAGGACATGTACGTACACGTACTTTGATGTCGGGCTGAATACACCGGTATTCATGCAAAAACGTACGCACGTCGTGTCTTTTATCAATACCACAGAATTCATGCGGGAGGTTTTCTAATGTTATTCAAGAGTCTGGTCGGGGTAACAGGGGCATTTGTACAGAAGTAGGCGTATTGATCTCCGCAATGAACTGCATATTGTGTCATCAACAACTGTACCGACGCGAAAGCATAAACACGACTCGCTATCGCGACACGTTTAGATCGAGAGGCTGTTGGTACAAGGCGCAAAGGGTGAGTCATGGGGTTGAACCCCGGATGCAAAGCGAACGACTCATATTTACATCGGCCTTACAAGTGAGACCTTTGCAGCATACCATGCCCCACAGGCGCCTCATCGCCGCGGCAAGCCCCGTTTGTATCTATGTATGACTGCACCAACAGATATAGATGTTGTCAAAGCAGCAACAAGAACGAGGATGAATGAGAAATGCATGGCTTGTGCTAGGTAATACGGGATTCGTCAATGGGGATCTCGAATAATAGCTCTGATAATGGCAGTAGGAAGATGGCTTGCTTGTATGTCCCTAGAATTTTTTTTTGCGAAGTACTCGACAAAACGGTTCTATGGTTGGACCTCAGGGAGAAAGTATAGGCAGAACCACTGTAGGGTCGGCGGATAAACAATCCAGAACATGTGAACTGCAAGCGTGTGAGCTTTATCACAACCCAGTACCTAGTAGAGACGGAGATGCACCTTGTAGGCAACGTCGAGAATACTGTCCCCATGTTAATCGTGGTTGAAGCATTGAATTTTAGTATGCATGTGTGCAGAAGGCAAAGGTAGGATCTGAGATCTAGCGCACGTGTCGGGCAACGTAGGCCCTCCGTGGAACCAGTATTATGGAACCCCATCTACCTCGGACCTACACATAGACGCCAAGAAGCAGAAGACTCGTCCTCTGATGTCATCCGATATACCCTTAAAGTTGGGGAAGAGGGTATCAATATTTGCACGAGACACGACCGTGAGTACTGATGAATCCGGTCGTAGGCAACGAAGGAGAGCAGTACTTACTTGACGGTTGTCTTTATGAAATAAGGTGGTACGCAAGTGGTCTGTCGGACTGTACACCAGGGTTCCGACACACAACTTATTCGTGCATGACTACGACCCTCCACCAAAGGAATCTCAACCGCACAGTGACATAGTCTTATCAATGCGACTCGTCGTACCCTCTCACTGCTTTGTGATGGACTATCATAAGAAGATGAGGGGGAACGGAAAAGGCGGCTGGATGGCGGGCATTAATGACAGAACAGAGCGGATGAGCAAGGGCTATGAACAAAATTAGCCATGAAGTCAGAGAATAACTGAGAGAACAGTAGTGATCGAGCACCTGAAGTCTTTGTGTAAACTTCTGAAAGGTTTGTTGAACATGTAGAGCTGCTACGTAGTGTGTACAGCGCGAACCTCGTGAGAGGTAGAGTCAAAGCAAAGAGTTTGAGTGCACGTTGGATCAACACTGCAAGTCAATTCGAAAAGGCTACGAGAGAATACATGCGGGTCTAAATATAAGTTGTAATCGTTCGCGAGAGGATAAAAGAGAGTGAAAGGTAAAAAGGTGCAATCACTCTAGAACGAGTAGACGTTGCGGAGTCGACTCCCACCAAATTCCCACGGTTCCTTTATTTGAAGTACTTTCACAACTTTTCAGTTGTCTTGGCAATCTCATAACCGTAGCGCCCCGTACGCGTGCGGTGGAAAAGCTCGCTGCCGTGTTCTGTTTATCGCTGTTGAGCAATACATATCACTGGCTTGTTTGATCCCTCTTTTCTATTTATCAAACTTAACCAGAATACATGTGCAGTATATACATTGTTTCCTGACCAACCCTCCTGGGCTGGCTCAGTTCTGAAGATATCATCTCGAAGGCGGCAAGTAAAATCGTGCAATCGATTTCGCAAGGATAGTGCAGAAGCATTGTCTTCATAACTCTCATCAATAGAATGCAAAATTCTGCACATTGCGCCTGCCTTTGTTTGGCTGCTCAAAGTTTCAAGAACGTCAAGCCTAAGTCGTGAGTATCACCGGAGATCCAATTACGTTGAGGGTCACGGATTGACGATACGACCGCTGAGCAACCGAGGTGGCTTATTTCCGGTGCACACTGCCCTGTACACAGAGGAGAGAGAAAAAAGACAGATGAAGTGCTCTGTGTGCCCGTGCATGGTAATTCGTGGCTCGTGCACACCGAAGCCAATACATTGCGTGGTTGAGTGTCCGAGTCAAAGGATCAACTCGTACTTGCACCTCAGAAGGATAGGCCTGTTCAAGCTCGAACAGAGAGCGCCAATTATGACTTCTCCTTACCCGTTGACGAGGAAGATGTTTGAAGAAGCCAACACTGTAAACTGCCTGGAAGAGATAATCAGGATTCGAATCGTTGTTATGTAGAAGTCCCGAAACAACAAAAATCGCTACAGCACGACAACCCTCATTCACGATTGCACAACCACCTATCAAAAAATGATAGATCACTCTGTCGCATGGTCAATAGTTGACTGTCTGGCACCACTGCGTGCGAGTGACAAAGTGTTACTATCTGCACCACATCGCCAGAAAACAATGAAAGCAGGCTATATCCGAACCAGGTAACGCAAACAATGCATTTGACACCTTTGCGTAATAGCTCCGAGAAGTATGAGTGTGCAAGACACTTAAACCATTAACATGATCATTACAGGACCGTTTGGGTGCCAAGGCGCCAAGCGGCAAGCCGTCACCTTGGGGATAAAATAGATAAGCGAACACATATCACTCGAGAAAGGGAAGCAACTCACCCGGTTCAGGCAAACTGCCTTCGTGATGCTAATAGGTCTCGAGAGAAAGAACCCGACATAGCCCGATCCAATTCGCACTGCAGCCACAACGTCCGCACGGACTCCTTCGTCTGCGACAACAACAAACGAAGCATGAACCGTGAACGGTCACGGAGAGATTTTTAGCGGCGGATTGAGCATCAGATTTCCACCTTTTGGGGACAAGTTTCGTCGCATGCGTAGGTTAGTAATCCGCGACATTTCTCCTATCTTGTCATACTGTTCAACGTAATACAGAGCACTTCATACACACATCCAGCCTAGAGCCGCTGAGGCTTATCAGACCCTGCAGATGTCTCACGCGAAGAACACTGTCCTTGACATCCTGGATGGCCCATACAACTTCCAGAACCATGTGAGAACGTCAGCGTTTTCGGTTATGATAGTACATTGCTTACAGGTGTCTTGGACTTATGCTGCGACGAGTTGCATACGGGAAGAACACGTCCACGTCTGCGACTGATCTCGAAGTTATCGAGGATAGTCAACTCAACAGGAGAATTGGTGCAATCCTCCGCCCTGGTGCCTGCCTGGTGGACTCGATCCCTTGGCTCAAATACCTTAGGTATGGCTGGGATTTAAGACGGGGTTTGAGAGAAGCGTGAAAGAGCAAATGGTATGCATTAGGTTGCCAATCTTCATATATAACGTCTCAGTTTTTCCGCATCAGAGCGATGTGGACATCGGCCCTTCGTTCGCGAAATATATGCTAGAAAGTGGTCATCTCTATGATTTGTCAGAGGCTGAGATAGCCTCTCTTGCTAGGGGCTTTAAGAAAGGGGGCAAGCATCCGGGTCAGACGGGCACAATATCAATCATTCTGAAGTGACTCGGACAAATTGGCTCTGGTAGAATTCATGTGGGACATTTTTTAATGTTATTCAAGAGTGTGGTCGAAGTAGCAGGGAAGTTGTACAGAAGTAAGCGTATTGATGAACTCCGCAACGATCTGCATATCGTGCGATCAACAACTGTACTAAGGCGAAAGCAGAAACACGACTCACTGTTGCGACATGCTCAATCTGTCAAGCTTATCGGGAGAGAGTTACTCGCAGGAGTAGTAAACTCCCTGGGCATCCTGACGCTGTTGGTACAAGGCACAAAGGGTGAGTCGTGGGGTTGAATCCCGGATCAAAACGATCGACTCACAGCCGTACAAGTGGTACCTTCGCAGCATTTTTCACCTTCCATCACCTGGGGCCCGCGGCAAGTCTGGCCTCTGTCCATGCATGACGCTGCACTAACAGACATGGATGTTGTCAAAGCAGTAGCAACAGCGAGGAGGAATGAGAAACGCATGACTTGTGCTAGGTAGAGTGAAACGCGTCAAGGGGATCTCGAATAATAGCTCTGATGCTGGCAGTAGGAAGATGGCTTGCTTTTATGTCCTAGAGAATAGTATTTTTGCGAAGTACTCGGCAGTTCTATCAGGATGGTTGCGCCTAGCCGACTTCAGGCAGAGAGTATAGGCAGAATCACTGTAGGGTCGGCGGATAAACAATCCAGAGCATGTGGACTGTAAATATGTGAGCTTTAACACAACCTAGTACCTAGTAAGTAGGGATGGAGATGCACATTGTAGGCAATGTCGAGAATACCGTCCACATGTTAATCGCTGTTGAAGTTGAATGTACATACGTACAGAAGGCAAAGGTAGGATCTGAGACCTGGCGCTTTCGTGGCATATAGTTCTGGCGACGGAGAGGTCACCGGACGTGTCTGGCAACGTAGACCCTCTGTGGAGTCACTATTGAACCCCACCTGCCATGGATCCACACATAGACGTCAAGAAGCGTCCTATGAAATCAAACATCAGTAAAAAACCAAAATCGTGGGAGTTCCAGTGACAGCTATATAGCACTATAAAGGTACAGTAGCGCTATGTAGCTGTCACTAGGGCTATGTAGAGCTACAGGAGGCTCCAGGAGTGACCTGGAGTGATGGTAGCAAATATGTAGCAAATATTTGTTCCTGTAGCATGCAAGAGTGCTGTAGTAAGCTGTAGTTCACCGTGCTACAGGTAGCTACAGGAGCTACCGGCTTTCAAGGTCTTCATACCACTGCATACAGCTTCACCAGCAGTAATCTTCACTAAGACAAACATATAATACATGAAACAATGTAGCAAGCTTTAGAATAACAACATTACTACATAGTAGCTGTTGTGTTGTGAGCAGAGTAATTCAACGAAATTTCTCCCAAGTCCGCGGTAGCTTGTTAAATACTATTATATATGATATATTTTAACAGCCTGATAGCCTAATGGTATGTGCGCCGTTGCATCAATGTTGGGTGAGAAAGTTAATGGTCAGTTCGAGAGTTCGAATCCCCTTGATTAATTAATTATTTTCATGCATATACCTTTTGCAATAGTTGCCTGTAGTAGTACTCCTACGAACTACAGTAGTACCTGGTAGCGCTACATAGTACAACATAGTTGCCTCACTTGCTACATACAGGGCAGGTGGCAACAGAGCTACACGGACTACCCTGACTATATAATACTATGTAGTGAGCCGGCATTTTCCTGATGAAGGATATATCCTTAGAGCTGGGGAGAGGACATCAATATTTTTCCGAACTACGACAGGGAAGACTGATAATCCGGCCGTCAGCAATGGAGAAGAGCAGTACTTACTTAACTGTTGTCATTTATAAATGAGAAGGTACAAAAGACAACCGGGAATCAGCTGAATTCGACATGGCAACGAATGGGTTTCTTCTTCCACCTATCTACCCACTCCCACCTCCAGATCCATTACAGGCACGGATGCACAGATAGCCTGTCTGTCGAGCTGTACGTCAGGGTTCATGTTCCACAATCTATTCGTGCATGGCTATGACCCTCCACCTGAAGGAATCTCAACCGCGCAGTGGCATAGTCTTGATCAATGTGACTCTTCGCATTCCCTCACTGCTTTGTGACGCATCATGGTGAGAAAGGTGAGGGTAAACGAAGGTGGTGGGCAACGACAAAGGCGGCGGGATGGCAGGCATTAAGTAATGTTAATGACAGTAAGACGGCGAGCCGCCCACTCTCGATCTAGTCTCCCTTAGCCAGACCAGTAGAAGGAAGACAGTCGTTCTTAATTATGAGTTGCCATAGGCTATGTGGTCGGACCACAGGCTTATCTGCGATGAAAACCGTGTACATGCTTTATGTCATAGTGGGTTCTGTATGTCGAGTAACTTGCCAAGTACGCACCAATTTAGAACGAGGTATTCGGCAGAGTATGTGGAATGAAATGTATGTCTTTGCCCTCACGTCATGTCATCGTAGCACGATCTTCAATAGTAGTAGTTCGATTAGTAGGAGTTCAATAGCTGCTTCACGATATTCGGCAGGGAAGGGTGTCCTGGGATACAGTACCATGGTGTTGCATGAATCGACCCATAAAATATTTGTGGTATGCAATAGAATGCATCAGTAAATTCACATATTTCTTGAACTTCCTTTTTGGTAACTTGCCTGCTGGTTAACTTCCAAAAAAGGAGCAGACAAGTCACTCACAAGAACTGGTGACACCAACTTGCCACAAGCAATTATAAGTCGAAAAAGCAGATGCCTCGACTTGACCTTTTCCACCCTTATTTTGGCCTTTTTTCAATGACTTTGCCTTTGCAAGTAGTGCAAGTACTAGCAAATAGCAGCAAGTGATAACACTTATTTCATTTATTTTCTACATGTTTCTGACTTAATCACACTTTTTGAGGGAAAAATGACTGCAAAACATGATTGTATTTCAAGTGACAAGTAGATTAAGTATGGAAAAAAGACATTAAAAAGGAATTTCAGACGCAATAGTAGCAGCAGCCAATTTTCAATGAAGTGAAGAGTAGTAGCAGTCTACTTGAAGACACAAGTTCAGTGAGATGCATGTGGGCAACAAGAAAGACAGTACTGACTAGTAGTACTAGAAGATGAGTGTGTGCTCATCCTCAGAGTTTTCATCTAGAGCAGAGGGCGCACCATGCCTCTTAAGGGCAATCTCCTTTGCCTGTTCCTCTTGGAGGTGGTTGATAGACATCATGTTTTTTTTTTTAATCCAATTTCTGTCTATCTGGGGTGTAGTACCCTATGTAAGACATTACTAACTAGGGGAAAAGGGGGACACCTGTGTCCCCCACCGTGTCTCCAACTTCGCAAATGCCCTGGTGGAGGGGTGACCTCCACCAGTCCGCCATTCCTGCTGGCCGTTTTAGATGCACAAGACTTCCAATCTGTGGGACCATTACTGTGCATTTCGTGTTGTGAAGGTCCCTGGTGTGTGTTGGGGATGATACAAGTACTCGAGTCGCCGTGTGACTGTGTACAATGGGAATAATGGAGTGTGGTGCTGAAAAAGAATAGGAGGGGTGTTTTGTGAGCATGTATAAATAGACTGAGTGGGTGAGTGGGCGTCGCGAAAAAATCCCTTCTACAACCTCTAAGTCATTCTGAACTACCATCTGAACCTCTACTTGGGTCCTGCTTCCCTTCATTGACGAGCATGATAACAGGGGGTGGTGGCCTGTGCCTTTGGTCGACTGGATCAACTCTACATGGAATCCGGCTGTACATGTACTATTCATCATTTATCATTACAAGAGTGAGGGGGGACATCACCGAATGTAGCTCGTAGCCGGCCCGTGCTGTTCACAAAACAGATGAGTGGAGTGATTGCTTTGGGATTTGAGAGTAGATAGGGGATCGAGGAGGCATGGCGGCCAAGAGTCGTTGTGAGAATGTGTCGGGCTCAAACATAGTGCGGGCAAGAGAGCAGGTAGTGAAGCACGTTTTCCTCTGTTCCTTCGCAGTGTGGACAGTCGGGTGTGAGGCTCTTCCTGATGTGATACAGGTGCTGATTGAGCGAGATGTGTCTGGTGCGGAACCATAAGAGCATGCTGATATGACGTTTGGGGAGCGGTTGGGCTAAGGAAATGAATGCGCCCTTGAGTACATTAGGGTCTATATTGATGGTGCGTTCATAACGTGGGGACTTTTGCCAAAATCTCGTCCAGCATTCTGACGATTCCTTTTTCTGCTTTTGTTTCAGCGCGGACATGCTGCAGGGAAGGACACCTTTGCGGAGGTATGGGGGAAGGTGGTGTCTAGGGCTGGATTCATCTCTGGTTGATGCTGCTCTCTTAGCCTCCTTGTCCGCCTTTTCATTACCCTGAACTCCATCGTGCCCTGATATCCATCGAACTATGACCTTAAATCTGCAGTCGTGACTGGATTTCTTCACATTTGTTATTAGGCTGCAGAAATGATCTATCAGATAGTGACCCGGTTTTGTAGAGAATACATCACTGGATTTGATTGTAGCCTGGTTATCCACAAATATTGATACTGGGTACTTGACGTCCACTTCTTAAGGTAGCTGTGCCGCTAACGTAAGACCAACAGCTTCAGCTTCGTATACTGTGTGTTTGTCAGCCTTCCCTAGGTGGTATCTCAAGGTCTTCGGCTGGGGATGTCCGTTTCTATAGAGCACTGTGGCCTCCCCAATGTTGTCATTAATTCTGGAACCATCACAATAGATCTTGATCTCGTCGTGGTCCTGAACAGCTTGCTCTCATGAAGTGGCAATGGCGGTTCAATATGGGATTGATGAGCTGGGTGCGTGTCTACTATGCGTGATAGTCTCTATTGAGTTGATGTTGAGCTCGGTGGCGTGGTATAGGTGATGGAGCGAAGATCAATGATGTTTGATGAAACATTTGGCTGCCCTGCATACTGGTCCGTGTAGGGGATGAGATGGGGGATGTGCGACCAAGCGAATGGCAGCCTGGTAGCAGAGGTTCTGTGCGTAGTGTTCTAGGGGGAGTAGTTTCACATGAGCCTCCAGCATATTGGTGGCCATGGTACGCATGGCTCCTGTAATGCTTAGGGCTGCTATGCGCTGAACTCTATGCAGGCGGGTGACCACACCAATTGATCCACATTGAGGTTTATCTTGAGTTCCGACAAACAGAGGGCGAAACCACAAATCCATGGCATAAGGCATTTTCAGGAGAGCTACGGCTAAATACAGTTGATGCATGAGTGAGAGTGGTACCCCAGTCGAGGTAGACGAAAGGTGGTGCAGCTGAAAGACATAGGCAGTTCCTTTCATGATCGCATACGTGATGTGCTCTTGCCACTGGAGCACCTGGTCTAGTATGACCCCCAGGAATCTGTGAGTGGTGGTGGGAGTGATCGTGGTGCTGTGAGTCACAAGAGGAGGGCGTTCTTTGGCAGCGTTCATGGAGAAGTCTACTAATGCGAATTTGGAGGTCTCAAACTTCGAGTTATGGTCCCTAGCCCATTCATATCCTCCTCCCAGCCTTTCCAACATGCATTTAAGGATGGCATGTGTTTCCCGAAATGATGACCCTATTGCAATGAATGCCATGTCATCGACGAAGGCCAGTGTCCGTTCTTCCTTGCTGTGGCCCACTGCAATGTCTACCAGGTCAGAGTCATAAATGATATAGAGGATCATGGACAACGGGTCCCCTTGCCCGATACCGTTCTGTATTGGCATCCATTCTGAGAGGTGGCCGTCAAATTTGAGCTGAGTGCATCTTCCTATCAATAAACGCTCAGTGAAACCTACTAAAGACTCGGGTAGATGCCGTGATCTCATGTTGTGCAAAGCTGGTCAGTTACTGCGTTCGGGAAGGCACCCTTGATGTCTAAAAACAGAGCTGAGACTACTTTCCCTTGTTGCCACGCATCCTTGATAGTCACTTTGAGTAGATGTAGCAAGTCAGTCGTAGACCTTCCGGGGTGGCCTCCGAAATGAGTGCTGGGGAGCAGGTTATGGTGTTCTAACAGGAAGGTCATTTGATCAGTGACCACCGCCGTTAAGAGCTTGCATGTCGTGTTTAGGAGGGCGATGGGGCGGTATGCCTTGGTGACAGTATAGTCAGGCTTGCCAGGTTTCCATAAAACAACTGTTGTAAAGTCGCGCCACGGAGGATAGTAGGTCTTGAGTGTGAAGGTGGCCCTGAAGAGATGGAGTAGAAAGGGGTTGAGTAAGGCAGCACTATGAATGAAAACGATGTTACAAATCCCATCTGGGCCGGGTGCCTTATAGGGGCTTAGTTTTGCAATGCTTCTGGATAACTGGGGCTCGGTGATGGGAGAGGGTGAAGGGACCGGGTCTGGATATATTGCGTCATGCGGAACAGAAGAAGTAGCTGGAGGTGGTGGGAAGAAAGCCTGCGCCAGTGCTGCACTTTTTTCTTCATTGGTATCAGCTGTAGTGTTGTCCGGGCAGTCAGCAGTGTAGGGATCCTCAAGAGGCCTCCATCGCCCGCCACTGCTGTGAGGTACTTGTTGGCCATCCAGATTTTGTTGCCTTCGATCTCTTTGAGCCAGTTGATCCAGTGTTCTTTCTTGACTTGCTTGATGGTTTCTGAGTATTGGTTCCTCTTGACGCACTGTTCCTTGTGGCTAGGATGGTCAGCATCAAATCTTGACTTGTAGGATAGGTGACTTAGTTTCAGTGACTTCCCAACATAAGATGGTCAGGTCGTTGGTCCACCAACGCTTGGAATGGGGGTTTGGCTTCGATTTTGGGACATGTCGTGCTATGGTATTCTGGATTGAGGTCAGTGAGAGCGTGGGCTGCCCTTTGGAATTCTTTGTCGGTAACGAGCGGTTGAGCCGGGGGTAGTTTGTCCAATTTGGTGGCCAGGTGTTCGTTGAACTTGTCCCAGTCCGTCTCCCGGAAGTTGTGCTTTTCTTCAATAGTGGCACAAGGGATTTCTAGATCTAGGACACTAAGTATGGGAACATGGTCAGTGGTGGGACTGCGCAGAGCCGGATTGGTGTAACAACTGATGAAAGAATTGCTGGTATGATTGGTACAGAATACATTATCAGGGCGTGTCCAGTTCTTCGAGCTCGTTGATTGCAGAGTGGGGAGTCCTTTTGGTAAGGCCATTACCATACTGTAGTCTGCTAGTAGGTCTAGAAGTGGTTGGGCTGCATCAAGGTAGCGATTAGTGAAGAGCTGCATGTTGCGGTCCTCATCCCAGAGGGGGTAGTGTCTATTAAAGTCACCCAGCCAAATCATATGATCATTGGCTGATGGACGCAGGTTTACTATTTCATGTTCTAGGAATGCGGCTAGGGCATCTTGAGTTGAAGTTAATAGGTAGTCATTATAGATGTTAAATAGAGTGCAATGCCCGAAGGGACCTCTGAATTGGATCACCACGATGTCTGGACAGGGGAATGCGATTTGTTGCCAGGAGTTGGTGTTGAAGGATTTGGAGATTAGGGTGATGGTGTGTGAGGTGAGGTTGGGTGCAGAGAATCGCATCGTGGGGTATACAGCATGGAAGTATGGGGATGAGACGGTGTTCTTCAGCAAATTAATATGGGGCTCTCAGTAAAGCTACTATGTCCCAATCACAGGCTATTGGGCTATTAATGAGGGAGTGCTGCACTGTAAGTGAGGTGTTGAGGTTTTGTTGCCATACACGTATTCAAGTCGGTGTATTATTCTGGTGTTCAGACATTAGAGGGAGGGGGGACCAGGGGGATGCTGCGAGTGAAGGAGTAGGGGTCGAAGGTGGCGGGGCATTTATGGATGCTTGGGGTTCTGCATTGGGGTCCCAAGTGCTGGCGGTGGTGCAATGGGGATTGAGTTTGAGTCTGTCAAAGTAGGTGCTTCGGAATCCTCGGTGACCAGGACGGAATGGTGCTCCCCGAGCATGATATCCTCCTATTGGGTGCCAAGGTTCAAACGGGATGTTCGTCTGGTGGAGGTTGGGACGGGGGTAGTCCATTGGTGGTGGTGGTGCTGGCTTGCGATAAGGGGCTGGTTGTGGGGGGAGCATTACCTGGGTCCATGAGTCGTCAGTGGGGAAGAATGGCATCAGAGTTTTCAGGGTGCTTAGAGTCTATGCCCACGCATTTAGATTCAAATTCGGGGCATTTCCTGTCCCAACTGGCATGCTCTTGAGAGTCACAGCTTACACAGTAGAAGGTGCGATATGCATTGCAGTCATTTGTGTGGTGACTTTTCCCGCATGTGCCACAGACGTTGTGTGGGGCTTGGCAGTCTCGTGCGATATGTCCCCAAAGTTGGCAGTGTATGCATTGTACTGGCTCCCGTTTGTCTTTTGAGGATGCAACTTCTCTTGACCAATGTAGATGCCGTCCCAGAGAGTGTTGTTGGCTGAGTGGGGGTCCGCAAAGTGGAAAATCACATGTGTGACTCATTGCTGTGGCGATCTGCGGAGTTGAGGCTTGATCCAGTTAGCCGATTCAATAGTGCCTGTGGTCATACTATTCTCTTCCTCAACCATACATAACCAAGCTGAGTCTTTGACGCTAGAAGTGATAGGTAAGAATGGGACAATAATAGAGAAATGCCTCCCTTTGATGGTGGCAGGTATTCCGAGAGCAGAGGTTACCTTGAGTCAGTTTTCTGGTACTCTAATCCATGTAGCGGCTTCTGTGGAGGTAAGTTCCACTATTAGACCTCCATTGCAAAGGTGTGTGATTGCCTTGATTTGAATAATTGGCATGTCGTCCAATTCAGTTGCTGTGAATGCTAGTTTCATTCTGGTCGCTATGTCTACTGAAGTTATGTCAGGCACGAATAGGGCTTGGCCCAGAGCTGGGTCGAATAGAATTTGCTGGTCTCTTGTGGACACACGAATAAGTGCTGCCGAGATTGGGGCCAGGGTCTGTGCGCTTTGTTGGGTGACCGCGCTGTATGACTTCGAAGTTGCCGGTTGAACTGCACTGGGGGGAGGGGTTAGTGAATCTATAGCATTTTTAACATCGGTGATACTGCTTAATACGGCATCAGCTGCAAGCTCAGCACATGTGGCAGCTGCAGATGCAGATGAGTTGTCTTCCTTCGAATTTTCTTCTATGACTGCCTTAAATTTCGCAATTGCATCAACATTTGATTTGAGTGTCTCTGAGGCTGTTAAGATATTCACGACTTGGGGTGAGATAGCTGCTATGACATGGGATGATAGCGTGTTCGAGAGGTCTGCCACTAGTTGGGCTGAGAGGGAGGTCGAGAGGGAGTCCATTAATTGCTGGACAGACAGTGCCTCTTCTGGTCTGGTTTTGATGCTGTCTTCCAATATCAGAGCTACTGCCCTAAGTCCTTCTATGGCGGTGCGGGGGATACCTGTGTATTGGGTGATATGGAGGATTGTGAGTACTAAGCTTTCATTTGACATAGGTTCGCTTGATTGGCGGAATGGGGACTTCTCTAGAAAAGCGATGCTGCTTTCTTTATCTCTGACTTCGTAGTCCTGTTACAATATTTCGTCTTTTGGCAGCATCAGAGAGACTGTGTTATGGTGGGACATTCTAATTTTGTTGGTTGGAGTAGGGGCCTGAGCGTTTGATGCACTGGTTCCCGTATGTGTTGGACACGTCTTCAGCAGAGGCTAGAGTCATTGGAGTCGACAGTAGGGGCTGTTGGGACTTGTCCGGAGGGTTTTTTGTAAGGTTACAAGGGGCCTGAAAGGTGTCAGTGACGCCTGGTGTGCTGATGGGTGCAGTACTGGATTCCAAAGTTTCTGGGTCCTAGTCGGGGTGCCACTTGGTAACAGACCAAGGAGCGATTGGACATCATGTAGCACCTGGTCATGACACTGAAGTTGGTGTCTGAAAAGGCCTTTTGAGAGCTGCTGATCTTGCCTGAGGAATTGCTATGAGAGTGAGGGATCTTGACAGCCTTGCCTTTGCTGTTCACCTTGGAAAGACTGAGAGCACCTTTCACATGCGTTAATGTGCGATGGCTGACAATAGCACCCCAAGTGGCACATGTGGCACATGTGTTGGACAAGAACCTGAATGATAAGCTCAGATTGAAATGGTTTCTTGAATTCCCCATCCTCTGTGATGTTCCCATGCAGGAACACTAGCTTGATGAGTAAGCTCTTTGCAAATTCTTTGCAATCTGCGTCGGTCTTGACATCATCTTGTAATGACAGGAAGTTCATGAATACTGTGACAGCCAGTGGAGCCAATGCCATTGTGCCACTCTGATAACCATTGGAGAGCCTAAGAAAAAGAATTGTCAGATATGAATAGTGTCAAAAATTAGCCATAACAGGTCCATCATTCGTGACGGTATGAGGGATATCTTCATAGGCCACATCCCAGGTGTCCTGTATAGTAATGTGGAACATTGCTTCCGACTCAATACGACCCCAGACTTCATCCTGATATTCAATAGTGGAAATGAGAGTAGGGATGAAAATGGAACTCCACCTAGCCACTGCCCGAGGTCCTCCAGGAAGGTGCTTGATCCTATACAAAGAATGGGGGAGGATCTCCACAGTCACCTCTAAGGGATTCGTGGGACCAGCCTGAGGTGTCACAGAGCCCTGCCACCATTGCCTATGGTGCCAACAGCCTTATTGGCAGCCATAGTCAAGTCGGTGGTCTCTAGGGCTTTTGCAGCCTTTTTCACAGGATGAGGACGAGGACAGCTAGGCTTAGGTGCATCAGCACACACAGCAGCTTGGTCTGTCTGCATCTGTTTTTGAAATGCTGCAATGCGCTTATGGACTTCCTGTATAGTTGCTTTACTTGCCTCCTTCTCCTCTTCTTCATGTTGGTTGTCAGTGGCCTTTTGAGCTTTGGTACATGTCATATACCTGATCTGACCACTCTGTCAGTATTAATATCTGCTCTGCCCAATTCTGCATCACCCCCATTATCCTACCATCTCCGCTCCATCCGCCCTCTGCATGACCCAGCCAGCTTCTGCATCTGCTCCTATGGCTCTGCTCGACCGCCTCGTCGGTTGCCTTCTGCACTATCCATTCTACTGTAAATCCCCTTGCCCCATTTAGGTATATACTTTCCCCATTTGCACATAGTACTTACTTCCTGGATCACCGGTAACTCCTCTTACCGCTCAATCACTGATCCGACACATTGTGGGTGAGGAAAATAGACTCTGGGGTGATTCAGATGTCTAACAAGGGTGCGAGACTTATACTCATCCCGAGGGGATTGCTACTGGGTAGCAGGTCCTCAAGTAAGTGTGAGGAAAGCAAAGACTAGACTCTGTCTAGCGACCTGAAGGGTTCTGGTCCTTACTAGGACTGGGAATGCAAAGATGCAGAAGGTACACAATGAGCGGAACACAGCACGCAATGAGCAGAACTAACACGCAACGAGCGGAACTACGCAGAACTACGCAGAACTAACAGAACTAACAGAACAAATGGGGAACAAACAGAACAAACAGGGAACAAACAGAACAAACGGGGAACAAACAGAACTAATAGAGGAAAAGGAAACTACGAGCCTGCAGGAGAATGATTGGGCAAAGTCGGACCAGGCTTGTGTCTGGTACTTGCTCCAAGTCGTCGGATCCAATGTCAGGCATTTCAAGCAGAACTCACGGAGGCGGGAACATTGTGATGAGATCAGGAATAGATTCAGGAAGATATTTTAAACAGTGAGTGGAGTACTGGGAAGTACTCTGTAAGTGGAAGTGGAGTCGAGTCTATCAGAAGGTAAAAAACTAAGATCCCATCTATTGCTATCTATATAGGAAGAGGTTCCTGGAAAGTGCTATGCTACAACCGGGGAGGCTGTGAGATAAGGAACCGGTTCCGAGTAGCAGAAGGATCTGCATAAGTATCGTAACACTTATGAAATGAGATAGGAACATGTTAGTAACACAGGGAATGTAGCTAGTACTCACCAGTGAGGATGGAAGGACAGGGACAGGATGGAGGACGTTCCAAAGGCTAAAAGGATATGATGCAGTGTGGTACACGATTGTTCCGCTGGGTTCCGCTTGGTTCCATGTAGTGGATGGCTTGGGGAAGATGCTGGATGGGTAGCAGAATGGTAGCGGAATGCATGGGAAAATGGTGGGAAGGCATGGGAATTATACAGGATACGGGCCTACAGTGGGGACGTTCCCCACACTGGTCACAATATGTCCTGGATGATGAGTTGCATTCTTAGCTTGAGTTGTCATGCATTTTTGAACTGCGCTGGCAGGCATGGTATCAATGGAGGATTTGGGAGGCTAAAAAATTTGAGGGCAATGGTAGTTCACAACAAGGTATGTTTCATCACCATCCTTCAAAAATTGTAGTCTAAGCTGACTCTGAATAAATATCTACATTGACCCTTACCAAGCTGACATACCTACTAGTTTACCATGATCCTTTCGCACCTGCTGCTCCCAAATATTGGTCTACCAGTACTTTTTCGCTGGCCCCAGTAGCCTGAATATCAATTTTGACCAATAGTTTTGCTGCAAGGCATCAATATTCACCAAGCCCTTCTCGGCAAGCAGTTTGAACATCAATGTTTACCAAAACCTTTCTAGCAAGCAGGCAAGGAGGCAACACTTTCCGCATTCTTTGGGTGCTGTGAACCTAGAGTTCACTGTATTGGACACCTTTCCAGTGTGGCTCAAACATCAATGAGCCTATGTGATTTGGGCATTTCTTAAAGAACCTCCAAATCTAGCCTTCATTTGTGCATTAAGCCTGGTTTGTTGCTCCCACGCGCAATGCACCTCCAAGCCCATTGATCTTGGTTTCAAGTTGGAGGCCGCCATGTATTGTATGATCGTCTGTCAAGGTTCCAGCGTCAATCAATGAACAACCAATGAGCCAAAGAATGTACCAGATTGCATTCAAGATGTTAGTGTAGATGCATTTAGAGTTTTAGCAGTTAGTAGATCAGTAACAATATGTTGCTTGCTGTGCTTGTTTGGGCTTTGAGTATCTGATCTTACTTGTGCTGCTTTTTGCCACTTGCATACCACATGCCTCCTTATTCGATTTATCAAAGTAAAAGCCAAGTGAATAAATATAGATAAGTCAAAAAATAAGTTTTAATTTTCCAAAAAAGTCATGCTAAGGAATGTGTGAATTTACTGATGATACATGCAAGGTGTGGTTGAGATGAGGGATCACAGAAAGAAAGGGCAAGCATCCGGTGTGGCAGGGAGATCTAGAATGGGTGTCAGAGGTCCTGGCACAGTGGCTGGAGTCCTGGCTTGTAGTAGTGGTGGTGGGCAATGCCCGCCAGCAAAGCGTGACACTTAAAAACCCCTAAATGGTCCATTTTCTTGAAACTGAGTGCGATACTCAATGGCAAAGCAGTTATTGTACATTGTATTGTGGTAAAAACTAGTGTAGATTACACTAAAGTATCCTATGTGCAGTACTGAATTATGTGATCAAGTAAATATAGGTTATGTGCAATATTTGCAAGGGAGCATATTAATATTACACCTAAGTGTCATCATTTGTGTTGTCAAGATCATTGTCATGAGTCACCAATTCACCTCATAAATGTGCTGAGTGACGAGCCAAAAGCTTCCTGAGCAGCTCAAGGTGCTGTGACTTGCTCTTGAGGTGTGATTTGAGTGGAATATGCTTCTCTGCTCTGTCATATCCCATACCTCTGGACCTGGAATTCCGGATGCTCCCCTATGAAAGTCCTGGGTCTCCATCCTATTCTCCATCCGGCGCTCTGCTTTCATCTCCGGACTCACTCCTATCTCCTTTTAGAATAACTGTTCTCCAGCTACCGGTTGTATACCTTTCTGCTTTGCTTACTGATCCATCTGTCTGTACTTCATTTCCAACTTCATTTCTTTGATCTGTTATACTCTTACTGATAGACTTTCCATATGCTTTGGGCATAGCTTTTACTTTGCTGACTGATTACTTACATGATACCTACAGTATATAAACTCCTGTAAAACTCTGGTACCTCCTCAGTTCAAATATCATCTTAGTTCCTGCTCATTCCTGCTCCTCTGGACTTGAGTCTGATCTCTTGTCAATCTCCGAGTCTTAGGGTTATTCCTTAAGACTACATCTCCAGCTCTACCTTAGGGTAGTCTATCTCTGTTTCATTTCTACTCCGGACTTGTCCAAAGTAGCCTTGCTCTAATCACTCCTAGCCTTCCGGAGTTCTGCCAAACTCCCCCTACATCTGACCTCCGGACTTACCTGGACTTCTGTTGGACTTCCCCTCTGCCTCTCAGAAATTAAGGGCACGTACTCAGGTAAGGGGTGCAGCGCACGAGCTGAAGCCAAGCCCTTTGAGTTACCTTTCCCTTGAGCATGACCTTAACATGCTCCTAGACAGCAATAAACCTCAATCTGATCCTTGAGAGCTGGATCAAGCAAGCATGTGAGTTGATTTTGATTGGGCACCAGTGCAACACCTGAGAAATAGGCTTCCTTGGCAGAATTACATGCCTGCTTCTCTGTAGCCTTCTTCTTGGCAGCAGCAGCAGAGTCAAGCTTATGCTAAATCAATGCCTCCTGCATCAGCAAACCACCAAATGTTGCACAGAGTTGCTAGGATCCCAGAGCCACAGAGCCACAATTCCCACAGTGTGTTACAGACTCACAAAGCTCACAGAATTGAGAACAAAAATTTCACTAAGTCTTTTCTATTAACTTAACATTGATCCTAAATGTTAGTATTGATAAGGAGTGACTATGGTAGACCGTGGGAACTTTTTCGAAGAAAATAAAAGTTGTAGCCCTTATCAAGGGTAATCTATCCATAGTCTCACAACATTTTTTGGTTAAGATCCTAATGAGTTGTAAGCAAAATACTAGAAAGCTTTGGTGTGGTCAAGAAAGTTCAGGCACACAAGTAATGTGACTGATGTTTGCTTATTAGGACTAGGAATACCAATAGGAATAGCATAGTAAAGAAAGACTTGATGAAATTTCGAGTTTTTGGTCATTAGAGACTAGGTAATGTGACTTGAGAAATGGTATATATATCATTTTTAGTGAGGTATAATAAAGCTACTATGGTGTAATGGTAAGTATATTGTTGATAAATAATCCTGAGACAATGAGCCCTGAGGTCTCCAGTTCAACTCCTGACATTGACAATTCAGAGTGTCAAAAATGCGAATTTGTTTTTGTTTATTTACTACCTGAAGCTGTGGCACTGGGAGGTTCTGTACAGAGCTGTACAGTGGGGACCTGTCATATCCCGTACCTCCAGATCTGGAATTCCGGAACCCCACCACTAAAGTCCAGTCCTCCATCCTGTTATTTCGCCTGGCGCTCCACCTTCATCTCCATACTCACCCCTATCTCCTTTTAGAATAGTTATTGCTCCGGCTGCCAGTTATGTCCTTTCTGCTATGCTTACTGATCCATCCGTTCTTGTTTCATTTCCGACCTCACTGCTTTGATCCGTGTACACTTACTAATAGACTTTCCACATGCTTCGTACATAGCTCTTACTTTGCTGACTGAGTTACCTACATGATACCTACAGTATATAAGCTCCTGTAATACTCTGGAACTCCTCAGTTCGAATATCATCTTAGTTCTGCTCATTCCTGCTTCTCCGGACTTGAGTCTCAGCTCTTGTCCATCTCTGAGTCTTAGGGGTTAAACCTTAGGACTAAATCTCCGGCTCTACCTTAGGGTAGTCTAACCTCTGTTCTGTTTCTACTCTGGACTTGTCCGCAGTAGCCTTACTCCGTTTCCCTCATAGTCTTCTGGAGTTCCGCCAAACTCCCCCAACGTCTGACCTCCAGACTTCCCTTCTGCCTCCGGAAATTAAGGGCACGTACTCGGGTAAGGGGCACAGCGCATGAGCTGAAGCCAAAGCCCTTTGAGTAACCTCCCCTTTGAGCACGACCTTAACAGTATATTCGAAACTCACACCTTACTGAGTATACTAATGTCCGAGAATCACTTCTCTGCCAGGTTTAAACTCCTGTCCCTCATAAACCATGACTTTTCCTCTGACCCTTCTATTACCATTTAGAACTCCTCATCCTTACCTCACAAAATTTCTGTTCTGATAAAACTCTGTATTCCTTTGTCCAATCCTTCTGGCCTGATTTCCTGATCATAGCTATCCTACTCCAGAATGCTACATAATTATCTCCAATTTCCACTATATCCGATTTTTCCGCCACTCTGGACTGGCAAGTCACCTCCGGAATGTTTCAACATTCAACTCCCTTGGATTCTCCTAGTACCACTCAGGAATACCTGCTTGCTCTCCTACCACGATCCGTTGATTGATAGGGTATAGAGCAGACACCTTTTCCGGGTTTTACCACTGGAAATGCCATTGACCTCCAACGTCCAACAAAGTCCGCTTCGCTGCAGTACCCCTAACTCCAGACTAGCCATGTTCTCCTCCGCCGGTTTATGTTCGGTCAATTCTAATTAGCACTAACCGATATACACAGACTAGCCTCTTGTATATGCGCACAGTTTATCACCCATCCTCTTCCAACTCCCAAGTCAAGTTACCCCACTTCATCTATGTACCTATACCCCTCCGCTCTGATTACTCCTCCTCCGATTTCTGCCCTGCTTCTCCACCGCCGCTCCTATTCCTCCGCTCTGCCACCTCCTGGAAAATCTTCCATCAGGAGGGAACTCCATCTTGCTCCTCCATTTACTCCAGATCATCCTCTGTTACTATGGACAGATTCTGAGATGTCTCCTATGGACAAAGATTTACAAAATATCCATATCCTTCATAACGAATTCATTAGAAGGGACTTCATGTAATATCTGGAAGAACATCCCAGGAAAATCAATAATGATGTATCATGTCCTGAAACACCCAGAACATACCAAAGTTGTCCGAAGAGGCCCTCCTCCCCATGTCCAACATCTCAACTTTGTTCCCATCGTTACTGGGAAGGAAGTACCAAGACAAAACTTTCATTAGGAGGTATTCATATGGTGTCCTCACAAACAGATATGTGGCAACAGCCAAAGAAGAAGCCAGGCCATGCAGAAGCAAGGGCGTCTAAGAAATCCATCAGAAGTAATGGAAAAATCATGAAGTTTTGCTGAACAAGTTCATGATTTTCGGCTACTCCCACTCCAACTATCCCATCACGTGATCGAAAAATCTGCACTCTGATACCCAAATAATCAGTTTACTCTGTCTTGCTGGGGACTCCAGAACAGAGTTCCGAACCTTGCATCCACTGGCAGAGCCGGACTTCTGTTCATTTCTCTGCTGGTACCTCCGAAGACTCAATTCCAAAGCAAGCAAGCAGCCTATTTCAATGTATACAAGTATGTACATCAAGTCCAGATAGGAGAACTGTCATATACCTGATCCGACCGCTCCAATATTAATATCCGCTCCACTTTCCGACCACCTCTGCTCCATCCATCCTCTGCTCCGTCCAATCATCATCCACATCCACCCCTACACTTCTGCTCAATCACCCAACTGGTCCCCTTCCATAAAAATCTCCATTCAACTGGAACCCCTTTCCCCTTTTAGATATATACTTTCCCCTTCGGTACATAGACCCTTACTTCTGGATCACCAGTAATTCCTCTTACAGCTCGAATCACTGATCCGACTGCGTACATACTGATATCTGCTCTGACTTATGCCTTCACCTGTGTAAGTACTTACAAATTATATCCTTGGTACATAGCTTTACAACATAGTTATCCTGATCACTGCCTCATACCTAGAAGTATATAACATATCCTGTACTTAGATATTTTCCCCAGTCTTAATATTACTTGTCTTCTTGCAGTTTCTACTTGTGAGAATTCTCAGTAGGACCTTGCCTCCTCTGGACACAAGTTTCACCTTGTTGTCACCTCCAACCCTCCGCTCCAACTTAGAGCCGTGCTCTGAGTCTTCTCCTTACTTCTCCGCCCCTATCAAGTATTCCCCCTGCTCCTTTCCCCCTTCCGCATTATCCTCTGCCTTCTCTGCTCTGCTCCTAGTTGGCCTGCCACTAGTAGCACTTACCTCCCAACCCTCAAAGCTGGACCTAAGCGGACCACTCGTCCTATTGTCGGACAACAGTTGCACCCGCTCTAAATTTGGGGCATGTACTCAGCTAAGGGCACAGCACAAGAGCTGAAGCCAAGCCCCGACCCCTCCGCTTCCTGAGTCGGCACGGTACCTAATGAGAACAGGAACTGGCTACACTCAGGCTTCCATCTCCATCTCTTCCTCCGGCTCCGGCTGAGACCCTGACTCTTCCCCATCCGGCCCCTTCTCTGCCTCACTCTTCGTTTCTTTGTCTGGCTTCTCTGTGTCGCTGCCGGAGGAGCTGGTAGTGAGCTCTATCACCTCCGCCACCTGTCGTGCTTCTTCCGCTACCCTAGCCCTCTCCGCTGCCGCAGCAACTCATGCCTCCTCTACCCTCTTGGCCTGCTCTGCTGCCTCAGTGACCTTTTTCTCCTCCGCTATCCTTGCTGCGGCCATCAACTCCTGCAATTCCGTGGTGGTCATACCGGCAAAGTCAAAGTTTCGAGGGGAAGACATTGTAAAAGTGTTAGAAGAATTTGGAAAGAAGTTTCTGTAGAAAAAACCCTGCCTTCCCCGCACTCTTATAGTAGCAACCCATCACTATGGAAACTCCGCTCCGTACCCTGCAATCCACTCCGGTCCGAACTTCATTGTCTCCATCTGCCTCACAGCACAACTTCTCTGCCTTCGCACTGTGGACTTTGTTCCACATGCCTTGGTTCCACCAGCAACATCCGTCTCCCATTTTTCCCGAAATCCGAGAATTTGTCTAGGACCTCAGGGGTTTGGTCCTAATGGGGGGATATCATCACACCGTGCACAACCAATCAACCTCAAAACCCCGACCTCTGGACCTCCATATCTCCGAACACCTCTGACTACCGAACAAAATCAAAAACAAGTTACATTGTACAAAGATGAGCATATATGTACAACTGGACACGAAGGATTACAGGACTATCTAGAGGTCATCAGTCTCCATATCTCCGCCGGAGACCCTAGCCCCACTCCCACCCTCCGCCTCCTCCTCCATTTCCTCCATTTCCTCTGCCACCTCTGCGCGAAAGCCGTTCCTCATCCCTTCCAGGAATAAGGCTTGGAAAGCCCTCTGCTCCTCCACAAACCTATCCATGGCTGCTTGGCTCCCCTCTGCTGCCGCAATACCCTGCTTCAGTAGTCTGTTGGTCTGTGCCAACGCTGCCACTATGTCATTGGCAGCAGCCACTCAGGCCTGGTCATTGTACTCCATCCATCCGCCCTCCTCCACGATCATGGTCTGGGGATTGGAGATCAACTCCACATCGTCCTCCATCTCCGCCGGGCTCCACTGATGCTTCTTTCCCTTTGCCCAGGGAGATGGGGTCCCTTCCACTCAGCTCCCGCTTCTTCCCCTTGTCGATACTCACCGGTGGAATGCCGCTGGAGCACTGCACCTTCAGCTGGCGGCACATGTCGCAATTCCGGATCTACCGGACCACCTATTAGAATACCCCAGAGAAAGAACCAAAGCATGCTTACCCTGTTGGACCTAGATGCCTGAGTCCAGGTACAGTCCCTCTTCTGCTCTACGCAGGAGCTGCAAGATTTCTCTGGACCTTTGGAGGTGCTGGATCGACTAGTAACCTAATGTCCAGATTCGAACTGAGGAGTTCTGGAGTATTACAGGAGTTTATATACTGTAGGTATCATGTAGTAAATCAGTCAGCAAAGTAAGGGCTATGTACAAAGCATGTGGAAAGTCTATTAGTAAGTGCATAACAGATCAAAGCAGTGAAGTTGGAGATGAAGTAAAACAGACAGATCAGTAAGCATAGCGGAAAGGACATAACCGGTAGCCGGAGCAATAGCTATTCTAAAAGGAGCTAGAGGTGAGTGCGGAGATGAAGGCGGAGCATCAGGTGGAATAACAGGATGGAGATCCGGACTTTAGTGGGGGAGATCCGGAATTCCAGATCCGGAGGTATGGGATATGACACCTACAATCATTGAAATTCTTTTCTGATGCTGGATTCGAGTAGGGATGTGCACCATTCCTGGTTTAATATCAAACACTAACTACCTCCCTTCAGTACATCAACCCTATTCACCCACACAGATATCAAGGCTGTACTCGACAAGTAAGTCCGTGATTGTAGATTGGTGAATGTGCGTGACCCATCGTATATCAACGTTGGCGCGGATGAGCTTCTGCGGATGACCATCTGGACAGCTGGTCCAGCAAAAATGGAGTTTCTCAAATGTGATAAAGTGATTGAGTACCTATCACACAAGATGCAGAATTGGTACAAGATACGTGCTGAAGGCAGGGATCCAGTGTTCAAGTGTGGCTGATCTCGTTATGTGCGTTGGTTGTTGGTTGTTAACCTCTAGATGCAGGGAGGGGCAGCTCAAACCAATCCTGGTGGAAGTTAAAATTGTATGAGGTTGTAGGGCTTGCACGCTCATCACAGGCTTTGAGCCATTTTTGTTTGAGGCAGTTGACCTTGCAAAGGAGTTGAGGACGAGATGCGTGTCTTCCACTTCAGGTGAGTAGAAATTTGCAATATGTAGTGTGTAGCTGATACAGACTGGTCAGTTTCACCTGTATCAGGGAAGTTGTCGGGGATGAAGGTATCCGTGCAAGGCAGGCAGATTAAGGTGGTCACAGTATTCCTTGCATCATGAGGTGTGCTGAAGCAATGGGTGCAGATTGTGGGCAGGGGAAAGAATGAGCAGAGTACAGGCACCGGGTGAGGTGAGTCTGAATGGTTAAGGCATATATATGTTACAATCAACAGTGGGATGGGCACCGCAAACACCTTGCTTGCCGATTATCACATTTCATACTGATTCATGGATGTTGTTGAATGTACTACTTCATGTTTTTTGGTGTCAGATCTATCTGTATAAAATGTAACATTTCTACGACCTGCATGATGCTCTGAACCCCACTGAAATAAAGTTGTGTGATATGCATTGAGTATGCATGATCTGAGACATATCTCTTGTCACTTGTGCGTGACATCAAGTCCATGAGCGTACTCCATGCCTGTCCAGCCTGGGGGTCTGCTGTAACACCTTTTACAGCTTGCTCCTTTCTTTGATTTCACCTGCAAACCCTCATCTCGGCTATAACTTGCCTTTATTCTATTGCAACCACACATTATGGCTGGAATGTGTCATCCCCAATTACATTCAGGCTTTACACTACTTCCTTTCCTGCTGAATATCATGATGATTAAGCATCTATTGAACTCTCTGACTTACCTCCTCATCCACTATTGAGGATCGTGTATATGATGTTGCCACTGAAAGCACCTAGGATTGATGTGGGAGAAAGAAAGACATTTCATCAACTCTTCACACAACTCTGGCGGGTTAATACATCTTTCTACATTGGTGCATGGTTTGCAAATTGCTTGAAAATCAATGTGCAAAACTGACCATGACATACAGTATGCAAGGATGTACTTCAAGCTGCGTACATACCCACATACACTTCGATGATCCGCCATCCCTACACCTCTGATCCATGCCTGGTTTCTTGGGACAAACCCCTGCAGCATGAGGCCAGAGTCCTCAATCTCTTCATTGTACTCATGGTCCATGAAGAGGTTATGCTTGATGAATTGTCGCTTCACATTGAGCAAGAGAATTTGTTCAAAGACCTTTTCGACCTCCAACAACCACCTGTGTGACATAATATATAACCTTTATATAGCTTGGTGCCTAATTTAGTCGCCAAGGGTTATAGCCCATGATCCCACAGTATCCCTACACCAGCAATACCACCAGAATTGCCTCAACACTTGTACCCTGTGCTAGATGTTGATCTGAGTAGTAGATAGATAAAGATAGATTAGATAGACTAGATAGATAAAGTCTGATAATGTCGCTAACGCTGATATTGCTGTCAGCCGTTACCGGTGCCTTTGGAAGCTGCCAGAATTAGGTCCTCCTCCCAAACGTGTGGGAATTCCAACTCTGAAACATTCATGCTCATTGTTGGTCACAGCGAGCACAATATACTTAATATATAGCCACAAATACTATATTATTCAATCAAATTTTCAAAGCCTAAGCAATTTCTAAGGTTGTACTGACTATGACAGCATAGGTAGGAGGGATTATGGTAAGATATATAAGGAGACTTGGTCATGAGGAATTGTGTTCGCCAAGTGTTCAAGTAACGCATCTGTTTGAGCTTCTATAATGGATCGGTCGAGAGTTCTATCTGGGGTGAAACGAAAGTGTTAGATACCGTGCTGACTCAGGAAGCAGAGGGGTCGGGGCTTGGCTTCAGCTCTTGCGCTGCACCCTTAGCCGAGTATGTGCCCCGAATTTGGAGCAGGCCCAACATTGTCTGACGGTAGGATGATTGGACTGCTTTGGTCTGCTCTGAGGGTTGGGGAGTAAGAGCTACTAGCGGTGGGCCAACTAGGAGTGGGGCGGAGAAGGCGGGGAGTGATGCAGAGAGGGGATAGGAGCAGGGGAATGTTGGTAGGGGCGGGAAAGGCGGAGGATAATGCAGAGGGGCGAAGGAGGATATTTGATAGGGATGGAGTAATAAGGGAAAGACTTAGAGCACGGCTCTAAGTCAGAGCGGAGGGTCGGAGATGACAACAAGTTGAGACTTGTGTCCAGAGGAGGCAAGGTTCTACTGAGAATTCTCACAAGATATAACTGCGAGAAGACAAGTAATATTAAGACTGAGGAAAAATATCTAAGTACATGATATGTTATATACTACTATGTATGAGGCAGTGATCAGGATGACTATGCAGTAAAGCTATGTACCAAGGATATAGTTTGTAAGTATTTTGCATAGGTGAAGACATAAGTCAGGGCGGATATCAATATGTACGCGTCGGATCAGCGATCGAGTGGTAATAGGAATTACCAGGCCATCCAGAAGTAAGGGTCTATGTACCAATAGGGAAGGCATATATCTAAAAGGGGAAAGAGCTCCAGTTGAATGGAGAAGTTATGGAAGGGGACTGTTTGAGCTGGTTGAGCGGAAGCGTAGGGCGGAATGCGGACTTGTGATTGGATGGAGCGGAGGATGAATGGGGCGGAGGGGTTGGAAAGTGGAGCGGATATCAGTATTGGAGCGGTCGGATCAGGTATATGACAGAAAGCCATAAAGGTTTTTATCTTGCATCTCTGTGTTGAATGGAGGAAGGAACAGCTCCGGATTGACAAAAGGCAGATCTGGAGATACTTGGGAGGAATTGTCAGTAGCCTTCCCCTTGTTGCCCTGTTTGTTTGCATGGCATTGCTCTTTGATGTCCTCCTCCTCACCCTCCTCCTCACTGTCCTCAACAACTGCACTGCTTTTGATAGCAGCTTTGGCGACTGTCCTGCGAGTGCATGACTTGCGAGTGCTTTTGTCTGAGGGTGTTGCATGCTGCTTGATGTCACCTTGAGAGATTTGTTGTTGGTAAGCATCAGTCTTTGCCTGCCATTTGTCTGCACTGAGTACATGCCAATCACAGTTGTGGTTCTTGAGTGCAGCATGAAGATGTGCGAGCGCAATCAAAGTACGTAATGTTGCCTGGATTGGTGACTTGCCCCTCTGTCCAACCAGCTAGCTCAACTCCCCAGACAAAGCCCTCATATGCAGTGTAGTCCATCACAGGGACATTATCTTCTGATACGCCTCTCTCCTTAGTCAAGATTTCATCTATAGAATAGTCAGTAGATAGCAAAATAGACAACATATCGAAACTCACACATCCCAATTCGAATCATTTCTCGGATCTCAGCTTTGAGATCAACAGACTTGTGACCACTGGTCACCTTGATGACACCAGCTGCCCCCGATGCCACATAGGCATCCACCTGCATACCGATAGACTCCACCATCAATTTCCAAAGATGAAGAAACACTGTTTGGAGGGGCTCAGAGGCATAAGTGCAGGGTGGGGAACACGTCTCCTGACTTTTCTGTGCGTCAGAATCCACATTATATTGCAGCTGGTGCATTTTTCTAGACTGAGAAGCTGTAGAGTGTTAGCATTAAGCATAAAATCTTGAAGCAGAAAACCCAACCTTGGACTGAACTGCAGACATAGTGTTTTCTATATCAACCGCTGCCTCCTTACCAGTAACTTTCTTTGCTGCCTTCGAGTCCCTAATGTCCTGCATGTGCTCCAGAAGTTCTTCTTTTTCTTCAGTGGAGAGCATTTTCCATTCTCCAGACTCGCTGACTTCTCTGGTCACCCGCACAAGAGTATCTCTGCCAATACATTCTCCTGAGTAAATAAGCACTTGAGATCTGCATATTTGAAAAGTCAGAGACGCACATACCATTTTCTCTGAGTTCCCATATCTTGTCACTAATGACAGCATTAAAGACACAGACACTGCAGTTTTTTTTCTGAAGCTTGCCACCAAGGTACATTTGGCCAGACATCCATTCATATGAGCTTATTTTGACGTGAAGTCAGCACAAAGCAAGAATAAATTGAATTACCACATATGTGTGGTATTTTTCAGCCAGGCACTTGATGGTGTTCAGATAGACTGCTCGTTCTGCAGAAATCGCATCCCACATGGCCTCCAAGTTCACTTTGGACATTTTGCGCTGCTCATTAGTCCTTACCAGTTTTCTTTTTCTTCGACACCACAGTGACCATTGTTGAATTTGGCTGTGCAACACTTGAAGTCGTGTACACGATGATAGGATGTCCGACTAAAAGGTGACAGGTTAATTTTCAAATTAAATTATGAGACATGCATTCGGCCATTAATGTAGCCTGTTTGACCCTTGGCTTCTAAGCAGGAGGCAATACACTCTGATGCAAACTAGGTGCTTGGGCAGGAGACGATTGGCACGAGCACATTCCAAACAAAGGTCAATTTATATATTACACTATGTTTGTATGTGATACTAAATTTGCAATGATCAGCTTAAGACCTATCAATACAAAAATGGCTTACCATTATCTAACTTAGTCCCCCAGCCAAGACTACTTGAAGATCAGCTTGAGATAGATTCTGGACAATCAATGTGCACAAAGAAGAAGCATCCTCAAATGACAGTCCCGCCTCTTGAAAACAAGTTACCCAACACTCCACACTGCAGTCAAGTGTTGCATCAACTTTACATAACATTGTGGCTGATGCGTGCTGTGTGTGAAGAAAATCTTGAATGGGCTGCATAAAGTTGAAGAAAGAAACATCAGGATTGATGTAGTATGCAGGGGGAGGTATATCTCTGATAAAGGCAACAGACAGTGACCCAGGAGGGGTCATGATCCAGGATGGACAAGGAAGGGCAGGTTGTCGAGCAATGCAAGTAGTAGTTGGCTGATGAGTTGAACTGGGCTCCTGAGCAGACTGAGGAGTGACAGTGGGTCGATGCGCAGACATGAGCTGGTGAGTGGGAGGGGGCTGATGATTGGAACTATCGGAATTAGGAATCAGACTCAGACTCTGAGGACAAGTCTGAATCAATCATTATAACATGTGGTGCACGGTACTGAGTCAATGTTGCTGGCGCAGGAGGATATGGGTGTGATGATGGCACTGTATGATGTGGCAACACTGTTGAAGGTTGAGAATCAGGTTCCCAATCAGGTGTTGCTGGTGCGGGAGGATATGGGCATGATAGTGGTGCTGTACTGATGAGACAACACTGTTGAAGTTTCAGAACATGAAACATCAGGACCCCAATGAGGTGTTGAAGCCAATTGTGTTAAGTTGCTGGTTTGCGAATGTGGTGGATACTGTGGAGTTGTGGTCGGCCTTGGGGCAGGTAGATTTGGGATATCTGTCCAGCTGCACGCTGAACATTGCCTGTCATCAACTGATTCGTCAGCGGGTCAAGGACATAGCCCAGTCCTGGTATGACTTGATTCAGCTTCTCTTGTGCATGAAGATGTCTTGTAATTTAGATGTGATGCGCTTGAAATAAGGAAGTTGCTCGAATTGCTGGCTTGTCATGACATCAACAGCAATGTCTGATGCACAAAGAGGGCGCATTGGATCCCATTCAGGGTGTAGACCAAATCCAATGAAAAGAACGTCTGTGATATGTCCCATCCCTGTAGCCTGGTCGAAGTTTAGTTTTGATACGAAGTCATGCGAATAATTATTAGATCATACCATATCCTTGATATCTGACATGCCCTCATAAAAAGTGAGCTCTCAATCATCCTTATTCATGCAAAAGTGTTCATGCAAAGCTTTATTGGAGGATAGATTCTCTTTGTTGTCCTGACGAATTCCACGGCAGTTTGCAAAGCGTCAACAATCAATGTCATGGCTTTGTGGTTGATTCTCCTGTGCTTGCACCCATTGACAGATGGCAGAAGGTGCATAGGGTGCACACATGCTGGTGGTTTGGGTGAAGGATGTGAAGTGCAATGCAAGGCAGACACATGTTCATAGGATGTTATGTGAATGGTGTGGGACTTAATTAAACAACTATGAGTCAAGCAAATGTACACTTCAGCATCTAATTGAATCCGATGAATAATCTGTGAACTAGCTAGGAGATAAAGCACAAGACCAAACAGACTGTAGGTAGAAGCCGAGGTGAGTCAGAGATACGTGAGGTGCTGTGCTTTTTGCAGATAGGTTCGCAGAAGTGATGTGTATTCCTAACAATATCCTTTGAGCCCTTTCTGAGTCACAAGCACAGGATGACATGGATGATTGAAATTTTGCATCTTTGTCGGTCAAGTTCATCCTCAAAGTAGCTTTAGTCTCTCGAACAACATGTAATTGCAAGTATGTAAAATCAATCCAGTACCATTCACTCTAGAATGTCTGCAAGATGTGTCATATCCTCATTCCATGCATCATCTGCTGCTATTGTTAGGTACCTGAGCCGGCTCAGGAGGCAGAGGGGTCAGGGGCTTGGCTTCAGCTCTTGTGCTGCAGCCCTTAGCCAAGTATGTGCCCCGAATTTGGAGCGGGTCCGACATTGTCCGACGATAGGACAAGTGAACCACTTAGGTCCGCTTTGAGGGTTGGGAAGTAAGAGCTACTAGCGGCGAGCTGACTAGGAGCAGAGCGGAGTAGGTGGGGGGTGATGTGGAGGGTGGATAGGAGTAGGGGGAAGGTTTGGTAGGAGTGGGGAAGGCGGAGGATGGGAAAAGGGACAAGGGGAGTATTGATAGGGGCGGAGGAATAAGGGGAACACTTAGAGCACAGCTCTAAGTCAGAGCGGAGGGTCGGAGGGTCGGAGGTGACAACAAGTTGAGACTTGTGTCCAGAGGAGGCAAGGTCCTACTGAGAATTATCACAAGAGGTAACTGCAGAGAAGACAAGTAATATTAAGACTGAGGAAAATATCTAAATACATGATATGTTATATACTTCTATGTATGAGGCAGTGATCAGGATAACTATGTAGTAAAGCTATGTACCAAGGATATAGTTTGTAAGTACTTTACACAGGTGAAGACATAAGTCGGAGCGGATATCGATATGTACGCATCGGATCAGTGATTGAGTGGTAATAGGAATTACCGGTGATCCGGAAGTAAGGGTCTATGTACCGAAGGGGGAAGTATATATCTAAAAGGAGAAAGTGGATCCAGTTGAATGGAGGCGTTATGGAAGGGGACCAGTTGGGCAGTTGAGCAGAAGCGTAGGGGTGGATGCGGTCGATGGTTGGATGGAGCAGAGGAATAGATGGAGCGGAAGTTGTTGGAAAGTGGGGTGGATATTGATATTGGAGCGGTCAGATCAGGTATATGACAGCTACAATGTCCCATTCTCCATCTTCATCAGCCATATCTGCGTGAGCAAGGGGTGCACTTTTTTTGGATGTGCTGTTGCCTTGCCTCATGCCACAACCAGGAGAACCAGAAAATCCAGGGCAGCGCCTCAATGGCATCAAGCCGTGCAATGTGTACTGAATTACGCAAAGTTGCTGCATTCTAAGTTCCTCCACTTCTCATGCCAACATCGAGTCAACGAGACTCAAACACTGTTAAGGCTTGTGCTCAAGGGAAAGACAACTCAAAGGGCTTCGGCTTCAGCTTGTGCGCTGTGCCCGTTACCTGAGTACATGCCCTTAATTTCTGAGAGGCAGAGGGGAAGTTCAATGGAAGTCTGGGGAAGTCTGGAGGTCAGATGTAGGGGGAGTTCAGTGGAACTCCAGAAGGCTGGGAACAGACAGAGTTAGACTACACTAAGGTAGAGCTGGAGATATAGTCCTAAGGTTTTAACCCTAAGACTCGGAGGTAGACAAGAAATCAGACTCAAGTCCTGGAGAAGCAGGAATGAGCAGAACTAAGATGTTATTTGAACTGAGGAGTACCGGAGTATTACAGGAGTTTATATACTGTAGGTATCATGTGAGTAAATCAGTCAGCAAAGTAGAAGCTATGTATGAAGCATGTGGAAAGTCTATCAGTAAGTGTATAATGGATCAAAGCAGTGAAGTTGGAAATGAAGTACAAACAGACGGATCAGTAAGCAAAGTGGAAAGGACGTAACCGGTAGCCGGAGAAATAGTTATTCTAAAAGGAGATAGGAGTGAGCCCGGAGATGAAAGCGGAGCACCAGATGGAGAATAGGATGAGAGAAGTGGACTTTCATAGGGGAGATCCAGAATTCCGGATCCAGAGGTATGGGATATGACATCATCACTCATCACACCAATAGATGTCAGCAGCAGCACAGGTGGTGACAATAGCTGAGATAGCTGTCTCCTTATAGCTTGGAGCACTGCAAGTTCATTCCAATTGCTTCTGTACCGCCAACGATCTTCACTAATAGTTTTGATAGCTCATTAGTCTTCATTTTGGAGAGATGCGCCGAGCCGGTGTAACTTCTGATGATTTGGAAGGTGAGAACTTTGAAGCTGACATTGACACTGTTGACGACACTGAATTGTCCGACAATGAAGACTTGAGCAGCAATGAGCTTTCAACACTGAGGACAATCCTGTCTGTCCCTGGACTGGACACACCCATGCACAGGGTTCGCAAGGCAAGTGCATTCATCTTGCTATGATTCTCCTTCTTGTCCTAATGTATTTTCAATGTACATAGGCTCTCAAGACTGCACAGGAAGCATACAACTCCCTGTGGGTTGAGTTCAAAGGTCTTAGGAAGGACTATTTTACACTCTTGGCTACTGTCCCTGCCTGCAACCGAAACCGCACACTCAAGAAGACATCCATACTCGACATGAAAATCACTGCCAAAGGGAAAAAGTATACATTGTTCTACCATTTCTGGGTCATCCCCAGTGTCTTACTGACAATGCCTCAGCCTGAAATCAACCCATGTAGTCCTACACATTGGGCATCTCCCGAGGCTAAGGTCAATGGTGCCATGGCAGAATTGTACAAGTGCGTGTCCAAGGACTTACATGGCTCCATGGAGAAATACACGGCATTTGATTCTCTGGTACGTGCCTTTGACTTGTTTCTTAGACTGTCCTACAAATAACCTACATGATACTTCTCAGTTTTGCACTGCAGTTAGCACTGAACGGTCAAAAATTGTGCATGCTATCAAAAGCTGTGCAGGTATCATCTTCTCATCACTCAACCTCAACCCTACCCTCTTTTTATCTCAAACAGATGCCAGAAAGCAAGACAACCATGACCTCCTTTGTCTGTTGAAGAAAAATGGTGAGGGATAATATATTCGGCTAGCACCCATTCTGTTTGCAAGACCAGATGCCATGGTGGCTGATGAGTTCCTCAAGAATCCTGTGCTAGTCCAAGTAAGTACAAGCTCAATTGTAATACAAAAGACTGGTGCACTGACAAAATTCATTTCAAATTGTTCACATTGAGATGTATGGGAAAAAGATACTTTCTGGAAAGACTAAGGGTCAGAAGGCTAGGGGACAGCATTGCAATGCACAATGTGTCACTGAAGGTTTGATTGCAGGCACTGCTATTATGGTGAGTGAGCGCACTGTCTTACATCGATGTTTTTCAACTTATAACCTAATTTCAAAGGCACATTTTTTGTTGACACACAATCCTGAGTTCATGGCAACTGGTGCAGAAACAAAGATAAACTATCAAGCGGACTACAATTTCTACTTGGAGCGCTTGTTCAAGCGCACTCCATGGGCCTGCGGCATCATAGACTACTTCAACAAGGAGGTTTTTGATGTCACCAGCTCAAATCTAGTACCAGCTCCTGACAATTCTTCTTCCACCGCCCCCCAGACTCAAATTTGGGAAGACAATCTCCTGAACGAACTTGATGATCCTGCTCGAGTTACTTCTGCTCTCACATCCCTCCCTGGTACCTCAGCAGTGGTCAATGTCGTCTCCAACTACCGTGCTTCCATATCTGTCAACCAAGGTCAATCTGCATCTGCAACTGCACAGCTGCAGCTGGGTGTCAATCAATTGACCCTGGACAACACCATTGAGCCAACTGCATTGACAACTTGCAGCGCACCTTCTCACAAACCTTAAATTCATGCTGCTGCAAGTGAGTTGACGTATGGGCCTGAGCCAACTAACACACCCGAGCCTGAAATTGAGGCCACCAAGCATGTTACTCATTATGGTGGCAGCAAGGCAGTTGCTAAACCTAGAGGAAGAGGAAGAGGGAGGAGTAAACACTGATGTGATGTTGCTATTAATATTAATACTTCGTATCATTGATATGCATGGCCCTTAGATTTGTTGTCTCTCATTTACTTGTAGTTCTTAGACTGAGCGCTTTCAATGTCATCCAAATCCAGTGTCTTACAGTATCCTTATAAGGCACTCAAATATATGATGTAATGAAGTAGGTTTCAATGTATTCAGGGCCCCAATAACTAAGTGGTAACTATGCCAGTGAGTACTATGGATTACAATACTAAATAATACTAATGATGAGTGTTTGAATCCCTCTAGGTGCAATTGAAATAAAAGACTTCACTTATAATAGCAGGAGTAAACATTAGATAATAGGAATAGGTAATAGGAATAGGTAATAGACATTAGTAGCAAGGACCGTTGCAGTGATAGTGTGGTTCTTGGAAATCTATTTTTATCTTTTATTATTGTCCCAGCCCTTTTAAGACCTTGCAATGCTTACATGATCTTCCCTATGACGGACACCACCACCACCACCACCACCACCACCACCACCACATCTGTCCCTCACTTTATCATACTTGCACGTTTCAAATATATTGTTGCATGCCCACATTCAAGCCCAAGCCCAATTTTAAGTGTTAATTGACTTGAAAATGAATCAACCTTCTGTGTCGTCAGCCACCCCTATTCCTCCCGGTTTGCATCGTACCAGCTATCAACTCCCTCCTGCTCCTCAATACCCTCCTCTACCCTCATCCACAAACTAACCCTTATCACCACCCATTGAAGACATCAATGCCAAAGGCTCATCAGCAATAGGCATGGAGCTTTCTGTGGTCGGCCTTGATCACACATCTCCAATGTCTGCTAAAACTCATCTTGAATGTCTTCTCCAACAAATACAACAACAAAAAGCTGTACCAGATGTCATTATTCACAAAGGAGATGTATCCAGAAACCTTGATTATGTGCATGTCTCGCTACATCCAGCATTATCCGCAGTACCTCAACCTGACGTTCTGCAACAGTTGTTGACAGACATCAATGACCTTCATCAAGGAGCTGTATATGCCAAATGGCATGCTGGACGAGGTGCAGATAAAAGTTGTTGAATTATTTTCCAGGTAAATTCTGAAGAAGAAATGAGGACCATACATCCTCTATTACGAGAATGGTTCCAGTCTCGCAATTTTGCCTTTCAACAAGATTGAACCAGCAATCTCGGTGGACAACTTCATATTTCTTTCAATGTCTTGCATTCAGAGGACGTTGACACTATCTTAACCATGCTGCCTTATGTGAATCACCACACTTATCATCCCACTCGCCCTCGATTTGTCGAACCAACCTATGGCGAAGAAATTGCCATTGGTGGGTGTGAGGTTCTCCAGAACCCCCAAGCCCAATTTAACATGGAGCTAAGAAAGAAGTATGGGCAAGATGTTGTTCGCTTTTCTCGTGTCACTCTCGAAGGCAGCACTTACACTGTTGTTCTCTGTGACTGGCAAACGACCAACCAGTTCCTCGAGGACTTTGGCAAAGGTCTCCCATCCTCCTGGATTTGATTGCATAACATCACCGTCGGCGTCCCTGATCTTCTGTATCTTTTCAACTCCATTGGAGCCCCAGCAAACCCATCCCATGGTGCAGCCTCCTTGTCACCTCAAGTCTTGCACCTCCAGGTTCAGGTCGATGAACTACGCAGACAGGGTGCTGAAACAGTGGGCATGGTCAATCAGGTCCTTGCACAGACCTGGTGTGCTGTTGAAAAGCAGAATGAGGTTGCCCAGCAGATGATGGCCTCCATTTGTGCTGTCTCGACTTCTGCAGTGTTGTCCTCATGGTATGCATCTCTCGAATCTACTTGTGGGCGCCTTGAAGAGTGCATGGTCCGCTACCGTGAGACCCTCGAAGGCAAGCCTTCGCCTGCTCAGCGAATCAGGGTCAACTCTCTCTTGGCAGAGATGGAGCATGAGTATGGCCATGTTGACAAGGAAAGAGACACTGTTGCCCAGCAGCTATCTGCTTTACAATTCGCACAGGGAACACAGTTCCTTGGTCAATCTGTACCCCACAACGATGCTGACCCCTCTCGACCTCCGGAGCATGGAGATGATGTCCCCATGTCTCATGAGAGGCCTCCTCCTGAGGAGGATGACAACCAACATAATGAACCCCATCAGTGCATGTCTCATGATGCTGGTTCAGCAGCTGGTCCCTCAATTGATGCGAACTGTATGGAACAGGATGTATGCTGGCCCTCCACAGTCCATTTCGCGTCCCTTCTGACTGTCACCTGCCCTCTATTCCACAGTGAGTGGGTAGACAACAGGAGAGGTCAGAGTATGGTGCATGAGCGAGCGAAGCATCGCTTGCCATTATGCCAACTTCACATGCCTGCTGTCTTTTGATTTGTGCCAGCCTCGTTTTCTGTTATTCGCTTCTTCTTCACATTCACTCAATGGTTGCTTGCTTTGGCCTCGCTCATTTCCTCTAGTGCTTTTGTGATTCTTTTCGGTCTACTCCTTCTCATAATGGTTGTTCATGCATCCCATCCGCTTCACATCGTATCTCTTAATGCCAATGGTGTCGGAGACCTCATGAAATGTAACGCAATTTCATCTATGATACATCAGCATTGGCCACACATCTGGGTGATTAATGAGACCAAATCACCCACACCTGCAGCCTCCTGTGTTCGTGCGCCCGGCTATAACACATATGAAAACTCTGGTGTGCAGACTGCGGGCTCTCCTGCTCATGGCAAATGGGGAGTTATTCTCAGAGTTTCTAACACCATTCACACTCAGCGTGTTGACACTTCCTTTGATTTGTCCCTGACTGGCAGAGTTGTTGCTGTTGATTTGGTCATACCCATGACTAATGGTGGTTTTCCTCACCATCTCATTGGGGTTTATGCCCCATGGGACCCTGGCACTGCAGTGGGTCCTGATCCTCAGTCCTCATCTGCGTTTTGGCCATTGATCACAAAACTTTGCCAGCAATCTCCCTACTCTTGATCTCTCATTGGAGACTGCAATGTTACACTTAATATCACTGAAACCTCTTCTTGGTCCACTTCACTTTCTCAAGCACAGCTTCAATATCACACATTCCTGCGTGACTGTCATGCAGTTGACGTGTGGGATGCTCAAAATCATGTGGATGCAGCGCTCACGTACACCTTTCACAATCACCTCAGTCAATCTGTTATCGACCATGCTGTGCATTCCACAGACGGTGTCCAATCCTCCGAGATCTGTTACAGGGACCCTCAGACCCCTATCGTCTCCGCCAAAACCTCGCCATCACAACCGCGTCACAACACGTGACAGATGACATCACTGGCACATGACTAAACTACAGAGCACAGCATGACAGCTGTTGGAGCATGACAGCTCTAGAACCGACCTAGACCGGGATCAATAGAAGCCGCGCGCTTCTCCCTTATCGCCCCTACCGATACACCGGTACTGACTATCGTTTATCCTATCGCTTATCATGACAGATAGCGTTATCTGACTTGGACACCTACCACTGTGCTGGTACCATACCCTGGACCCTTACCGTTGAACCGGTACTCTTATCTCTGAGTCCTTATGACTCACATAGACAATTACCTAGTTGGGATACTTTCTGGCTACCCGAGCCTACCCTGAACCCATAGGACGATACCTATATATACCCCAGTAGTTAGACCATGTATTTCTCTAACTTGATCTTCACTTGTGATATACGACTCTAGCTTCTATCATTGAAACTTCAGTCAGTCATTCTGGATGGACAGCCTCCATTCAGTCTTCCACCGTCCTGGTGCTCCATGAAGCGGACACGGGATCGACCCTATCAAGTGCACTGTTGGGAAGCCGGGCTTCCCATAACAAGATCAATGTCATTGGCAACTGCTTCATAGGAAGCACTGACCATCAGCCTATTCGTGCAATATTGTCTCTGATGGCCCCTGATGGTTAACACCCGGTTTTCCCTTCCAGTCTAATGAATTCCACCAATCAACGTATTTGGCCCTTGTACCCAAAATGTCATGAACATGCAGCTGCATTGCTTTTTCGAAGGAAGTGGATCACCAACTGCTTCTGCGTGGGCTCTCTGATGCATCTGTGGCTGATGACTCTTCCTTTGATGTGCTGTATCATGCTTTAACTGACATTATTTGTGATGCTGCCAGTCTTCACTTTGAACAGCCACAATGGCTGACCCGCAAACAGGGTGGCACGCACAAGATACTCAATCTGACCATCTGTATCCTTGTCCGTGAGGGACATAGGTTAGGACACCTAATTTCCGCGACATGTGCTCACCGCATCTCTGAGCTCGCTGTTAAGGCACCTTGGGTTCTCAATTATCTTAATGCCCACGGACACATTCTTATTGCTCAACGGGACTGTGCACCTCAATTTCTACAATATCTCCTGACCCTGCATCGCACACTCGCACACATTTGTTACGCTGAAGAACGGAAAGAACTGCAAAGTCAAGCCCAACAATCAGCACAAGGTCATATTTGTGCTGTGCTCATGGGATCTTCAGCAAAAAGCCTGTACCCATGGGAATCTCATGGTGGTCCGCCTCTTGCCCTTGTTCATCCGGGAGACCAACTGAAATTCTTCACATCATCCGAGGACATCCAGTGGGAGACTCGGACATATTTCACTGACCTTTTACTCGTCAGGATCACCCCATAGTACAGAAGCCATGGATGGAAACACCGTCAGTGATAGCCATCAAGTCGCAAACATCACAAGACCCCTTCACCTGGCCTGTGGCAATGACAGTCGAGTCCATGCATGCAATTTTGCGCAAAGGTGATCCTCGACCAAGCCCTGGGCCTGACAGGTGAGAAAAGTGGTGTGTGAAGTCACTCAGTGACACTGCACTCCGTCTTGTGCCCAGTTGATTAATTACAAAATTTGCAACTCACATTTTCCAGCTTCGGTTAAACCAACCAACATGACCACTATTTACAAACATGGACCAAAGACATCGCTTGCCAACCACCGTGGAATATGTTGCAGTAACTTCTTGCTGAACATCCCTTTTGCCTGGCTTAATTCGCTTCTTATCCCTTACCTCCTGAGGCTTTGTGTCCTTCCCAAAGGGCAGGTCACAACACAACCGGGCATGCAAGGAAGAGACCTAACATCCTTTCTTTCACAATTGGAAAGTTGGTCAAATCGCCATCACAAATTGTTGTACCTCCTTCGCAGAGACCAACAGAAAGGCTTTGACAAACTGGAACCTCAAGGATTCTATGATGCCATCTCTGCTTATGGTATTCCCCATTCCATTGTTGATTTCAACTCATCAGCACAGTTGGAGGTCCCATACTGTGTGCATACCACATACGGACTGACAGAACCCTTGACTATCATGGGTGTGACGAAGCAAGGTGGCCCAATTTCCCCCCTCAAGTCAACACTCACAACCAGTCTCAGCAACCATTGGCTTCATGATCTCTTCCTCACACATCAAGATGGTGTCATCATCTCCTCCATCCAGCATATGGATCATAGGGAGCACATCCCAGCAGACCATCTGTCACTCGCACTTGCAATGTGCGAGGCAACCAATGATTCCTTGCTTGTGGTGGGAAGCCTGCCATCCCTTGAACAATCGTGTTTGGCGATGGAGCGTTTTCAAGCTGCTTATGGATGGCTCACAAATTGGGACAAATCTCCGGTGTTTGTCCTCAATGTCCCTCATCCTCCCATGTCTCTGTCACTGCCCTCAGTGGCACCTGCTGACCCAACTTCACCAACAGTGTGTATGCGTGAGGTTCATGTGATTCCTTCTCATGTGGAATTTTTGCGCGTCTCTGTCAATGATCCCCTTGCACAATTTGTGAAGATTTGTGATATCATTGTTTCTTTCGCTTTCCCTCGTCTTCATTGCCAGTTATCACTCACTGTTTTGCGTCAGATTATATCGCAGTGCCTCGTGTCTCGTATTTGCCCCCTTCTTGCCTTTCAGCCAGTCACAAGAACGCAAGCACAGCAACTTGATCATATGATTGCACGACATGTGCATGACTACTACCGCTTCCCATTCCATTTCAACTCAACACTCCTCTCCTTGCCCATAGACCTTTTTGGCATGGGTTTTCCATCCATCTCTCGCTTAAATGACACACTCACACTTCAGGGTATGTCACGCAACCTTAATCACCACATCCTGGCCTTCCGTACCATGGCGGCGATCACATTGTCCGACTGGATGTGTAGCCTGAACCATTGCATGTACCCTTTGGATGGACCTTCTCTCCATCATAGTTTCATAGGCGAAAACATGCTTTGCCGATGACTTGGATTGTCGCACATGAGGTATTGCAACAATCTGAGCTCAGTGTACCAACTACAGATCAGTCATTCCTGCTTGGCGATGTTGCTCTATGCCATTTGTTGCATGCATGTCCATCCTCTTTCTTGCCACTCTCCCCCTATGTCATTTCAATTCTTGAGACTGAAGGGTACTCACGGCTTGGTGACCTTCTTGTTGCTCAGCCCACAGACCTTTCTTGTCTTAGCCTTCAACTTTCTCCTGCGATAATTTGCATGCTTGGCGGATGGTTACAATCTCTCACTCTGAGTGCCCTGTCCAACATCTATCTTGGCATTCAACCAAGTGCCATACCTTTGCCTGACTGGGCCTCGCTTGTTATTCCATGCACTGTTAGGCAGCATTATGCTGAATTAGCCCTACTTGGTGCTGTACATGTTTCCCCCCATCTCCCACATCAGCTCCTGCCAGATTCCCTTATCATGTGTGACGGCTCCATGGTGCCAACCCACATGAACTTCGACGGTGTGCATTCTGTAACATTTGTGGTAACTGCTGCATCAGGCTCGCTTGTCGGATCTATGGATAACCACGCTAATGGAGCCACCATTCTTCATGGGGAATTATACAGTCTTATTGTATCTGCCTTGTTAGCTCGTTCAGGTGTGCCGAACTCCGAAATTCATAGTGATCATCTCAATGCTGTATGCATCATCAACTCAAGTCTTGTCTCCCCCCTTCTACCCCACTCCTGGTCTGCATTACCTGCACGTTCACTCTATCGTTGGTTGTCTTCAATTATATCATCCTCTCCCAATCCTCCCACTCTATCACACATCAAGGCTCATACGACCTCATCCTCTCTTCCCGCGCAAGCTAATGCAATTGTCAATGTGCTTGCTCACGACTCTCACTCTCGGTTAATTCGCCCTTATCCTGTGCTGTCTGCTACCTTTGCACTCGATACTTTCTCGCTGTATTATTCAACTTCAAAATTTGTTGAGTCTCCTATATCTTCTTTCCTTACTTACATACTCTCGCACCCTTTACGCCTCGCAGTACCCTCATGCTGCCTCTTTACGACTCCCATGCTCCACCACAACACCCATATGTGCACACACCATATGCTTTCTCGGCATTGGTACAACTCTATGCAAGGTCAAGACAATTAGACACTGCGAGTGTGTGTTTTGCTCGTTTGCGCAATGCCTCTCTGTGGATGCAAGTGCTTGGAGACTCCACACCATTTGTTCGTCGAGTGTTGTTGTTTTGCAGAAATGCACAATAGGTCGTTGCAGGAAGTGTTTGATGCAACCTCCGTGCTTCTTCATGAAGCAAAAACATCTCTAGCAACAATGGAATTGTATCTGTGCTCCGCACAATGCCTGTTTGTCGATGATGCTGTGTGGCCAGTGCACCCATCACAATATTACCTTGGAACTGTACCTGCAATCAACCTGTTGTGCCAAGTTTCAACAGCATTGGGAACCAAAATTGCGCACACGTGGCATATTGCAAGCATTCATTTGGCAGCACAGATCTGGGGAAATTATAGGCGAATCGTGAATCTGTTGGTCGGAAAAGCTCAGTGCTCATTCGATTTACCTACCTACTTACATCATCTCCATTCACATTCATAATTATTTCTCTGGCATGTCTTATCAATGAGTTGACGAGGTACTTACTATATGTGGTGCCTGAGTTACATCAGTAGCGTAGTTAGCCAATGAAAATCATTTATTGTTTATTGTTTATTATAAGACAACTCATAATGTGAGAACCATAGCCTTTTAAGGCGCCATCTAAGATTAGTAGTACTCACGATAAAATTTAAACCAGTTGAACAAACTTATTAAAGCTTCAAAAAGCTCACTAAAGTCTTCAACAAACTCGCTAAAGTCTTCAACAAAATCGGCCTGAAAGCCACAAAGACACACGTCATACAGCAGCATCAGAGCAGACTTGGAAACAACACTTAGTCAAATTTTGAGGCATGTATCTACACAAAAATATATAGATGTAGCTAGGTATTTAATGAGCGAGAAAAAACGAAAAATAAATGCGTGATGGTGAGGTCAAAAATAGGGTGCGAGAGCAGGAGCAGCAGGAAAAGCAGGAGCGGAAGCAGCAGGAGGAGCAGAAGAAACAGGAGCAGTGGAAGGAGCAGAAGGAATGGGAGCAGGGGCAGGGGCAGAATGAACAGGAGCAGCGGCAGGGGCAGAAGGAACAGGAGCAGCGGCAGGAATGGGAGCAGCAGGTGCTAGCAGGCGAGGATCAATTTGCAGATCAGTGAATGGACGGCTAGGAGGAGCAATATGAGGGGGGCTGAGCCCTGGTGGCACCCCTGGTATGCATGGAGGGGCCATCGTAAATATATGGCGGTAATGGGGAGGAGAATGCTTCTTGATAGTCGGTAAATGGAGGAAATGCCATGCCTGACCTAAGTCCCTGCAACAAAAATCAGTGGTGAGAGGGGCAGAAAAATGACTCACATTTGCATCCTCAACCTCCAATCCAGCGCCATATTATCCCTCCCCACTATCCACCTGCAGGATTGTGCTGGGAAGGTGCAAGGGGAGGGCAAGATTTGAGATATGGAATGCACGGAGGTCTGAGGGACACAGATGCCAGCTGGCGCTAACTGTGGCAGAGATTTAAAACTCCGATATAAACTCCAACTAATCAGTTGGATATCCAGTGTACTGATAAGAAAATACCCCCCTCCCAAGTCACAGCCATGCCTCATCAGTCCACACGTACAGACCTCCTTCATACCATTGATCAGGCTTCATTGGCATTAGCCAACCCACAATATTTGAATATACTCCTAGACGACCAGGACACAGACTCTGACTCTGATACCAACTCAGACTCACTTGATACTTCAGATGGTGAAGATCTGACTTTCGCCTCCCCATCCCCCATATCCTCAATGTCCCCGATGTCCCCTATGTCCCCTGTGTCCCCAATGTCCCACCTTTTGGGCCTCAGTTCCAGCCACAGTGACACATCTGATGACTCTGATGACTCAGATGACTCGGATGATGTCGCTGTGCATTATGACTGGCTCCAGCACACTATTGCTGCTCTTTGCGATGAGGTTGAGAGGGCCCATATATTCCACAAGCCTGACCAGCCTCCTCCTCAAGCACCTCAGCTGCATATGCTGGTTCACCACGAGGAACACCGCCCTCATTTGTTTCGCCAGAAACTCCGTGTTAATCCAGAAATATTTGATGATATCCTTGACCAGATCTCCGATCATCCTATCTTCTGCAACCAGTCCAACAATCCTCAGCTCCCAGTCTCCATCCAGCTGGCCATTTTTCTAAATCATGCAGGCCACTATGGCAATGCCATTTCACTTGAGGATATCGCACAACGGGCGGGTGTAAGTGTCGGGTCAGTCATCAATTGCACTAACCATGTGATGGTCGCATTGCTCAAGGAGCATGATCAGTTTATCTTCTTCCCAGAAGATAACTCTGAGGATACTGAGCTGGCTCGGTGGTTTGCTGAGACATGAACCTGTCTGGAGTGGAGGGGTGGCTATCTAGCCATTGATGGCTCGACTATGGATCTTTTCACCAAACCTGCCTATTTTGGTGAGACATTTTACGATAGGAAATCCAAGTATTCCCTTGGCTGTCAGGTAATGTGTTTTTATTTATTTTTCATGGATAGTAATTTAATTTAATTCTAGGCAGTCATTATGCCCCATAACCTCATGATTGTGGACTATTCTCTTGGTCAACCTGGGAGTGTCCACGATGCATATGCATTTTGATCCACTCGCCTCTATGAAGAGCATGCCAACCTTCTCCCAGATGGTCACTGGGTTTGGGCAGACAGTGCATATCCACTGGAGCCATGGTGTATCCCCCCATTCAAGAAGCCTCACAATGGACGACTGACAAAGAACCAGAGGACATTTAACTATCACCTTTCTAAGGTATTTTTCATTTTTTGCTGTTTTTATTATTATTAATGAATTTAAAGATCCATGTACGTGTTGAGCACACATTTGCAGTCTTGAAAGGGTGGTTCCAGTCTCTCTGAGAGCTCTGCACCAATATTCAGACAGAGAAGGACTTGCAGGTTGCTGTGCATTGGATTAAGTGTTGTCTTATCCTGCACAACATGATCATCTGCTTCGAAACTCATTGTCGCAAGCAGGACGAAGACTATGATGAGTCTCTGGAGTGGGCTCATACAGAGGGTGAAGGTTTTGTCCCTCAAGAGATTGAGCATCCAGAGGGTAATGAAATAGTAGGTGACAGATCATATGAGGGAACCCCTGGCCAGGCTACTCGTGCAAGGCTCATGGATGAGCTCTTTGACAGCCCTAGATCAAGAGCACAACATAGGGAAGGATAGGCACCATGTTCACATTCACCAATAATACATGTAACATCAATCAAACAAGCACAACATAGGGAAGGATGGGCAACATGTTCACATTCACCAATAATACATGTACTACTAGTAGTACATCTTGTACAACACATGTAACATCAATCAAACAAGTACTTGCAGAAAAAAATGAAATTAATGAAGTCAGATAGCAACAGCAGTAAAAAAACACAACAGCAGAGAACAGCAATGATGATACATAGCAAGGGGAACAATAACAGCAAACATCTCAGGTATCTCCAGATGCAGAAGCTTTACCGCCGCCCTGCATCATCTGGTGAAATTGAATCTTCAGGCGCCACATTTCTGCCTCCTTGTCAAGCGCTAAGGCCTGGGCCTCATGCACATGGACATCCGTCTTGCAAAGGCGAATTTCAGCGTCCTTAGTCTCCTGCTCTCATTGATGGCTGGCAACAGCTTGCAGGGCCTCATGCGCACACACTTTGCAAAGGTACTCATATTTCTTCATCTCCCGATGGTAGTCCTTCTTCACGTTGAGCTTCGCAAGGAAGTGTTCGTGCTTGAAGCTATGGTGTGATGCAACATCTGATTGAAGACTCTCGATCCTGTCGTTGACCCTCTCGACTTGCTCCTGGATGTCCAATTTCGCTTTTTTCTTCTTCAACCCTGCACTCTTCGGTGTCAACAAGCTGCGAGTCATCCCCAGTGACGACGACACAATAGATGGTGGTCTGCATTGTGCATCGTGGCCGGAGGGCCCCTGAGTGCCGAACGCTGCACGGCTGTTGTAGAAAGGTGTTGCTGACTTCTGGGAAACTGCAAAAGGGGTGGGGGGGTCAGGAGGAGGAGATGGTGATGATGGGAGTTGTTGTTTCTTCCCAGCAACCTTCGGAGGTGTCATATACAGTGGCTCAAAAAACTGTCCGCATGTTTTCACATTTTTCACTATCTATGATATTGTGTGAGAATATACAAACATGTCAAGGACATGCTGGTACCACATTGTAGTACTACTTCAGGACTTCCAATTGAGCCTTATGATGTGGGAATCAGTCAAGATATGGTGGAGATATGAGGCTTACAAAATGATGACTCATGCGGACAGTTTTTTGACTCAAGTATTTTACAGTGATAATCAGGTATTCCAGTACATTGTGTGGCCTCCCCTTGGCTTTAATTACTGCCTCTATCCTTCTAGGCATACTCTTAAAACTATATCTAACTATATAAACCAGAATGTCTCATGTGTCATGGTCATAATCACCATGAATGCCATCTCCTCTGCTCAAAGGGATAATATCCTCTCTTTGTCCTATGCCGGCCTCTCTGCTCATCAAATGTCCTCTAGAACTGAAGTATGCAAGTCTACTGTGGCCAAGTGTATCAAAGAAAGCCATCTGGACAAGGAAAACTCTTGTGGAGGACGTCCACCTCTGCTAATAAGAGGGCCATCATCCAACATATCACTACAGGAAAGGCTAATAATGCCATCCAAGCCACCCATTATATCAATTCCACCATCACCACCACTGTCTCTTCACAAACTGTGAGGAATGTTCTCAAGGCAGCTCATCTCAAGGCAGTAACAAAGAAGAAATGCCTCTTCTCTCTATCAAACATAGACAGAGAAGACTACCTTTGGCTTGGCCCATCAAAACTGGACTGTAGAGGACTGGAAGCATGTTATATGATCAGATGAGACCAAAATCAATAGGATTGGGTCAGATGGAAAGGTATATGTGTGGAAAAAGAAGAGGGATTTTCTAACAGACAGAGAGGTTAGTGAGACTGTCAAATTTGGAGGAGGTTCTCTAATGGTATGGGGCTGTATGGGATGGAATGGTGTGGGTATGCTTGCTGAAGTTGAGGGGAGGATGGATGTTGAGCAGTATGTGGACATTCTAAATGACCACTTGCTGCCTAACATAGCTGAATCAAGGATTGATAAAAAAGACATCATTTCCCAACAGGATCATGATCCCAAGCACACATCTAGGACAGCCAGACAATGGTTTAAAGAACATAGTATCAATGTTCTTGACTCACCATCACAGTCCCCTGATGTCAATGTCATTGAACATCTCTGGGGAACACTCAAGAAGAAGCTTCAAGCCTATGAAACCCCCTCTAAAGGAGTATAGGAGCTATGGGAGAGTGTAGCAGTGGAATGGGCAAGGATTACAGCAGAATATTGCCAGAAATTGATTGAGAGTATGCCTAGAAGGATAGAGGCAGTAATTAAAGCCAAGGGAGGTCACACAATGTACTAGAATACCTGATTATCACTGTAAAATACTTGAGTCAAAAAACTGTCCACATGAGTCATCATTTTGTAAGCCTCATATCTCCACCATATCTTGATCAATTCCCACGCCATAGGGCTCAATTGGAGGCCCTGAAGTAGCTCTACAATGTGGTACCAGCATGTCCTTGATGTGTTTGTATATTCTCACACAATATCATAGATAGCGAAAAACGTGAAAACATGCGGACAGTTTTTTGAGCCACTGTACCTGATCCGACCGCTCCGATATTGATGTCCGCTCCACTTTCCGACCCCCTCCGCTTCATCCATCCTCCACTCCATCCAATCACAAGCCTGCATTCTGCCCTACGCTTCCGCTCAACCGCTCAACTGGTCCCCTTCCATAAACCTCTCCATTCAACTGGATCTCTTTCCCCTTTTAGATATATACTTTCCCCTTTGGTACATAGACCCTTACTTCCGGATCACCAGTAATTCCTATTACTGCTTGATCACTGATCCGACGCATACATATTGATATCCGCTCCGACTTATGTCTTCGCCTATGTAAAATACTTACAAACTATATCCTTGGTACATAGCTTTACTACATAGTTATCCTGATCACTGCCTCATACATAGAAGTATATAACATATCATGTATTTAGATATTTTCCTCAGTCTTAATATTACTTGTCTTCTCGCAGTTACCTCTTGTGATAATTCTCAGTAGGACCTTGCCTCCTCTGGACACAAGTCTCAACTTGTTGTCACCTCCGACCCTCCACTCCAACTTAGAGCCATGCTCTAAGTCTTTCCCTTATTACTCCGCCCCTATCAAATATCCTCTTTCACCCCTCCACATTGTCCTCCGCCTTTCCCGCCCCTACCAACATTCCCCTGCTCCTATCCACTCTCCGCATCACTCCCCGCCTTCTCCACTCCACTCCTAGTCGGCCCACCGTTAGTAGCTCTTACTCCCCGACCCTCAAAGCGGACCAAAGCGGACCATTCATCCTACTGTCGGACAACATCGGATCTGCTCCAAATTCGAGGCACATACTCAGCTAAGGGCGCAGCGCAAGAGCTGAAGCCAAGCCCCGACCCCTCTGCTTCCTGAGTTGGCATGGTACCTAACAGGAGGGCTGTTGAGGTCAAAAATAGGGCGCGGGGTATCGGTATCCATGTAGTCTTCATCCAAGTGGTCTAGCGCGTCGCCAAGAGGGGAACGGAAGGCAGAAGAATATAAATTGTCATCGTCAAGGTCAGGATCATGGTCCATGGTGATATCTGAGTCAGCATTGGGAGGTATGGGAGCAGCGGGGAAAGCAGGAGTGGGAGCAGCGGGAGCAGCGGGAGCAGCGGGAGCAGCGGGAGCAGCGGGAGCAGCAGAAGGAACGGGAGCAGCAGCGGCAAAATGAACGGGAGCAGCAGCAGGAATGGGGAGCAGTGGGTGCTAGCAGGCAAGGATCAATTCATGGATCAGTGAATGGATGGCTAGGAGGAGCAATATGAGGGGGGGGCTGAGCCCTGGTGGCACCCCTGGTATGCGCAGAGGGGCCAGCCCTGCCATGCGGACGCACTAGCCTGTACATGTCACCGGCGTGGTCAATGCCAGGCTTGGACGACGTAGTTTTTGCTGCAAAGGAGGAGTTTGAGTGCCAGATGGCGTCAAGTTCATTGTACCATGGAAATTTGCAACAGACTTCTTCTAAAAAATTGAATCAGTCAAACCTCTAAATGAATCAATAAGAACACTCACCTTGTAGGTTTTTAGCAGAGGCATCATCAAGAGGGACTACACCAGTGCCAGTTGCGCTAAACTTAGCCTTAAGGGGCTTGTATTTGTTTTTAAGACTAAGGGATTTTATCAGCGCATAGTACAAAAAAATAAATGCTACATACCTGGTGATACGGTTGTTGACAGAGTCACAAAATTTCTTATGACCATTTGCGTATTCAGACCCATATTTTGCGTGATGTTGGAAGATGACCTGGGCGATAACAGAACAGATTTGAGACTTGTCCTTTCCCGAGGGACGATCAGAAGAGTTTGAATCCAGAGATTTCTTGCCATCGGAGTAGAATAAGATATGACAGTCAGGAGGGTGTTCGGTGAGCCAGGTGACCAAGGCATCAGTGAGAGTGTTGTCACTCTGCCACTGAATCGTCATCTTGGGTTTGGGATCGGGGGGAGGTGGTTGTATCCTCGATATTGATGGCTCGGGATCCATCACTCTAGATCTGGAGCGCACTGGAGGGTTGCCTCCAAGTCGTGCAGAATGACGGAGGCATTGGCGAACAGCAGGCATATTCAGAACTCAGCCATGATGCCGGCCTGACTTCCAAACTTGCCACATGCGGCTGTGCTTGATTACAGCCTTTAGCAAGCTTTAGCGAGTTTGTTCAACTGTTTAAATTTTATCGTGAGTACTACTATTATCTCCATCACTCCAAAGCCTTAAAATACATCAGTAAATTCACACATTGCTTATTTCAGCACTTATCACTACTTTTCGTCACTTTTCAGCAATGGATCTACTTTTTTCTCTTAAACTGGCCACCACCAGCAAATCAAGTATCTCAAACTGCTAATAATATGTCAAATACATATTTCATTGTGATAGAATACAGTTTTCTCATGTGTAGCTGACTAGAGAGGGCATTTATGTCAAGAACTTATTAACAACTGTTGTGGTGTTTCTGCTGGACCACAACAGCTAATACTTATTCTCATGTTGTCAAACAGATTTCTAATGTATAAGAAACATTTTGGTGTACTTAAGTTGAAGGTGGAGGCTAGTTGAAGGAAAAAAAGTAGATCCATTGTTGAAAAGTGACGAAAAGTAGTGATAAGTGCTGAAATAAGCAATGTGTGAATTTACTGATGTACAGTGTGTGAAAATCGGTCCTTAAAATGTATTACAAGGCCTTGCAATGGTCCCTAGAAATTTCCGACAGAGTACAGCGCGAACCTCGTGAGAGGTAGAGTCACAGCAAAGAATTTGAGTGCACGTTGGATCAACACTGCAAGTCAATTTGAAAAGGCTATGAGAGAATACATGCGGGTTTAAAAATAAGCGGTAATCGTTCGCGAGAGGATAAAAGAGAGTGAAAGGTAAGAAGGTGCAATCACTCTAGAACGAGTACTAGACGTTGCGGAGGCGACTCCCACTAAACTCCCACAGTCCACACTGCACAGTGCTGGAAGCTTGCTTTATTTGAAGTACTTTCACAACTTTTCAGTTGTCTCTTGGCAATCTCATAACCGTAGCGCCCCGTGCGGTGGCAAAGCCCGCTGCCGTGTCCTGTTTATCGCTGGCTTGTTTTATCCCTCTTTTTTATTTGTCAAACTCAACCAGAATACATGTGCAGTATTACATTGTTTCCCGCCAACCCTCCTGGGCTGGCTCAGTTCTGAAGATATCATCTCGAAGGCGGCAAGTAGAATCATGCAATCGATTTCGCAAGGATAGTGCACCCTGGTGCCTACCTGGTAGACTCGATCCCTTGCCTCAAATACCTTGGTATGGCTGGGACTTAAGACGGGGTTTGAGAGGAGCGTGAAACTCAACGCTGGTCACATGAACCGCGTGAAAGAGCAAATGGTATGCATTGGGTTGCCGATCTTCATATACAACGTCTCAGGTTTTCCGCATCAGAGCGATGTGGACATCGGCCCTTCGTTCGCGAAATATATGCTAGAAAGTGGTCATCTCTATGATTTGTCAGAGGCTGTGATAGCCTCTCTTGCTAGGGGCTTTAAGAAAGGGGGCAAGCATCCGGGTCGGACGGGCACAACACCAATCACTCTGAAGTGACTCGGACAAATTGGCTCTGGTAGAATTCATGTGGGACGTTTTTAATGTTATTCAAGAGTGTGGTCGAAGTAGCATGGAAGTTGTGCAGAAGTAAGCGTATTGATGAACTCCGCAACGAACTGCATATCATACGATCAACAACTGTACTAAGGCGAAAGCAGAAACACAACTCACTGTCGCGACATGTTCAATCTGCCAAGCTCATCGGGAGAGGGTTACTCGCAGGAGTAGTAAACTCCCTGGGCATCCTGACGCTGTTGGTACAAGGCACAAAGGGTGAGTCGTGGGGTTGAATCCCGGATCAAAACGATCGACTCACAGCCGTACAAGTGGTACCTTCGCAGCACTTTTCACCTTCCATCGCCCCGGACCCGCGGCAAGTCCCGTCTCTATCTATGCATAACGTTGCACCAACAGACATAGATGTTGTCAAAGCAGTAGCAACAGCGAGGAGGAATGAGAAACGCATGGCTTGTGCTAGGTAAAATGAAACGCGTCAAGGGGGATCTCGAATAATAGCTCTGATGCTGGCAGTATGAAGATGGCTTGCTTTTATGTCCTAGAAAATAGTATTTTTGTGAAGTATTCGGCAGTTCTATCAGGATTGTTGCGCCTAGCCGACTTCAGGCAGAGAGTATAGGCAGAATCACTGTAGGGTCGGCGGATAAACAATCCAGAGCATTTGAACTGTAAACGTGTGAGCTTTAACACAACCTATTACCTAGTAAGTAGGGATGGAGATGCACATTGCACATTGTAGGCAATGTCGAGAATACCGTCCGTTAATCGCGGTTGAAGTTGAATGTACATACGTGCAGAAGGCAAAGGTAGGATCTGAGACCTCGCGCTTTCGTGGCATATAGTTCTGGCGACGGAGAGAGGTCACCGGACGTGTCTGGCAACGTAGACCCTCTGTGGAGCCAATATTGAACCCCACCTGCCCTGAACCCACGCATAGACGTCAAGAAGTGTCCTATGAAATCAAAGGATATATCCTTAGAACTGGGGAGAGGACATCAATATTTTCCCGAACTACGACAGGGAAGACTGATAATCCGGCCGTCAGCAGTGGAGAAGAGCAGTACTTACTTAACTGTTGTCATTTATAAAATGAGAAGGTACACAAGACAATCGGGAATCAGCTGAATGCGTAACGGCAATGAATGGGTTTCTTCTTCCACCCATCCACCCACTCCCACCTCCAGATCCATTACAGGCACGGATGTATGGATGCACAGATAGCCTGTCTGTCGAGCTGTACGCCAGGGTTCCGTTCCACAATCTATTCGTGCATGGCTATGACCCTCCACCTGAAGGAATCTCAACCGCGCAGTGGCATAGTCTTGATCGATGTGACTCTTCGTACTCCCTCATTTATTTGTGACGGACCATGGTGAGAAAGGTGAGGGTAAACGAAGGTGGTGTGCAACGACAAAGGCGGCGGGATGGCAGGCATTAAGTAATGTTAATGACAGTAAGACGGCGAGCCGACCATTCTCGACCTAGTCTCCCTCAGCCAAACCAGTAGAAGTAAGACAGTCGTTCTTAATTATGAGTTTCCATAGGCTATGTGGTCGGAACACAGGCTTATCTGCGACGAAAACCGTGTACATGCTTTATGTCATAGTGGGTTCTGTATGTCGAGTAACTTGCCAAGCACGCACCGATTTAGAATGAGGTATTCGGCGGAGTTATGTGGAACGAAATATCTATCTTTGCCCTCACGTCACGTCATCGTAGCACGATCTTCAATAGTAGTAGTTCGATTAGTAGGAGTTCAATAGCTGCTTCGCGATTTTCGGTAGGGAAGGGTGTCCTGGGATACAGTACCATGGTGTTGCATGAATCGACCCATAAAATATTTGCGGTATGCGATAGAATACATGCAAGTTGTGGTTGAGATGAGGGATCGCAGAAAGACAGAGAGGGCAAGTGTCCGGTGTAGCAGGGAGATCTGGCGTGGGTGTCGGAGGTCCTGGCGAAGTGGCCGGAGTCCTGGCTCGTAGTAGGTAGCCACCGCATGTCTGTAGTCCATCCTCGATAGATAGAGCCGCCGCCTCCCGCCTTAGAGGTTTGGCCTTGGGTTTCCCCTTGCAGTCCGTGTCCGTTACACCGGCCCGGACGGGCAAGTGAGTCCGAGTCGAATTGGCTGTCTTGAAGGTCAACATGATGGTCGTAGACTCGTAGAATCCTCGCTTCGCGTTGAAACTCGCAGCGGGGTTTGCTACAGTCCCATGTGCTTTGGAAGACCGGATTCTCTTACCACCCAAAAACCATCTTCGCGTCATGACCCCAGACTACGAATCTTGGTCAAAATAAGAACTCATCGCAGTGCGCACGTCTCGAGACGATTAAAAAGGACACCAAGTCAATTCCCTCCCAAACATCTAATTTTTAAAAAAAGCTGTTATATTTCTCACCCACCCGAAACGCAAGGTCGCGCGATCAAATTCTGTATATACAGTTCGACGCCTCTTCCTACGGTTGAGGATGCCTTGCTCAAGGCTTTGTTGACGCAAGGCTAGGCTAATTGATGAAAACGTTGGCTTGAATGGCTGTGGATGGAAGAAATGTGGAATGACAGATTGAGGAGTGAGCGCTGCTGGTCAGGTAGTTTCGGGTTCGAATTTAGTGCTTTCCCTACCGAATCTCCATTCAGTCCTCCCTCCAGCGCACAATCAGAAGTGGCATCATCACCATCCGAGGAGGTACTGAACGACCTAGCCACAGACGCAGTAGAAGACACCCCACACAACACCTCAGTTCCCTCCCGGTGATGTTCCGGATGCACTCCTCTACGTATCCATCCTAAACCGCACACTCGCCCAACGATCTGCATCCTCGCCTGGTTCCCAATTGCTCCGTCAGCTTCATCAGTAAACACAAACACTTACAAATACTTCTTCAGCTCTCACGGACTCATTCAATCAGGAGCAAACCTTCTCGTCGGCGAACACGACTTTCGCAACTTGTGTTAACTCGATCCTGGCAAAAATATCACAAACTTCCACCGTTGCGTCATGCGCGTATAGCATAGCTGCGTTTATTAAATTAAAGGACGGCACTCCTATTGCGCAGCCTAGCCATTCACAAACTGCGGTTGATAATGGTTCTGTCATTGGCAAGTCCATCTTGGACATATTCATTGCGGCTGTAAATATTTACACTTTGTTTCAGAACCTGAGTCTGAGCCCGAAGTTATTCATGTTTCGACGAAGCGGAATTCACTTCGACAGAACAAGCTACGTCTTGTCCAGATAGTACGCATAAACTTTCAGCGACACAACGGTCATATCATGACGCGCGCTACCGAATCTGAAGTGTAATGGGTGTAATCACTATAGCAGGATGGATCGACAAGTACGGTCCTCTGTCACCATTCAGTTAGGACTTGTGAACATGTTGTTATTGGACGTTAAAAAGTCAGTCCCTCCACACAGAGTTGTCATATCCAGGTTCAACATTCTGTTGCAGGCCGCGGTAGATATCATGGAGAACCAGGGCAAATCGCTAGCTGATCGTCCACGCATGGTTGCTACTGGAGATATTTTAAGCGGTGAATTCAACATCGCCTTTGCACCTGTGAGGAAAGGTTTCGTTGAGTTCACTATAATTCTCCTCTCCCATTCATTTTAACAGGTGCAGAGCACTTCATGCGCATCTACAGCCTAAAGCAGCTGAGGCTTATCAGCCCCTGCAGATATACGCGAAGAACGTTGTCCTTGACATCCTTGATGTCCTGTCCCATACAACTTGGAGAACCATGTGATCACGTAAGCATTTTCGCATGTGGTAGTACATTGTTCACAGGTGTTTTGAAGTTATGCTGCGACGACAATTACAAGAGTTTCATGCGAGAAGAACACGTCCACGTCTGCAACTGATCCCGAAGTCATCGAAGTTAATCAACCCGTCAGAATGATTGGTGCAATCCTACGTCCTGGTGCTCAATTGGTGGATTCGATCCCTTGGCTCAGATACCTTCCTTGGTATAGCCAGGACTTAAGATGGTGGTTTGAACATGAAGCTCGACGGTGGTCACATGAACCGCGTAAAGGAGCAAATGGTATACATTGCTTTGCCAATCTTCATATACAACATCTCATTTGTTCCGCAGCAGAGCAACGTGGACATCGGCCCTGCGCTCGCGAAATATATGCTAGAAAGTGTTCACCTCTATGGTTTGTCAGAGACTGAGAGGGCCTTCCTTGCCACTGCCTTTTTGGAAGTGGATCCACTATGGTGAGGTGTTGTTCTGTTGTCTCCGGAGATATGCGGCTCATATCAGGGCCAGACTTCTGCGACAATATGCACGGTGTTCATGGCTGCTGCGTGTTTCCCCCAGGAGCATGCAAAAGTTCAGGCCGAGCTCGATGCAGTCGTCAGAAGACACCGAGGTAGCTCGATTCCCTAGCTACGCTCGTTTCTCTCTCTTCCCCAGTCTCTTATACTCGACTGGGGGTAAGTCATACCTTAGTATACCTAACACGCTCCTTACTGATGTACTATAGAACTCATACGAGTTCTCTCTCTTTAGACGCTTACCGTATTTTAGACCCGTGGCTTCTGGTAGTGGAGATTTTCGTTGTGGTTTCATATCTGAAGTTTACAATGTTTACACTGCAGGATTGTTTCACTGAACAACCAAAGAAGTGATTTGGGCAAATAATATATGCTGTACAAATGATGGTCAGGCATCAGGAGAACCATATTCCAGCTGGGACTATAGTGTTTGACGACAACCATTGGTAAGCATTGTACTCCAAGTCACGAAGGGCATGATGATCATTGCCTTAGGTTCATCTCTCGAAATCCAGAAGTCTACCCTGGGCCTTACGCGTTCAAACATCAACATTAAATTGACAAGGTCACCTGGCAGACAATTTGAAGTTCTTTATCTATGGGCTTGGTCTACATTGTCGCTACATTTCCAACACTGATATTAGGGACGCTCAAAGTTCGGGGGCGCACAGGTCGCCCACGCCCACCGCCCACGCCCATGACCCCACCACCCTACCCAAAATGTACTTTGTATATTACATAATATTAAACTTGTGAAAAATAAACACTTTACACTTTGTCATTGTTATCGTTGCTGTCGTCGTGCTTCGTGATGCGGAAGAAGAACACCGGAGTCGCGATTCCCGAAATTGAATGGACAGCTGATGTGATCTGGCAATTGCTAACCCAAATAGAGTTGTCAGAAAACAGAGTCGTGCTGCTGGGGAAGCGCAAGAAGGGCGAGGTAAGTAAGTCCAAATGGCACAATGGTATGAGACTGATGATGACTTGCAGAGAACATCGGGCGACAGCAAAGTCACCATTTACCAGCGCATGGGGGCCGCGATATTCCCACAGTTACATAGCTTGAATGCTGTTGCAGTTGGAGAACGTGTCAAACGGAAATATGAGCAGTAAGTCTGCCACATATTTCGTTTCCTCAAACTCATACAGTTCTTACAGCCTGACAAAGGAATACAAAGAGCTGGCTCGCTGGCTTTGGACAACAGGTGAAGGCATCCAAGCTGATACAGATGGCAATCTGTCCGATGGTGACAATGAATATTTCAAGTGTTATGTTCCTGCTTCTGGACCAAACGAGACAACTACTTCGAGGGCACAGTCCATTTGGGGTATGTACCTTACATTACTGTGCATTGTCTCTGAGTATCGCTCTGTAAATAACTCCACTCCACCCACCAAGATCCCTGCATGGCGGGCAATGTCCTCTAGTGACCCGCCATTTCCGTAGTGTCCCATCTGATAGAGTGTGACGGCAAGCTGAGTCTGGATGGGTGTTTGAGAATTGTGTGAATTATTATAGAATGCAGGATGGTCTTCGATTAAATCAAGTAACACCTCGAAAACCGTAGGGGAAATTCGAAGCATGTTGGTAAAGCAGTCGTGGTCAGATGGACTTTTGGCATATTCCCAAGCAAGGTGTAAACTACCCGCTTTTGTGGCAATGGGGGATCGTCCTTGTAGGTAGCAAGTTTGCCGGATCGCGAGAATGCAAGATATGTCACAGTGCAGCTGCTGTGCTGCTTCTTCTACAGTCTCTGCAGGGTGAAATAAGATACAAAGGACAATAAGGATGAGGTATGAGCACAGGTATTGCTCGTGCAATGTGTGACGAGCCATCTGTGATATGTTTATTGTACAAGCCTTCAATGACTACCTTAGCATTGTATTATATAATACAGATATGTACAAAACGGGATGGTGTTGCTGTGCGGGGGGTCGTAGGCGTGGGCGGTGGGTGTGGGCGACATGTGCGCCCCCGAACTTTGAGCGTCCCTATTCTTTTTTCGACTTTGCACTACTTCCCAACTGTGGGATATAGTGGGCAAAAAGGGATTTCCTAGCTGATGCGCTACCAGTCACCACCATCTGCCTCAGACCTCTCCACCACTAGCGACCACGTTGGGCTTACCATCTGGCCCCTGGTGAAAAATGGACATTGCGCAGAGCATTCGAGAAGGTTACAAAAACATTGAGCAAAGAGTTGTAACGAATCTAACGATTGCAAAAGTTGTACAGATGCAAGCTTATTTTGCAAGCACTTCCTTAAATGCTGTGTTTCGGCAAAGCTTCACTGCAACCGCATCTGATGCAGATGTACTGCTTCTCACTCCGCGTGGTACATGCAGAGTTAGCCTGCACTTCTTTGCGCAACCCTTACCATAGTACTACGACCTTGACATCAAATTTTCGTATTGAGGGTAAGAAGAAAATGAGGTTGTAGATGTCATTTATATCGTGAGTTTGAGACGTTCCAGATCTACTGATTCGCGTTCATCAAGTGGCTCAGGACGATCAGTATCCGGCAGAAGATTCATGATGAAGTTTGAGTGTCCTCGACTCTAGCCCCTTCTTCCTTCTAAGCGATCTTCAAGGACATGTACGTACACGTGCTACTTCGATATCAGGCTGTTTTCTTGTGCATTCATGCAAAAATGTACACCAGTCAGGTAACATGGGTGTCGTTTATCAATACCACAGAATTCATACTGGAGGTTTTCTAATGTTATTCAAGAGTCTGGTCGAGGCAGCAGGGAAATTTGTACAGAAGTAAGCATATTGATTAACTCCGCAACGAACTGCATATCGTGTGATCAACCAATGTATCAACGCAAAAGAAGAAACACAACCCACTGTCACGACATGCCCAGCATGTCAAGCTCATCGGGAGAGGGTTATTGGCAGTACTTGGTGAGGTGGGGGGGAGACTCAGGCGATTGGTACTTAATGCACAAAGGATGAGTCATGAGGTCGAATCCCGGATGCAAAGTGAACGACTCATACTTACAGTCGGCTTACAAGTGAAACCTTTGCAGCATGCTTGGCCGCTTGGCACCGTGGGACCGTTGCAAATCACATAAGGAGATATGCATGCACTGACAGACATAGATGTTGTCAAAGCTGCAACAACATGGAGGAAGAATGAGAAACGCATGGCTTGTGCTATGTAATAGGGGATGCATCAATGGGAATATCAAATAATAGCTCTGGTAGAGAGACAGCTTGCTTTTATGTCCTAGGAAATAGTTTTTTTGCGAAACACTCAGCAGAATGGTTGTGGCTGGTGGACTTGAGGGAGAGAGTATATGCAGAACCACGGGGTTGGCGAATAAACAATCCAGAATGTGTGAACTGTGTACGTGAGCTTTACCAGTGTACGGCAAAGGTGAAATCTGAGAGTGCACATTAATAAAGGGTGATCGGTGACGAGTGGCGTTTCTTCCACTAATGATGTCCAAGCAGAACAGAGTGGGCTTTGTCGCCGTGATGAAGTTTGTATCAAACGTAAACCGGGCCTACAATGATCCATTGAGCAAGTCCCTGGGCAGCAACAGGCGGCATGCATGTTATGCAAACCATGCGATGAGTGGGCGCGGTAAACTGGGTAGACAATATGATATTACTTACAATGCCAGGGTCTAGTGGACATATCATACATTTTTTCCCTCTTTCTCTCGTTACTTACTGCACGATAGCACACAAACTTTGCGAATTGGACACGCCATGTGATGAGTCTGCGCAGACCGCTGTCCGATTACCTCGCCTTACTTACTTACTCATTGTCGTGCCCGTCGTCTGGCTCGCCACCACCGCCAGCATGGGTCAGTGCATCATCACCCACCCCTTGCCTGTCACCATCATCTGCCTCTCCACCACTAGCGCCAAGTTGCGCCTGCCATCTGCCCTTAGTGAAAATTGGACATTGCCAGGGCGTGTCGGGGTGTGCGAGAATATGGCAAAAACATCGTGCAGACGCTGAGCACTTCCGTGAAGGCTGCGTTCCAGCAAGTGGCAAGGCTTCGTTGCAACCGTGTCTGCTGTAAATGTACTGCCAGTGCGTCCTACTCCGCACGGTACATGCAAGCAACCTCTTCGACCAACTAACTTGTATCGCACCGGCGTTGTGTCAAGCTGCCTCGTGAACGTTTGACATTAGTCTCTGGCCTACCATTACAAAATTAAGAATGCAGGGGGCTATAAAACCGAAGTTTATGAGAACAATGGATGGAGGATGCTAGTGAGCTTTCTTGTTCATTCATGCAAAAACATACGCAAGTCGAGTAACATGAGCGTCTTTTATCAATACCACAGAATTAATGCGGGTGTTATTCAAGACCTTGGTTGAGGCAGCAGTACAGATGTAACCTGAAGCGTGTTAATTAACTCCGCAATGAACTGCATATCGTGCAATTATTCACTGTACAAACGCGAAAGCAGAAACACGACTCACTGTCGTGGCATGCTCAATCTATGCAGTACTTCATCGTGTTGCCATTCTGAAGCCAAGGCTGTTGATACAAGATGCAAAGGATGAGTTATGAAGTTGAATCCCGGATGCAAAGCGAACGACTCATACTCACAACGAACTCACAAGCGAGACCTTTGCAGCATTTTGCGCCTTCTGGCACGTAAGGGCCAGTGCAAGCCCGTAATATATCAAGGCATGATTCAGAATCTGCACTACTAGCAGCAGATATAGATGTTGTCAAAGCTGCAACAATGGCAAGGATGAATGAGAAATGCATGGCTTGCGCTAGTTGATATGGGCATTGGCAATGGGGATCTCTAAATAATAGCTCCGATACTGGCGCTATGAAGACGGCTTGCTTTTATGTCCTAGAGGCAGAACCACTGCTGAGGGTCGGCGGATCAACAAGCCAGAACATGTGAACTGTAAGCATGTGAACTTTAACACGACCTAGTACCAAGTAAGTGGTGATGGAGATTGGATGGAGATGCCACTGGCGTGGCTATAGTTTTACGCGACTGTGACGTGGCACTGACAATACACAAACGCGACCACTGCGATGCGTGTGGAAGGTGTGACGCACACAATGTCTCAAATGTTTAGCCAACATTGTTGGAGTCAGACGAGAACAGTCATGGTACGAGCGCAGAACCCCACGCTGATTACATAAAACCTTAAAAATGCTTAACGGGAAACTGGACGGTAGAATACATTAGCGGTCAGTCCAGATCATAAAGATTACCCTTCCTCCAATCTCACTCGTTACTAGTCTTATAAACACACGCAGTGCAAGCAAAATATGGGCGAAATATGTCAGTAGAGGGCAGGAAAATGCATCAGTCGAAGGGCAGGAGGATGCATCAGTGAAGGACAGGAGGGATGCATCATATCATACAAGGTACTACTGGAGGGGGCATGCATCACACATGCATCAAATGACGTTAGAACTGTAGCATTGTTGCATCAAAATAGTGTTACAATTATAAGGATTAATGCATAAATATGACAGGAATCCAAAGCCCATCTTCGCATAATGACCCCAACCTACGAATCCTGGTCAAAGGAAGACCCCGTCGCGCTTCTCAAACAGTTAGAAATGACCAAAAAGGATGTGACAAATGGACTGGCCAGCACTGCGGTCTCGAAGAGGAGGAAGACCTGTGTTGTTGTGCTGGTTCTGCTATGTCGTTGCTACACTGTATATAATATTATACGTATGTCTGCTGTCGTGACCCCTGGCACCTCTGGGCTTCTGCCACCTCTCGCTTTGCTCTTGACTCTGCTCTCCCCGCTTCTCCTGCTCCTTCCTGATCTGATCTACTGCATGTCCTGCCGGCATCAGGAAAAACTATATCTCTATATAGAGGACCATCCTCTATATAGCCCCGATAGCACACCACAGCTCTATACAGTCTATGGCAAGCTATCACAGCACTATAGACCAGTATAGACATCATGAAAGTCTATATATTACCATAAAGTTTGGTAAGTGTATTTAGAAGTAAAACATTTCAACAACTATAGACCCCAGTAGACCGTGGGAACTTTTTTCGATGAAAACCAAAGTTGTAGTCCTTGTCAAGGACGTCAAAGTTAGTCCTTGTCAAGGGAAGTCTATCCATAGTCTAATGACTTCAATAGGTCAATATCTTAGTGAGTTATAAGGAAAATACTTGGAATTGAAGGGTTCAAAAGTGTTAAGGTACACCTTATTTATGTAAGCAAAAATGCGAAAATTCACCTTATGTGTATTCAAAATCCTAATGCTAACAGTCAATTTCATTGTCTTTTTCTTACTGTCATAATCCTAGTCCTATTAACCAAAAACTCGAAAATTCACCAAGTCTTATGTTGTGGCTTTGTTTGGCACTGCTTATGTAACCAAAAATGCGGTCAACCAACAAGTCTTTTCCCATTCTTTCCTTCCCCCCCCACTGCCCCCTCATTAGATTATCTTCCATATTTTTCTTACAATTTTCGAGTTTTTGCCTCTCTTCTCTTCTTCTTGCTTCTCTATCCTTCTCTTGGTGTTGATGTTGTTGGTGCTGGTACTGGTGCTGGTGCTTTGAACTCTGGTAAGTCTCCCTCCATAATTTTCGCATTTTTGACTATTTGACTAATCTTTTTTCTAACCCTCTCCTTCTAGCTCTCTTCCCTCCTGCTCCTCCTCCCCCCAACTATTTTCGCATTTTTGACCATTTGGCAAGTCTTTTCTCTGACTCTCACTTCCTCCTGTCTGATCCTCTCCTTCTAGCTCCCTTCCCTCCTCTTCCCTCAAGAATTTTCGCAATTTTCACTATTTGGTAAGTCTTTCTTTTTTTTGTATTCATCTTTCCTCTCTGATTCTTCCTTCTAGTTCTCTTGCCTCTTCCTCCTGTAATTTTCGCATTTTTGCCTGTTTTGTAGTTATTAGTTTACATGTATTGTAGTAGTTGAAATATAATTTGGAATTTTCGCTTTTTTTTAATTTTGAGAACACTATCATGGCAACAAACAGCTATTAAGAGAAATTTTTGCTTTGTGTTTTGAGCTATAATAGCTACAATAGTTGTGGTATGTTCCACCCAGCTATAGCAACTTTAATAGAGCTATATAGCACTATACACTGGTGTAGTAAGCCTGCACAATTGGGCACTTGGCTATACGAGCTATAGGGCTATGGAGTCTGTATAGCAGTCTATAGCGCTATGGGTGGCTATATAGCCTTACCACATTTTCCTGATGGGAACACCCCGTTACACCAAGTCAATGTTAATTCCGTCCCCAACCTCAAAAAAACCATTACATTTCTCATTCCACCCAAAACACAAGATCACGATCAAGTTCTGTTACTCAGGGAAGAGTCTGGTTGAGGGAGCTGGGAAGTTTGTACAAAAGTAAGCATATTTATCAACTCCACAACAATATACTATCATGTAATCAACCACTGTGCCAATGTGAAAGCAGAAACACGACTCACTGTCGCGACATCCTTAGTCTACGGGATACAGAATGTGTCATCAGCAGGGGCACCAACATCATTAGGCTGTTGGTACAAGGCAATGATGGGGTTGAATTCTGGGTGCAAAGTGAATGGCTCATACTCACCGGCTGTTTACAAGTGAGACCTTTGCAGCACCCCCTGATGTTCTTATCTTTGTTGCAACTAACACCCCAAGGTAAGCATGCACTAACAGATATAGATATTGTCAAAGCAGCAACAATAACGAGGAGGAATGAGAAACGCATGGCTTGTGCTAGGTAAAATGAAACACGTCGAGGAGGATCTCAAATAATAGCTCTGATGCTGGCAGTAGGAAGATGGCTTGTTTTTATACCCTAGAAAATAGTATCTTTGTGAACTACTTGGCAGTTCTGTCAGAATGGTTGCACCTGGCAGACCTCTATAGGCAGAACCGCTGCAGGGTCCGAGCTTTCTTATATCATCAAGTCCAACATATCATGGCTGTGCTTTTCCTCGTCGAACCCACTCCAACACAAAACTGCCATTCTGACACTCACTACAAACTGAATCTGAAATCAAACTCGAGTCAGATGGGGGATGTACATAGCTTCGAAGGATTCACGACCATCACTCCCCAATACTGCAAAGCTGCCAGAATACGACCATGAGATGGAGCCAGAAACGTACCCTAATCCTAATAAAAGAATAATACAATGCCTTGATCTTCCGTTACTCACAGAGATATAGAGTCTTCATTCAAGACCCACCTTCCCACTTGCTTCTGGTCAGAGTCTTGTTGGACCTCTGATACTGGACAGAGATGAGGGTATTACAGTACCTGTGTCGATCGATTCCTATCTAAGAGAATACCCAAGAGAAGGCATCAGTTTCTTTTGGGATCTATATAAGCAAGGATGTGGTGGTTTTCTGGGTGATTACATGAGACTTGTCGGTCCAAACACATTCTTCTGTTGCTTTTAACTGATATTTTCACGTGCTTAAGGTAAAACCATCCAAGTGATCTTGTTTCTCTCCGCCTGAAGAAACACGGGGACGAATGCAATGTTGACAGGCATCAGACTCATGTTTCAAATCTGGACCTAAGAAAATGTTGCACCTTGCCACAGCAAACAAGACCTGACCCAGGTAGTTGGTGGAAAACGAAAGAAACGGAACTGAAAAAGGTATTCTGCTCTGGCATCATGGTCAGTCTTTTGGAAGAAGTGTTTGTGATTGTACGAGGAATGCCACCATCTCCTAGATTGTCAAGCAGTAATCTGAGCATTCGCTGACACCATCTGCTTGATGGAGTATTTGGGCTAAACTCTGCCTTGCTGGCAGTACCCAATGATATTGCTGATTGTCGGCTTGGGTTGATGCTTAGGTAGCATTAACAAAAAGGTCGACCGCACAATGGATGAGGTAATGACTCATGCGAGACCCGGTCGCCACAGAAATTACATTAGGCCTAGATTTGAGAATCTCTGGATAGTCTCCCCAAAACAGACCAAATAGAAGGAAAGCAGTCGTTCTTCTTTTCAAGGGCACCCTCAGTACTCACTTTATTATTTCCCCCTGTGAAATTTTTTCCTGTAGGACCGGACCTCAATTGAGGTGGGGGGTCTATTCCTAAGCATATTTAGAGTAGATATATCATATATTCAGCCTGGGAGACACACAGGATCCATCTACAGGAACAAAAATATACAATATTGTATGGTTGGCATTTTTGATGTTTTTTAGTACATTACACTTGCACACATGGTCCACCCTGCTCATTTATAATCAGTAGTACATGCATACATGTGTTCTACACTAAATATCAGCTAGATATAGCGCAAAAACATGAGATCTGATGTAGAGGGGGTATTTCTACTGATCAGAAGCCTACATGGTAGTCAAGCCTGTGATAAGTAATCAGAGACCTGTGATACCTCCAATATATATCCCTTATGATGTCCCTAAAGGCTTAGAAAGATCCGTGAAGAATTGATGTAATGACAAGCAAAATGACATATGTGTGAAAAGTGACAATTGAGATCTTTTTGCACAAAGTGACATTTATATATGATGCATGTCAAAGATTTCATTTAAAATATGTAGGATGGATTGTAAACTACCTAAGGAACCTATACTACCTACTGCCCTGAGGGTAAAGGGTGGAGGGAAGGGATGTAGTGTAAACATGAGTTGACTCAGCATTAAAGTCTGACTACTGCTCAACTGACCATTTTCGATGTTTTGGGTTTGTGGTGTTTCCCACACTCAATTTCATATCTATTTCACTTCCTCAGCACTCAATCATTGTTGGATTGTTCTATAAATTTATAAATATGATGCTGTATATACTCCAAATGTACTTCAGGTTTCTGATCATTAATATTTGATGTTTTGAAGGCATGGACCCCTTATCAGTAGAAATAGCAAGCATATACACTAGCTCACAACTCCAGCCTATTGTGACCTGATCTTGGTCATAAAAGCAAGTATATATGCTATGCTCATTATATATGAACAGGTTGGATCATAGATGCAATGGTAAGATACTGAAAAACATCAAAAATGTCAAAAGTGCAATTTTGTATGTGTTGTTCCTGTAGATGGATCCTGTGTGTCTCCCAGGCTGAATATATGATATATCTACTCTAAATATGCTTAGGAATAGACCCCCCACCTCAATTGAGGTCCGGTCCTACAGGAAAAAAATTCACAGGGGGTAAACCACCAGGAGAAGGGGGGCACACCATGCAACAGGGGATTATCCTATGGTCCTAGGCTCCTGATACATTGTTCATATTACTGAATAGGTGCTGGGAATCATTTTTCCAAGTCTATCCATCTACAAATAATTAAATGGGAACATATTTTGTGTTTTTCTGTATATGTGTTATATTTATTGATGTAGGACACTTCAGAGGGTCAAATAAAGTTGGGAATATCTTCATATATACTCATAAACATGTTCTGAATACCCTAGGACACTTCCTTGTCAAAGGGGCAAAAGTGCGAAAATGTTTTGTATCCTACATCATTTTGAAAGGGTCCTGGAGGAGGAGCAGGCACACAAATAGACAAAAAAAGCGGTCTATTATATTATATTATACATATATATACTAAAATACTACTTATATATGAAAGGGGAGCAATTGTGGTGTGGTGGTGAAGCTGCAGTGATATGGGGAGGGTGTGGGAACAATTGATATTGTGGAGATTCCCAAAATGGGCGATGTTTTTGGTGTTGTGGGGTAATTCCCACACTGTGTGGCTGAAAAATGCGAACATGTGATGTGTGGGAATAATGTGGGGAGACCTGACATGAGGAGGTGACCAAAATGGGATATGTTTTGTGAATAATGAATATATCTTGGAATGACAAACAGCTGAGTTTCAAAAATGCGAAAAATGCGGCTGTGTATCCAGCATATGGGATCCACCATGGGATACATCCAATGGATAATGGATAATCTTACTGAATGATGTATCCTAGTTCTAGGCTCATAGTCCAGTTTGGATGTATCAATATAGCATTATGGCCTCCAATCAAAACTTTCGAAGTCGTGCTATTGCGTTGGATGGATGGACCCATGATATTTTTGGTCACGATAGCTAGATACAGGAAAGTTGTATTTGACAATGGAAGCAAGAGGGCAAGCACTGAAGTGACTTCGAGCTCTCGAATTCTGTCTTGAACGCGACGGTCATAGACTCTTAGAATCTGTTTTAACGCAAACACACACTGTAACAGGGTGGTCTGGCAGGCAGGAGGTGCTGGGGTCCTGGCGCAGTGGCTGGAGTCCTGGTCATAGGCAGTCCTGCTGGATAGATAGAGCTGCCACCTCCTGCCTTAGAGGTTTGGCCTGGGTTTCCCCTAGCAGACCTTGCTGCAGGGGCTTGCTAGAAAATTAATGGTACCGTCATGACTCCAAGCCAAATCTCCAGGTCAACCATCAGAGAACCGGTGAGCAGATGATAAGGTTATTTAAAGCAATATATTGTAGAGCATCGCAACAATCTTCGTATATCTGTTGACCGTTCAGACATGGGAATATTTGGCATTGTCAAGGTAAGACAAATTTAACAACACACTAGCCTAGTAGAATTATTTGATTGGTGACCTTTTTCGTTTAGATGGATCCAAGAAAAAATGAGCGGGCACATGTTCATTAAATTAAATATGGACCGACGCTGCGAGGGTCAAGGAAGGAGGTTGCAATGGGCCAAAGTGAAAGATGTTTTAGCGACGTCCCCAGTGATGCAGATACATATTATTTAGTCTTCACGCAATATATTTTTGCTAGCTCAGGATGAATAGGACATGCATGTCACTTGATTGAGGGTAAAAAGTATGAGTTTGTGTTGCAACAAGGCCATAACAGCAGAGTTGTACATATTGCACGCATATTGGTCGACCATCACTCGAATAAATATATTTCACGCAGCACCAACAATGTTCCAATAGCTATTAGAGCAGGTATTACTTCTCAATAAACAGATTGACCGTCTTGATTGATTATTG